ACTCACAACAAGTCAGGCTTAGTGATACATGATGTCTGATACATTACCCATAGGATCCATGTATGCCATATATGGTAACATTTACCATTAATATACCCCAGTCATGTTAGCATATATACCAGCACCACGAATCCTATGGGTTATGACTCAGATATGACTATCATCATGTCATTATCCAGGTCTCCAACGAACATTTTGGACATATTTTGGACATCCGTGACAGTCATGTCCCGTCTTTGACAGTCATCCCACACGCCGTCAATGACCTACTTGGGGAGTGCCTATGGCATGGAAAAATCTGCTGGTTGATACTAAGATGTCCATAGATGTTATCTTTGTTGTCGGTGTTAAAAAGAGTCTGTTTATGTCTGTTTGATACCTATCTTATCAGCTAGTTCCATCTTGCTTTCGTCCGCTTTCATTTCCCCTAAAGTTCATGAAAATCTGGAATGTCCACCATTTACACAGCATTTCTGAACGGGTTCCCCCATGGGTACCCCGATGGTTTGCGCGCTTGTCCCCCTCCCGCGTCCAGCCTTTCGCTTGAGTTCCCGTTTGCACCTGGTGATTATGAATGCTGGGATCACAATCGTAGGTAGCCAAGGTCCGAAAGGTGAAACCCACCAATCATAAATGGTCATCAAAAATGGGATGATGTCTAACATTATTAAACATCATTAAGATAATTCTGGGGATAACATTATCATTAATTAACAGTATCATTCAGATAATTCTGGAGATAATGTTTACATTCTTCATATTCTGAGTAAATTGAGCTGAAAAGTTCAGCGGTCTTCCATGTTTGGGGGATGGCTACCCCAGCATTACTAACCGTTGTGACCTTGCGATGTGAAGTCAGGACATGTTCCACTGGTAAAGCGGAATCCACAAGGGCATATCAGTGCTATTGGGATAATTGATTGGATGATTATGCGGATGATAATTCTGATAACAACGTGATTATTGGGAATGGTTTATTGTTGTGGATTTCCGCATCCAATAATGCATATCTCTACTAATTGATCGGATATATGTACTAACATGGACAAAGATGGGAAAGTTGTATCCCAGGATTCATACGTGTTCACATCATCATCTACGGTGACGTTAGTTTTTTTGTTGATAAAATCAGATCATATCAGATATTCTACTTTCGCGATCTAAAAAAAAGAAAAAACATGACATGGCCATCCACCACAAAAAAAAACTGCTTGCAAAAAAAAAAAAAACTTCATCTTCAACGGTTTTGACACATATCATATATAGCTCCGGGTACAACTATCTAGCATGGTCCATTTTTGGGAATTTGAGGCATCCATCCCTATGGGTAGTTGATGACCATTCCCCTTTTGAGGAGGTGGGAAACCCCAAACTGGGAGATTTCATACACCATGGATTGATATCATATGATATAATAATGGTATCATAATGGTTATGATATATGATTTACCATAATATGGCATATAGGTGTATTCTGGTAACAATTATATGGTGCTATGTACCATCCGTGAGGACTGGATTTGGGGTACCATGACGTAGGAATCTCCGAAAAACCTGGGAAAACACACCATGTACCATCTGGTGATTTAACAGTTTGCCATGGAAAGATCCACCATTTTTAAGTTCGGTAAACCATCTATTTCGGCCATCGAAAAACCATGGCGAACTGTTAGTCATATCCAGAGGGTAAATCCATGGAAATTGACAGCACGTTGGCAGCACCTTTGATGAATACGCCACTCCACTTCGCTCATGTGATCGGGCTTCACTTCCGCCGCCTGCACCCTGGGCGAACGGAGGGGCGACGAACGAAGCCACCATGGATTGATGTGGAATTGATGACATTCCGCTGCAGGTCCTTATAAAATGAAGATAATGATATATACATACATACATATATATATATGTATAGTATATATGTGGGTTGTTCAAAATTATGGTTCCTCAAAACTGGTTGGTGGTTGGTGGTTGACCTACCCCTCTGAAAAAATTGTTCAGTTCGTCAATGGGGTTGGGATGACATCCCATATTCCATTTCTTTGGAACATCAAAAATTCCATGGTTCCAGTCACCACCAACCAGTAATGATTGATGGTTATCAATGGTTACTAGTGGTTATTACCAATTGATGATTATTAATGGTTACTAATGGTGATGATTGATGGTTATTAATCTAATGGCTATTGACGTGGTTTGTCCATGGGAAAATCCTATCTTTTCAAAGATCAATGGATTGGTTTTGTTGGGGAAAATCTACACCGGAAACCAGAGTGATTTTCCCATGAAGACCATAGGGTTTTCCGGTGAAAATTTTCCCGTGAAAACCAATCCATTGATCTTTGAGAACTGGGGGTACCCCCCATGACTGGGAAACCTCTGCCCGGCTTGGTTCCCCGACTTCCCAGCCATGTTATCATGTTTCATCCGATGACCAAATTGGCCGTGATTTGGGAAATCCACTACGACTGGGGAATCTCATAGGGAATATATATATATACATATATTAAATAAATATATATATATATTAAAAATATATTATGTGTTTTACTTTTTTGCGCTATCAAATCCAAGTTTTCCTGTAAACCAACATTCTTTTTGGCTATGGAAAATCCACCATGTTTGGCATGTTAAAACTCACGTCCGAACGGGTAAGCCATTCATTTGAGCTATTGTGAGTTTACTGAAAGCTCTGTTTGAGTACCAGATAGGTATGCCGTATGCCCCTGTGTTTTTGAGTAACAAATTTAACCATTAGCTTCACCAACTGCTTCCCTGGGATAAGACGGTTCTATATACAACAAAAATCACCAAGCTGAGACAAAAAAGGCCGTTTTTATTGGGAGAGTTAGCCATTCACCATCCTTTTTTCATGTACATTCGCCAACTATTTCCCAGGGATAATATGTATGCGTGACTTGATTCGATTTATATACACCGGTCAATAGCTACGTCGCCTTCACGACTCATAGACACTAATGATCACGAAAAACCACTAAAAAGATAGGTGGCAAGAATGATTGAAGCTCTCAAGAGAACTGGTTGGTGGTTGACCTACCCCTCTGAAAAATGATGGAGTTCGTCAGTTGGGATGATGACATTCCCAAAATATGGAAAGTCATAAAATTCCATGGTTCCAAACCACCAACCAGATAATGAACAAAAAATACAAACCCTGGTAAACGTTTACATAACTATGGAAAATCACCATGTTCAATGGGTATTCATCAACTATTTCTATGTTCCATTTTCCATGTCGCTTTTTGTATCAACTTACCAGGCCGGGTACATCCCATAGGCGTCAGCCGAGTCGGGTCACACTTGTCCATGAATCTTCTCCCAGGAAATCGCCGGATCTTCGAAGGGCTCCCATGGCAACAGCACCATGGCTACTGAAGGCGGCACTTTGCGACACCGTTTGAGGCCAGAGACATTGATGTTTTCGTGGCTCTTAGTTAATAGATGTTGTTTAGTCCATTTGTCATAATTCATCATGCTTCACTCTTCACATGTTTCGGAAGAGTTGGCGGTTTGTTTCTTAGCAGGAGCTGAATTTATTGACGTCTCCTCGTGTCTGATGTTTCTTATTCTGCTATTAGCTGCTAAAGCTGCGGAAAAAATCTCTAGTTATTTAACAGTTTGCCATGGAAAAGAACCCATTTCTAGATGACAAACATGATGATTTAGAAAAAATTACCCATTAAATTTTCTGATTTTCCATAGCTACGTTTTCCATCACCGGAGGGCAAGATTCATAATTCTAACTCTCACATTTGCATTCGTGAAGCTGACCCTTCTTTATGTTTTTGGAATATCATAGGTTGTTTTAGGTACACATCTTGTGCAAGCAGTGCTGGCAATACCCACACTCAATTTGATTCTGTTTTTCTCCCCTTTCATGTTGCTTTCCAAACTTGTACCTTTTCCATTGCACCTTCCTTCTTTCAGAAGGTGCACAACCACCATTATTAATGTCAGATCTCCAGATGTAGTGAAAGGCCGTGGATCCTGTGCCATTTTTTTTGCTTGGCACCACTGGTCTCAAACTGGGTCAACTGGGGTACAAAAAATCTTACCCTCTGGTAAACGTTAACAGAAAACTATGGAAAATCACCAGTTTTAATGGGAAAATCCACTATTTCAATGGCCATTTTCAATAGCTATTGAAAATTACCATTAATAGTAGATTTTCCCATTAAAAATGGTGATTTTCCATAGTTTTTTGTATGTTTACCAGGCCGGGTAGCTCGCTGGATGATTGCTGGATGATTTTTGTTCGGTATCCCATGACGTCTCGGAATCCAAATCTTGGGATGAAGCGAAGCAGCGAAGCCACGTTCGTTTCTGATTTTGAAACCATTCGTCGCCGTTGCCGTTGTGTTGGTGAAATGGTCAATCATCAAAAACTCTAGCCATTCCCATTCATAATAGCCATTCATGATGAATAGTGATGTTTATAGTGATGAATAGTGATGAATAGTGATGTTTATAGTGATGTTTATAGTGATGAATAGTGATGAAGAATGCTGGGGGCAGCCACCTATCAGATGCTTTCCCCAAGAGATTTACCATCATTTTTAGAGAGGCCAGGGCCTGAGGCCGAGAATTTCGATGCAAGGCACTGGTCTGTTTTTTCTTGAAAGGTAATGATGGTTCATAAATGGGGTCATGTAAATGCGGTAATTGTGTTTCATAAATGAAGTGTCATTATGAAAGTCAAGCAAAATCGGTAGGTATGGTTCATAAAGGCGGTCTTCAACGCGTTAAACCATCAAGCTCGGTCATAGTCAGCATCAAACCGCCACAATGGTTGCTCAAGGGGGATGTTCAATTCATGGATTCTGAAAGAATCCAATGTGACGTGAAAATGGTTCGTTTATAGATTGTTTGTGATTATTTACAAATGATGAATTTACATAGCATACTATTAGATTATCAAAGGGTATTCCCAGGTTGTTGGTTGCTTTGCTCCTTTCCCCTGGTCAAACTCACAAAACCCATGCCTGCTGCAAGCCCGCTGCCTGAGAAATATAGTTGTTCAACTTGGGAGGTAGCTACTTGACTTGCGGATATTATATAGTTGTATTAACGTGGGATATCAGTTCACAATTCGATCTGTAGTTTGTATTAGTGTTCTAATTGCTGTACTTGATACATTTTAGTATCCAATTTGGGATAGAGTTGTTTTGGGATAGTGTGGTATTGGTTAACATGGTTAGGGCCATTAACCCATGTTGATATCCCATACGGAAAACATGCGCGTGGAAAGACATTGAGATATCACGGTAATGGGAACATCAAACACCAAGAGAAATCTACAAAGCGTTGATGTTTACTTTATGTCTCCGTTGTGGTTGCTCTTGTACCCAATTGTTTCTGGGTAGTACTATCAACATCACGTAGTCTTGGTAGTCCAAAATTTGTCGCTTAGTTTTACCCCCGTTTGTGAGTTCCTAGTTAATATTTCAGTGTCTGTTGGTTGATATCTTCATTATATAACTGGTAAGTATTCCCACCAACTGGTTTGTGTTCCCAATTTAGTATCCCATGTAATTGGGATATCTTCGATACTAAGGATATTATGGTTGACATGGTATGTGAACCGCCATTATCCGAATTAGTTCCAAATATGGATGATAGAATCCCAAGTTAGTAAGATCCCCATTGGTCTTGCCTATAATTACTGCGTTTTCCCTACAATGTCATGGTTGGTACCCCACCCCACTCTCAAATGATGCGAATTCCAAACTATCCAGATGATATATATAACCCTCTGGCATTCCATCATACTGGTTGACACATAGGGATTCCCATTTCAAGGATGAAGATAGTCCCCAACATAGAAAGGATCGTACAGTATAATCCGCGACATATATATATATGTATATATATATGTGTATATATGTATATATATATATGTGTATATGTATATATGTATATATGTATATATGTATACATGTATACATGTATACAACTATATATGTATATGTATATATGTATGTATATATGTATATGTATGCATGTATGTATGTATGTATGTGTATGTATGTATATGTATATGTACATGTATATGTATATATGTATATGTATATATGTATATGTATATATGTATATGTATATATGTATATGTATATATGTAAATGTATATATGTATATGTATATATGTATATGTATATATGTATATGTATATATGTATATGTATATATGTGTATGTATATGTATATATGTATATATGTATATGTGTATGTATATGTATATATGTATATGTATATATGTATATGTATATGTGTATGTGTATATGTGTATGTATATGTATATATGTATATGTATGTGTATGTATGTGTATGTATGTGTATGTATGTGTATGTATGTGTATGTATGTGTATGTATGTGTATGTATGTGTATGTATATGTATGTAAATGTATGTATATGTATGTATATGTATGTATATATATATATGTATGTATGTATATATATATATGTATGTATGTATACATATATATTATTATTATTATCATTATTATCATTATCATGGTATCCCAATCATTCAAAATCAAATACCACTAAATCACCATGAAATTACCATTGAATCACCATGAACATACTATAATTATATGGTGAATCTTAGATACCAGCCATAAAGATCTAATTTTTAGTTGGTTGGTACATGTTACCATTGATAGAAAAGATTGGTTGGTACTAAGGTTGACTCAGATATGGTGATATCCATGGTAGTGATCGCATTTTCCATGAAATACTGCTTCCTTGAGAACTGGATTCCCAGTGAAAATCACCATTAATAACGGTTCCCCAATGAAAAACACCATTAGTCACCTATTAAATCACCATTAAGTTACCATTCATATGCTATAATTACAGTTCTAATTGCCATTAATAGTGATGGTAATTACCACTAATGGGATCTAATGGGAGATTACCATTAATATACTATCTGGTTGGTGGTTTCAACCCTCTGAAAAATATGAAAGTCAATGGGAAGGATTATCCCATATATTGTGGAAAATAAAAAATTATCCAAACCACCAACCAGCTATAATTACTATAACCATAGAGATCTCCCCATCCTCCCCTCCCATCCCCACCTGCAGGGCTCAGGTCCTCTGCCGCAGCCGCGGACTGCTCCACATTGCGTCCATGCCATGGCTTCAAGGCCTCGTGATATCATTGGAAATCACTAAGGAAAATGGTGTTTTTTTTGGGGAAACATTGGGATTTGGGTCTTTTTTGAGGATAAAATTTCCAACATGCATCTTGGTGTTTAATGGGAAAATTGGGATTTCATGGGAATTAGGAAAACTATGATTTATAACGAACCAAATGGTTCAGTGACGAAGTAGATAATAAAGAAATTGTGTTGGTACAATAAGAACTATACTAATGACGAACAATAACAACGGACGGCGCACAGTACTCCAATATCATCACTAGCTGACAATAACAACAACCAATAATCAATCATCAAACGCGAATTGATAACGGGTATTACAATGCCCACTTAACAATGATCTAGCTATAATGACTATTACGACAAGCAACTAACAATTCACAAAAAGCAAGTAAACGAATCATATGTATTTGCATAATAGATGGCATTCAGTTCTAGGGGAAACTTCCCCTTCCATTTTTGGAGCTTGTGCCAGGCCAGAAAGACCCCAGGGCCCCAGGACTTGCTGTGGGTAAAAACGCAACCAGCCACTCGCTGGCACAACCAGCCGCTTCAATTGTTCAAAGTACCCTCTGGTAATTTAACAGTTTGGTATGGAAAATCACCATTTTTAATGGGAAAATCCACTATCAATCACCATTTTCAATAGCTATGTTAGTTTACCAGAGGGTATTGGTTTCTGGTTCAAAGTTCTTTGCTCCCTTTTCAGTCTTCCCATGCCATCAACATTGGTTGAATGCAAAATAATCAATGTGGCAAACCCAATGATGGAACCCTATCCGTTCTACCAAATTCGTACAATGATGTTAACTGGTGTACCCACAATGTTGGTGGTGTCTCCATGTATTCCCTATTGAAGTAGCCAAAAATTGACTATACGCCACTTTCAGACATACCCACTTGGGGGTACATCCCACTTAGTAAATAGCTTATACCCTCAGTTAGATTGATAGAATATCCGATATATCCCCTATACATGGGATCAAATATGGCTTATAGATTATATATGGATGAAATAAACCACGGATCCCATTCGTGGGATGCACATCCAGGATCATCCAGGACATTTCTGGATGAGTCTCGATGACAAAAACTGGCCGTTTCTGCCTCCATGACGGAGCTGGGCAAGCCTTGTTTGATCTGGCCTCGAAGCATGGCAGGACAAAAACGGGGCATCGTTCAATGACTTCGTTTAAGATGTTTCAGGTGGGTTTTGAGTTGGAATCTATTATAATCTATTTGTATATGTAGCCCAGAAGATAATGCCTAGGAATTTTAAGAATGGTGAGGTTATAAGTTTGGGTTTTAAGTCCGCAGTGCACTACTAGTTGAAGGTGGCCTTGGCTGGTTATATTTGGGATGGTTCCAACAATGGTTCCCATGATTTACTAACTGGTATTATAATGGGATTATAGTGGGAACCAACAAACTAATTGGATGTTTTACTCATGGGATAATCCAGTAAATGTTTCACTCATGTTATTTTATAACTATCATTGATAAGTTGGTTTATAACCCCAATCCAATGAATTTTGCTGTTGCCACTTTGGGGCATCCCCATAAAGGGGAATCTGACATGGCAACGGACGGATGTCGTCTTGCGGCACCCCATGATCCAAGTGATATGTATATGGAGTTTTTTTGGCAACCCCCAAAATAGATAGAAAAGTTGGAAGCCTGGAAAACTATGAGGCATATACCCATAGGATCCATGTATGCTATATGTGTTAACATTTACCATCAATATACCCCCAATGTTAGCATATATATATATATACCATACATGGATCCTATGGGATATGAGGCTAATATCAGGGAAACATCATCGTTTACTATTGCACCATCCTTTTTCCACACCTTTTTTCGGCATGTTTTTTTCGGCACGTCCGATGTTTTTTTCGGCCTGTGACTTTGGCAGTGGAAATGTCTGTCCCTGGAGTTGTCGAACACTTTGCTTTGATCAATGGGAGGTCGGTTTCCTTGCCAAGTCAGCCGTTGTTCGCCCAATTTTCAGCCAGCTTTCTGTTCAAAAACGCGGCGGATGCAAAGGCTCCAGGCAAAAACAGCAACCCAAAAATGCTGGTATCAGGTGTACCCTCTGGTAAACTAACATAGCTATTGAAAAATGCCATGTATAGTGGATTTTCCCATCAAAAATGGTGATTTTCCGTAGCTATGTTAAATTACCAGAGGGTATCCCCTCTGTTTTTTGTTGTGGTTTGATTAGTTCAACCCCAAACAACTAAGTAACTAAGCAATGTCAAGAATCGGAAAATCCCTTCGGTTGGTCGAAGAAAATTGCCAGCCATGAATTATGACCCCCCAAAAAAATGGCAGTAAAACCCAAACCTTCCAGAATCATCATGGGTTCCGATAATCCCAGAATCCAGAATATTGGGCAGTACAAGCTCATAAGTAGTTGCTTCTTGTCTTTTTGAATTTTGAAACAGCTCATAGAATGCAAATGACTTTGTCCAAAAAGTGTTCAATTTATGGGCATCAAATAAAAGGGAACATCAAAAATGATTTTCCAATGGGAATTTTGGGAGGGTTTGCCAGCATGCTTTAGATACACCCATATGTTGATGATGTGGTAACATGTTTTTCATCAATCAACATCCAAATCCAGTTTCTATGATTTATTAATTCCTAGGACAAAATGTTCAGCGAGCATCAACCAGGGATGTTCAACCAGCGTGTTCCAGTAATCCCATATTTATGAATCATATGTTGTGGTTTGTCTCAAGATCAGTGTTTATCAGCATGTTCCGTATTAAATTGCTGTTTTGCGAGGTGTACCCCATTTTCAGCCACACCCAAATATCATAGTCTTCTATATTCCATATCCCATCATATCTCATTATATAATCCCATGACATATGCCCATATGTGCAAATTAAATCCCATTCAACCCACACTAGCCCATTTTGTCATTTTTAGATTGTAAAATTTCACCCACATTAACCCATAACAAAATCCACTTAAATAAATCCCATAAACCCATTATATAACCATGAATGTTACCCTCTGGTCATTTGTTACACTTTGCTATTTTCCCATTAAAAATGCTGGATTTGTCCAGTTCGCTATAACTGTTGGTTTCATCCCATGAAATCCAAAGAGGCCTGTGGCGGGAAGCTTTAAGGGAAGCACGGGAAGCGAAGTCTGGCGATGGCGGTCCCGGTGGCAAAAACATGGGGGAAAAAAACTTGTCATAGATTATGTGTGTGAACACAGTCTTACACGCATGTTTCTATTAAATATGTGTCTATCTGCATGTGTAGAAGTGATAGACCTGTGAGTGAACCAGGGTGGTATTTAGCCCATGATTCAGTTACTCAGCTTTGATGAGGAATCCAACCCAACCAAGTAGTTTTACCCCATCCATCATCCAAGGGTAGCCAAATCATTGTTTCTTCTTCACTTGAAGCCATTTATTGTTCGCCATGTGCAACCCAACCAATCACTGTAGTTTTACCCATGCAAGTATATTATTATTGTTGTTGTCAAATTCTGCCACTCATAGCGCAGCCGAACATGGTTAGCAACCGATCCAGGTCGGTCACTCAGGGTCATCCGAAAAAAAAACTTGGGTTGATCATGATTGTGATGATTGCTCCCCATTCCACTTGGCTACATCCCATGGAATTTCCAATAATCTTCTAACAAAACAAGATCATAAATCAAATCACCATCTTTGCTGCTTTGGAAACATCATAAATCAACATAAATCAACTATAAAAGTACTCTCTCTAAACCACCATTTTGCCTGCTGAACTCCGCATTTGCTTGTGAAGAAATCCAACAGAGCCATGTTGCACCGCACGCGGCTGCGCTGCCGCATCGCCTGTGGCAGCACTGCCACAGGTTTCAAAGCCGTTGCCACCAGGCGACCTAAGCAATTTTGTCATGGAAATGTTTGATGGGAAATTGGTATATAATGGGTGTAATAAACTGGTATATGGTATCCAATCTATATGATATATATATATAATATGGTATATTAATCATGTATATATATATACATATTATATACATATATGGAGGTCTCCATAAATGGGGATACCCAACAGCTGGATGGTTTATAAGGGAATTTCCATCTATATAAATTGATGATAACTTGGGGTACCCCAAAAATTTAGGAAACCAACATTTTTTTATGGGTGTAATAGACTGGTATAGCGGGATCATCATGGGGATATTTCATTTCACCAACTTGATGTGATATGCAAATTGTTAGTTACTACTGGGTATACTTCATGGATATTGATAGGATATGAGTGGGATATATATCACCAAAAATTCAAGGGATGATTTGCCGGTGTCATCCAACGTGGCGATAAGCAGGGAAATCCCCGCACTAAATGGAGATTTTCCATCTAGCCATGTTTGAATACCGGACGGTACCTATCAAACATATTCAAAAATGCTGGATTGTCCATAGATAGATATGTCAGACTGGTTAGTTAGAGGATACTTAATTAGTTAGAGGATACATAACCAACAACCAGTGGATACTGGGATTAAAATATAATGTTGGAGGACATTTATCCACTGGTTGCTGGTGGATCTCCAACGCGCGATGTCAATTCAACTCCTTGATTCGCCTGTGAAAAATGGGACGATTTTCTCAGGAAAACTCATGATGTTCCAGCTGTGACAGTTTAAATGGGCTATTGATTTGCCGCAAACGTGGCAATCAAAAATCCTTTATAAAATGATGTTTCATGGGAATAGACATCCACAAATGGAAGATGTTCTATTCCCATGTTTGACTTCCAAAGGATCAATAGGATACTGGTTGGTGGTTTGAACCCCATTTTCCATTCTCTCTGCTGCGCCTGTGCGGCACTTGGGGCTCATGCACACCATATCGGCTCAGCCATGAAAATCTGGCTGGATGACTGATGCATCCTCGAAGCTCTGATATGTGTATGGGTGAAACTCATTGGGAATCGCCTCTTCCACCTTGTTGTCGGTGAGGGCAGCTGCAAATTAATACATTGCGGATCCCAGGATGTCATTTAGGCCCTTTGGATAAACTTTTGCCTTGGCGGTTTAGTATGTTCCGTCACTCTGCTTTCCTATGAGGGCATCGTGGACACCAGGAAGGTGCTGGCATCTTCCTTGGAGTCCTTGCTGCAGCAAACGGGACCGCACCTGTGGCAGGCGCAAAAGCAAAAGGGTGGTCGGCTTTTTACCCAAGGCGCCACACGTGCACTGATCGAAGCTGACAACAGCAAAACATTGCAACCCTTTCAGCAACCGGATGGCATCCATGGTCCAGATGCTAGCAGGTGATAAGTGGCGGCACCAGGTTGGGTATTGAGGATGTTCCAAAAATCCTGCCATGCCCATTGCAGCCAAAATGGACAAAAGGTCAATAAGGAACCGTAGGAGGCAATCGCCTATCCATACCTGCAGTTGTTCACGGCGAGAAAGGCCAGGCAAACCTGTGGGGTCTGAGGCTGATCGCAAGGGACGTGGTCCTGTGCCATCTTCAAGCGCATGGTAACGAGCAGCAGTGTATGTTTCGCACGGTGGACCACCACCAGCACAAACAATTTGCCCGGAGGCAGCACGGGCTTGCCACCATGGCAATGCCCCAGGTTTGGCAAGGTCAGCATGCTGTCTCTTCATACACAGATCTACGGACAAGGTGAATATGTGCTCCCCCGAGATTGCGACCCTCTGACCGATGATGTCGTGAATGTCGCCTTCACGTCGAAATCCACTGAAGAAATGGACGATGACCAAAGCCCGGACGTGCAGGATCGATGTCTCACGGGCAACAGTGGCTGGCTTGGAGTTAACACGGCGGCCATGCATATTTTCACAGGCCAGGACATCACTAGGGCGCTTGGTTTGCATTTTGTGCCACATGGCCGTGGCGTCATGGCTGAGGGCTGGTGGCAAGGCAGGGCCATATAGCTGCAGTGCAGGACTCAAGGCCTTGGAGGCCCACCAGCCATCTTTGCGGAGGCAGGTTTCTGCAGCTTTGTCTGCAAGGTCAAGCTCTTCAACAACTGCCTGTGGCATGGGCGGCCAGCATGCTCGTACGGTGGCATAGCATTTTTCATTCTTTTCATAATGTATGCCTAGGCGTGTGCGGCTATGGAAAAGCTGGAGGCAGACATGGCAAGTGTCACCTACGGCGAAATACCTGACTTTCTTGCGATACCCATGTTCACGTGCAGAATGCATAGCCAATGCTCTAGTGGATCCAAATGTCTTTGTGGTGGCAGCTTGAGCCAAAATGGCTACGGAAAGGTTTGAACCCCTCTGAAAAATATGAGAGTCAGTTGGGATGATGAAATTCCCAACTGAATGGAAAGTCATAAAATTCCATGGTTCCAAACCACCAACCAGGATAGATGTTCCATAGTCAGGGAGAAATGCCCGATTTGTTCACTTGGAACCCCCCGATTTTGGGTGGAAATCCCACAGCAATTCCGCGGATAGCGTCCCTGACGTTCTTTGGTGGACATGGTGGCAGCATCCGCCGGTCCTGCACAGAATTGACTGGTGATTTTTGACCGCCAAAATGGGTGATGTTCCAAGATTACCCTCTGGTAAACTAACATAACTATGGAAAATCACCATGTTTACTAGGTAAACCATCTATAAATGGCCATGTTCAATAGCTTTTTGTTTGTTTACCAGAGGGTACCGGTAATCAAACATGGCAATCGGAATGATATCTAGTTCGAGGATTTTCCCAAGCCTCTATGGCAATACATGTGAAAAATTGCCATGTTCCATTGCCGAAGGGTAATGTGAATATGGGATATCACTAGCAATATGATACTGGGACAGTCAACATGATACCCCAGATACCCGAATTTGGATGGTATCTCCCTGGCACGTGTCCCATTCAAATCACCATTGTGGTGTATCCTGGGTATTTAGTCCCTTCCAGAGAAATCTGCTTGTGCCCAAGATCATGACAGAACATTGCGGCGTTTGTGCACATGCAGCTGATGAAAGATCCCAAGCCATGCTGCAACCATTCACAAGCAACCATCGCAAGAAACGACCCCAATGGTTAGATGGTCATAATCCAAAACCAATCTTTCAGGGTCCAAGCTTTGGTTTTACATGGACTTCCGGTACAAATTAATCTATCTTCCTTGCTTGTGTTCCCCCCGCTACTAGTCTTAATTAAAAGACACCATACATTTTGCTAATACAGGCTTATATATAGCTTCAGGTTGTCCGAACATATAACTAAGTATGACTTTCTACGTATACTGGTGCTTCGCAGGGAATTTTCGGGAATGATCCATCATCACTAGTAATAATCATCCCAGCAAGCCCCAACCCATCCAGCAACCCGTAAAACGCACCAGTCACCCAACCCATCGCCAGCACCTTCGGACGGCACTACCTTGGAAGGCTTCCGTCCACCGGGCACCTCTGAGGATCGAACAGGGTGACCGGGCGAAAAAATGGGGATTCAACCAGTGGGCTATGGATCAATATACATTTTTAGTGGGATGAACATCCATAAATCCCAGCTATTTTGATGTTCACTAGGGTTTTGAGCCATCCCCAGTGGAATCACTAGAAATGAGGATTGAACTTGAACTGATTGAACCAATCCAAGGATTCAACGGGAAAAAAAAGGGACCCCCCGATTTTTTAATTGGAAACCGTTTGGAAGATCCATGGTTTCCGATTCTCCCACTAATCCATTGAACCAAACAACAAAGATTAACAAAGTGGAGTTGAGATAAATTGTTCCATAGTTGTTCTTGGAAACCATTAACCATTAATCTGTGTTAATCATTAATCCATTGAAACCATGAAAAAGGGGATTCAACCTGAGTCACAATGGAATCTGTTCCACAACGGAGTCACTCACAATGAGGATTGAAACAGCATGAAGTTCCAGCAGTAGCTGTACCAACATGGCAATGGGAAAAATTGTTGCACCTCCAAATGATCAATTTATGTACCTGATGTTGCTTTATCTATACACCGCGGGGGTGTAGTGTTTCAATCCATTCTTGTGAGATTTTGGTGAGTTTACCCATGTCCGCCATATTTTTCTTGGAGTTGAGGAAATTGACCCGCAATTTCGCTGAGCACTGCCCCCAATTTGACCATCTTTCACATGATTTACCCTCTGGTAAACGTCAACAGAACGAACTGGAAAGATCCACCATGCTATGAATGGGCATTCATCAACTATTTCCATGGCCATTTTCAATAGCTATGTAACAAATTATCAGAGGGTATGATATGAGTATCTGTAGAGTGTCTGTTTAATGGGATGATATCTTAGATATCACTGTTGAATAGGTACGTTTGACATAACCAGAGGCTAAATACCATCAAAAAATCACAATTGTTTAAGTGTTAGTTAAGTTTATCCCATTAAACCACCATTAAACCACCTTTAAACCACCTTTAAACCACCATTAAACCACCTTTAAACCACCATTAAAGATCCACCATTTCTTCGTTTAAAAAAGGCCGGTAGATCCACCAAAAAAAGGCCGATCGCCTCTGGTGACGCAGCATCTTCGACAGCCTGAGGCGAAAAATGTTTTTCGACCGAAGATCAGCCTTACAGAAGTAATATTATTGAGCAAAAAAGTATGAGATAAGCAAATATATATATATATAGATTAGTTAATTAGTTAGTTAGTTAGTTAGTTCGTTATTCAGTTAGTTAGATAGATAGATAGCCATGTTGTATTTTGGATTAAGTGGTCAGATTAAATTAAATAAATAATAGTTTAACATATGTTGTTATTCATTCAGAGATGTGTCTTTGAGTCATTGATAAGGTTCTGGGATTTGAATCTGTTCCAACACTTACAACATCTGAAAACTTGTTGAAATAAAACAATGGATTTGTGGACCCTTCAAAAAAAACAATCAGTCACCTATGACACACATGCCCATCTTTTGGTGGTTGCAGCACATCCCCGATAACATTTTTTCTGAATGAGAGATGATGTTCTCAGACAATGTGTACAAACAGATCATATACAGGGTTTCTTATGATTATGGGATTTATAAAAACATTATTAACATATTATGTTCATCATATAATTGGGTTCGATCTCAAACAATGTTGCTCTCAAACAATGGAACATATAAAAACGCGAGTATTCATGGGATTTATAAACCAACAAAGATAACTGGAGGGCCCACCTTGTACCCACCAATTAAAAATCAGCAATCCACGTCAATCATCCATATCCCATATCTCAATTCCAATAGTTCATCCAATAAATAAACCCATTAAAAAAAAAAAAAACATCAATTTCTGGGCTTAACCACACGTTTTTCCCATGGTTTTCCCATGGTTTTTTCACCGTTCGAACTAACGTCATGGCATCGTCGGATGCCCTGCCGGGCCGATGCAGTCGCGCCAGGACCGCCGCAACGCGCCTTGGCTCCGAGACGGTCGGCCAGCAGTGGAGAGCCGAGCGGCCTTGGTGGCAATGGTTGATGGTTGATACATGGTTAATCATATTATCTAGTGGATTTACCCATGAAAAATGGTGGATCTTTCCATAGTTTTCTGTATGTTTACCAGAGGGTATCAATAATATGTGGTTATCTGGTTGGTGGTTAATAATATTATATAGTAACCAATGGTTCATTAATATATGTTATTATTTTAAAAAAAACAAAACTAACAAAAATGGAAAATCCTCTGGTAAACATACAAAAAGCCATGGAAAGATCCACCATGCTATTAATGGGAAAATCCACTATTTCTATGGTGATTTTCAATAGCTATGTAAACGTTTGCCAGAGGGTAATAACCATTATAGTAACCATGTATTTATTAATGTAGCGTATGTTAATACATGGTTACTATAATAATTAACATCAGATAATAATCACTATAATAATACTATAATATTATCTTATGTTAATTATGATAGTAACCACGTATTAATATAGTAACCATGTATAGTAACCATGGTATTCATCAATAATATGTGATTATCTGGCTGGTGGTTTTAAAAAAACCATCTTGAAAAATATGAGTTCGTCAATGGGAAGGATGACATCCCATATATGAAATGGAAAATTAAAAATGTTCCAAACCACCAACCAGATATTATCTAGTAGTGATGCTAGTAGTAGTGATGTTATAGTAATCTAATTATATGATTTTAATAATGGTTAATAGTTGTCTAGTGGGGATGTTATGAGAATAATGGCTGTTAAGAATGGTTCGAATATGTTTAAATTAATTGGGTACTACCTGGAATCATGGAAACACAACCAACATTAATGGGAAGAATAATGATTTGATGGGACTTTGATAGTGATTCAATATTGTCATTTAATCGAAATTCAGAATGGTAACTAACAATTATTAATAAGTAATGGCTATTAAATGGTGTCGTATGTTAACCATGGCTTATAAGGAATTAAATGGTTACTATCTCTGGTAACGTTAATGGTTAATAACGGTTAAAAGTTGGCTGATAAGTGTTAATGATTGTTAATAATGGGAAATGACCAAAATAGTATATACATGTATATATATATACATACTATATACATAACTATAATCACTCTATATATATATATACACATTTATATATACATATACATATTGTGATTTCAATCTTTGCCACATGGTCCTTCCAGAATCAATCCGGGTTTCAGCCAACATCCATTCATGCATGGCTGCCGAGGGTTTTCACACATCAACCGATGTGATCTTTCGCCGTGCCATAGGGCCCGAGGGGGTTGTACCACTGGGTGCGATCCAAAGGTGAAAAGGGTAGTGTTCCCTGCGGCCAGGGGGGTTTTGGGAGCCATAGGAGTGGCCGTGACATCCATTTCTTTGAGGTTGAGGCAACCATCTAACGAGATCTACATTGGGTATCTGTTCAGTTGGACAACATCACCATCTATTTTCCTTTTGGGAATCCTGCTTGTGAGAACCTTGGCCCCTGCCTTTGTGGATATTCCGCAACATATACATATACATATACATATTTTATAAATATATATACAGATGTAGCTTGGGCCCCCCCAAGCCTAATCGCCACCGGAAGAGCTGAGAGCCTGACACCCATTTGCCCTTGCCCGAGCTGCCTGGTGACCCAGTTCTGGCCTGGTAAAATGAAGGTTTTATCCATTGAAATATCCAACTTGGCTTGAAAACCACCATCATTTTTTTGGATTGTGACTCGGACCTACCATTCATCAGTCCGTTTATCCAAGTAATTTTCCGAGATTCTTGGCCATACCAATTCTTATTTGGCGAAATCGGGAAATTACCAATCTGCAGATACCCAGCAGTTAGTATCACACCAACTGGACTAGCTACCAAGAGATAATTCAGACTGAATCTGAATGCTGATGGGAAAATTCAAAACGATTAGCTAAAAATGGGCGGAATGGTTCCAAATTTCTTAAACAGGCTTAAACAGTTAAATCATGTTAAATAGCTATTGCGTTCCAAAGCTGTTCAATAGTTATTGCATTTACCATCACTTTACCCATTCAACATCAAATCTACAATTAAAGATTACGATACATCCAAAAAATATTTAGACCGTATATGTCGATCATACATGAACACATGCTGGTTGGTGGTTGACCTACCCCTATGAAAAATATGAAAGTCAAATGGGATTATTCTTCCCAACTGAATGGAAAAATAAAAGTCATGTTCCAAACAACCAACCAGTATACATATGTATATATGTATGGGTAAATTATAATATTTCCCTATAAAACTATGATTTCCCTAAAAAATCACAGATCTGCCGGCTCCGGTCATCCCAGCCATTCCCATCCGCAAACGCACCTGCACATCGCCGTGTTGCAAGTGTGAGATGGCAGACCTTGGAGCCGAGGCAGGTTTCGCCACGCCATGGCGAACAAAAAAAAAAACAATGGGTTGCTTTGCTGTCTGCCATTTATAGATTATATACATATATAATATCATTATATATATACATATGTATGTGTGACATGAGGGTGCTAAAATTTTCCTTTCACCCTGCTCACCTCTCCGACATGTCCACATAATTTCTTGGGCTCAAAAAAAAATCAACTCCAAAAATTGGAGCTTCCCAAAAAAAACATGAGGGAAACTGAGAAATCACCAGATTTTGATGGAATTTGGGGGTACGGGTAGGTCCCGGGTAGCCTATATTCAGACAAACCAAGCCTGAACCAAATGCAGCCCAGGGGCCCATGGACGCATCTAACATCCGCCATGGGTTCGCACTGCGGCGCGGGCGGTGCCAAAGCGCCCCTGGACCACTTTGACGCTGATCCGAGTGGCGGGTCACCTGTCTTTTTGGGTTGGGGATGGTTGGGGTATGGATGTAACTTGGCTTGTAGATGTGTTTGGATGAAAAAAATTGTTCTTTATACATTTCTATAGATCTCTACAGATGTTTAGAGACATGGATGTTTATAGTGCCACTAGTTCAGTGTAGAAGTGGGCTTACATTCTCATTACATGTTTTTTCAAATGCTACATATCTCTAGTTCAATGGGTGAAAGTTAACCAACTTCAACCAACTGACCCCTGAGGCTCCGGATGGGATTCCAAAAATCACTGGTGTATTGGATCACTTGGAAATAGCTCTGTTCCAATGGTCTAAATCTAATTCATCTTCCCCAGATCTCGTGGTCCAAGTCCCAGTGGAGAATCCATGAGTCGAAAGCCTGTCCGTTTCGTTGATTTGCTCAAGATTCCTGGTGGGTCCCCTGGTAGATTCCCCAAGTGCTGGATTCATGATATGGCAAAATCGTTGAAAAACCATCAGCAAAATCAGCCACTCCAGGTGTTCAATATCGCGGGTGGGCTCAGTCATAGCCCATAGGATCCATGTATGGTATATATATATATATTATCTATATGGTAACATTTACCATCAATATACCCCAAATGTTAGCATATATATACCATACATGGATCCTATGGGATAGTGGCCCCTCCAGCAATCGCAGCCCTGTTTTGATCACACAGATCTCTGTCCTTGAGCGCTCCACGGCCAATTCCGCTGGGGCCGATTCCCGATTCCGCCAAGTCGTGTGACATTTCAGCTGAAAAGATCTGAAAAACCACTGGGATACGGGAGAGATGCACAAAAAAAGTCCCATCACGTTCCCAAGTCATCGTTTCATGGCAACATCATCAAGACAATCATAAAATAGTCATTAGATAATCATATTTTATGATTTTTATGATCATTTTCCATCTATTTTCCTCATCTTCGTTGTCGTGTCGCAACGGCGACACGCAGTCACCGATGGTGCCTCTGCCCATCGATGGTGCCGGGCTCTCAGTAGTGCGACTTGTTGCCACGCCGCGCCACGCTGTTGCCCTGTGTGAAGGTGGTCAGCTTCTTGAGGAAGCCGTCGTCGGTCCTGGATCCAAGGGGGGATCCAAGGGATTTTTGGGGAGCCCCAAAACCTGGAAAAACGGAAGGCTTCTATGTATATCTATTTTATATATATATATATGATATATGTATAATTAATTGTGTATATCTCAAATATATTCAAATCTGTAAATCACCATATAACTCAACAAACATGGAGGTTTCCGACTCATGGTAGATCCCAAAGTCACAATAGGAAACTCATGGAAATACTGGGGAGAAAGATGGGAGACCATAGGATTTTTTTCTATGGTGGATATGATATGGGGATATGATATGGAAATGATGGGCATTGCCGGCATTGCCACTGGGAATATCGCGGAGATGTAGGCTATACAATCGGATATGATGTGATATAACCCATAGGATCCATGGTGCTGCTATATATGCTAACATGACTGGGGTATATGAATGGTAAATGTTACCATATATGGCAGCACCATGGATCCTATGGGTAATGAAGATATGATGGTCCAAACAACCAATGAGACATGGCACGGATGGTTAAGGGTTCTAGCAACCCATCTGGTAGTCTGGCACCATGAAGTCGGATCTCGGTCATCCCAGCATGAAATGGCCATGCCAAAATGCCATAAAGATGGGTAAATTGATATAAATAAATTGAATAAATTAAATAAATATGAATAATTCAACATGTGCACATGGCTGCGAAACTGATGCTCTGATGGATCGTTTCCATTGGGGATTACCGGAAGCCGCTGACCGGGTTCCGGACACCGTCTAGGGATGAGGGGAGATTGTCATCCCATATCACATCTGAGTCATCCGAGATTTTTAAAAAAACTGATGACTTGATGACCCCACCAAAAAGTCATCCTGAAGCAAATGTGTATATTCCAAAAAAGGTACAATTTCTTGGGATTCATGGTCGAAAAAAAACAACTCTCACAGCCTCCATCTCAACTTGGGCTTGGGCTCACGGTAAGCATGGAGAAATCGAATCTTCGCCCCCCTCCAAAACCCATGACGGATCCATGGTGCTGCTATATATGGTAACATGGATCCCATCAATATACCCCAAATGTTAGCATATATACCAGCACCATGGATCCGTCATGGGAAATGCAACCATGAATCACCAGCCCCTTTCAAGCGCGAACATCAAATGACTTGCTGATTTGGGATCTGTCAATTTCTTCGTTTGAATCGTCATCCTGTCACGATATGTCACGATGGACTGGTTTCAGTATCTGGACTGGTCATGTGGAGGTTTTCACAAATAGGGGGTACCCCAAAAAAAATCATGATTTCTAATGGAAAATCCCAAACAAAAAGGGATGAAAACTGGGGGTACCCCCATGACTTGGGAAAGCCCGATTTCTCCCACCCTGCAGTCAGTCCTTTTTTTGATGACCGGTATGCCTCGAAGACACGGGTTTGGGGGGATGCTGCGACTAGCCGACTAGCTGACTAGCTGGGTTGTGACTCATGGGTTTGGTCGGAAAAACATGGAGAAACCCAAAGTCCGGACGTTGATCATAGGGAAAAACATGGTTTTGTCATAGGGAAAAACATGGGTTGAAACATTGGTTGTCCTCATTAGAAGTGTTTATCTGTTTTAAAGGACCCCAATCTCAGACACGCAGATTTGTGTTATGATCTATGATGGAGGTTGGCTACTACAGCAAGGTGCTGGGAGTAAGAGAGCATTGAAAAATCTCCATTGAGAGTTGTGGCATCTAAAATACCTTCTGAATTCTACCAGTACACCCATCTGAAAAACATCCGAAGAAACGGCTGAAGTCCAACCGGGCCATGGAAAAAAGCTGTGTTGGAACACCAGAAATGAAGAATTCTTGGAAAGATACCCAGCTTACATCATGAAATGGTCAGCCAATGAAGCTGTTACATGATTCTCGCAGTTACATCCTCATTCAATCATGGTGTTGAAATGCCGATGTTTCTTTGATAAAAATTGCCAGTGTTGCTTGATTTAAATATATCAAACCTACAATTTTTGCTGGTTCACCCCCGTTCCCCAAACTCCATTGCCCAACTGAGGCCCAACGAGTGTTCCGCGTCATCCCGCAGTGTCGAAATGTCCACAATCTTCGATTGTCCGCTGAGTAGGCCACTCCGTCGCCTCGTCTCAGGAACAGCTCGACGACCGAGTAAAAACAAACCCCAAGTTTTGGTCCAGAGATGGTATCCATACCCAGATGCTCCATGTATGGTATATTTACTTACATTTGGGTGATTTTTAGGGCAAATGTAAATATTCCATACATGGAGCATATGGGATAGGGGATACCCAAAAAATCCAACTTATCCGATTTGGGTTTGTATGATCACGGGTTTTTTTGATGGGTACAGTACCCATAGGATCCATGTGTGCTGCTATATATGGTAACATTTACCATCAATATACCCGAGTCATGTTAGCAAATATATACCATACATGGATCCTATGGGTCTACATCAATAAACAGATTCATCATAGAGAAATCTAGATAGATATCTAGATATAGGTAAATATAAATAGACTCATTAACATAGATGACATAGATGGGTATAGTAATAGAATGCCACTTCAACGGGGAAACAACGGATCAACGGATCAGCTGAGCTGTTGGACTCGCTGCCATCGAACATCGAAGGAAGTGGCCGAGGGTGCCACACATGTTTCGCTACACGGCAGTTCTGCCGAAAGAGCTGGAACATGGCCATAGAAATAGTGGATTTACCCATGAAAAATGGTGGATCTTTCCCTAGTTTTCTGTATGTTTACCAGAGGGTATCAATAATATGTGATTATCTAGTTGGTGGTTAACATCTTGAAAAATGATGGAGTTCGTCAATGGGAAGGATTATATATCCCATATATGAAATGGAAAAATGGAAGTCATAAAAGCCATGTTTGAAACCACCAACCAGAATTCAAACACAAGCTCTAGCTGCTATACCTGCTATCCCTCAGGGAAAATGTTTGGAATCTGACTTGATGTTCTTTTCTTCTCGTTTGATTCGTTCAACGCCGACATAAAAAAAAAAACCAGCCCCAATAGATGTCCCCTTCGATTCCAGTTGATTGCTGGCATTTGTAAAAAAAAAAAACAGCGAAATAAGGGGTGAGTCATATTGTGTTTCTACTATACATATATATATATATATACATTCACGTATCATATGGATCAGAAAAGTAAGCAACAGATGGTGCAAATATGTAAAATATGTAAAAAATATATATCACAGACTGACATAAGCACGAGCAACACAGGTTCATGGAATGTGTTTCTAATAACTAAAACTCTACTATTTCTTGTGCAGCAACCTTCATAGACTTGCTAAGTCTATGAAGATCACCCATTGTGATGTGCTAAGATGTGCCTGGGATTTTCGTTTCATGACTTACCCTCTGGTAATTTAACATAACTATGGAAAATCACCATTTTTAATGGGAAAATCCACTATAAATGACCATTTTTCAATAGCTATGTTAGTTTACCAGAGGGTACCAGTCAACCTCGCCACTCAGCCACTCGCAGTCGACTAGCCGACTCGCCAAGCTGCGCAGGACCACCGAGATCTTGGGCACCTCATTCACGGTGAAATCCCTCCCTCGATCATCCTTGCCTGGAAACAAGCCACAGGGCCCTACACAGAGTGCACCTGGAACGCAGACACTTTCCGAATAAATAGCCTAGAGTCGAATCCCTGAGAGATGTGTGTTTTTTGTTGTAATATGTGTATATATATGAAATGGTTCCTCCAAATTGGTCCAAATTGCGTGTCGTACTATGGCTGGTTCCAAGAAATAAGCATTGGTAATTTACATGTGGGATCATGTGGGAATTCAAACCAGGCAAAAGGTGAAATTTAACCATTAGAAATACCTGGGTTTATCATAAAATCTTTGGGATTCAACTTGGAGAATAAAACGATTTTTTTTGTTCGGGGGTCATTCGTCGGACTTGGTCAATGTCAAGGTAAAAATATGTCCAAAATGTCCAAAATGGGGCCATCGTTAGCATGGAGCAACCATGGTACCTCAACTTATCCCCCTAATTTTGAGAGAATCTCAGGCGTGGATCTTGTTGTCCTTGCTTTCGTCAGAGAGTTGTATCCACTTCATCTTATATTTAAAACATTTTAAAACCCTAGTTGCAGTTGGGGATATAGTTTGTTTATTGATTGGATTGCAAGATATCATTGGGATGTTAATAAGCTTCAGTTGCACTAAAATCTAAAACATAATTTAGACGAAATTATTGTTGGGAATATACCCGCTGGTAAACTAACATATGGATAATCACCATGTTTTAATGGGAAAGTTCACGATGAATGACCATTTTCAATAGCTATTTTGACATAACCAGAGGGTAGTTGGTTCATCATTGGAATGTCTGAATTGAGATACGTATAGATAATAGTTTATAATAGATGGTTATTTCAGGTATGAAATCATCTATTGATTGTTAGTTATCTCAATTATCTAACAACGATTATTTCAGGTTCATCATTGAAATGTCTGAATTGAGATATTGTGGATGTAAACCAAGAGATCAAATCTCTGGTGTCCGGAAGGAGGATGGGAAAACCCATCCCCCCGTGTTTCAAAGGAGGTGTATCGATGGTATATCGGGCTGTATCCTCAGTTCGGGATGGTTTTCTATGTGTTCGATAAATCCATGTTCGATATTTTCTTCTTCAAATCCATTTCTGATCAACCCCCAATTTATGTATCATAATTCACCCTCTGGTAAACGTTTACATAACTATGTAAAATCACCACTTTAAGTTCGGTAAATCAACTATAAATCTATGGGCCATGGCTTGTTTATGTCGCTTTTTAAGTATGTTTACCGGGCCGGGTTCATTAAATGAATGGCAAATGGCTCGCGAACTGTCCAAGCAACTTGACTCACCATGGCACGTATCATTGATCCACATGTGCAATCATGTATTATTTATTATTGTTAGGAAAAATATTATTAATATTATTACTATATTATTATGATCATTATTATTACTACTATATTATGATCATTATCAGTATTATTACTATATTATTATTAATTATTATCATTATTAATTATATATACCAGTATCACATATTATCTATCCATATTCAAACTCCCCATCATATGTAATGTGGTAAACCCAATAATAAACATTCCAAACATGAGCAGAAGTAGGTTGTATAAACCAACCCGAATGGTAGGTTTATGGCATATGGTTTACCACATTAGCATACATGAATCATATCATTTATCCATGTCTATCCATATTTATCCATATTTACAATCAGTATAAATATGATATGGTACATATCCATAAATATACATGTTATATAATCTATTCATATATATATATATATGCCCATAATATAATCATATCATTGAGCCACATTTATCCCCCTCACCGAAAGGCGCCCGCTCTCCTTTGGTCAGTTGCTCTCGCATCACCTTCAGGTGGCGGCTATCGCGGAATTGGTCGCGGATCGAGTCCTGCACGGCTATCGGGGAAGCACGGACTTCCCGACTTGATTGCTGGTGATGTAAATAGGGATTTATTATGGATATATATATATATATGTATAATATATATATATATGTATAATATATATATATGTATAATATATATATATATATGTATATATGTATAGTGATAGTACTGGTGATGATCCATATAATATAATGATCCATTGATGATAAAAAAGAAGTGAATGGTGACTAATGGTTGTTTTTCATGGGTTATAAATTGGGGTAATACCCACAGAATTTGGACCATGGTGAGTATGAACTATCCAATAAAATTGAGGTACCATTCACTTGACTTCAACCAGCCATTTTCCTCTCCCAACAGAAATGAGTGGACTTCGCCAAGAAAAGACTGAGGATTTGGGGAAAAAACCAGCCATCTTTGGGGAAAATTCACCAGCCATGTGGCTGGAGATGTAGATTGGGACTTTTTCTGTTCTGGGGTCTGTCTAAAAATGGGAAACACAGAAAAATATTCCCTCCAAATGTTCACAGTTTATTGCAAAAATTTCGAAAAAAAATCTAATTCTAATATCTCATACATACATAATCATACGCGCAACGCCTGGGTTCTGCCCAGGCGTTGCAGCGTATATATGTCCCATTCACGAACAAATGATGTTGCAAATTACCGTAATTCCTATGGGAAAAAAACACAGGTACTAGAGACTATCAAACAAACAAGGTCAAAACACCCGAAATTCCTATGGGAAAAACAAAAACGGCATAACACCTGCAATTCCTATGGAAAAAACAACAAAGGTACTAGCAAATTTTAAACTCTCAAATCGTGAAAATTAAAATTCAAGTAGGCAGATCAACAAAGATATTTGGGAATATTAAACTCCCACCCCCGTTAAACTTTACATTCAATTGGGAAGATCAACAAAGATATTTGGGAATATTAAACTCCCACCTCCCACCCCCGTTAAACTTTACATGCAATTGGGAAGATCAACAAGGATATTAGGGAATATTAAACTCCCACCCCCGTTAAACTTTACATGCAACTGGGAAGATCAACAAAGATACTAGGGAATATTAAACTCCCACCCCCGTTAAACTTTACATTCAATTGGGAAGATCAACAAGGATATTAGGGAATATTAAACTCCCACCCCCGTTAAACTTTACATTCAGTTGGGAAGATCAACAAGGATATTAGGGAATATTAAACTCCCACCCCCGTTAAACTTTACATGCAATTGGGAAGATCAACAAAGATATTAGGGAATATTAAACTCCCACCCCCGTAATGATGATGATGATGATGATGATGCTGCTGATGATGATGATGATGATGATGATGATGATGATGATGCTGATGTTGATGTTCATGATGATGATGATGTTGATAATGATGATGATGATGATGATGAAGAAGATGATGATGATGCGTCGCCCGTCGTCATTGCGGGTCCGGGCAAAACCCAGGCATTTGCCGTAATCATACATATATATATATATATATATGTGTGATGTATATATATATATATATACTTATACATATATTTGCGTTCATTTATATTCTAACTGTGGCTGGATTTTGGTATTCTAACTGCACTTTTCCGGGTTTTTGTTTGCGTTTTGTAAAACGTCAATTCATATCCATGGATCCGTGATATTTGAATTCTAACTGCCAGTCCCTTACTGTATTTACCATCAAATTTTAGGGTACCAGATTTTCAGACCAACCCAGTGAGCGCTTTCCCCAAAATGTGAACGATCATTTCATGTCCCATCTGCAACGCAACGCAACTGAAAAAGGCAGTTAAGCTGAATTCGGTAAAATCTGACCAAAAATATAACGTTGACTTTGAATTTTACAAAGCTGAGTATAAATGACGTTGAAATATGTTTTTTTGTATTTTTGCAAAAGCTGACCAAAAAATAAAAGAGTATAATGACGTTGAATCCTTTCCGAGGTAAGGAACAAAAAAGCTCAAGTGGGGTGAACACAGCTACATCCAGCAAAAGTGACAAATCAGCCTCTAGTACACCAACAGTTCGCTATGGAAACCCACCATTTGTTATAGGCAAATCAAGGAAATCCATGAAATTCGCAGTGTTCAGTCAAGATTTCGTCAAAGATGATGTGGGATAGTCATCCTCCAACAGAATTTCGTCAAATCCCTTCTAAAATCGTGTTATACACTCTGGTTATTTAACATAGCCATGGAAAATCCCTCATAAATGGAGGTTTTAATGGGAAAATCATCTATAAATGGGCCATCTATACCATGGCTATGTTAAATAACCAGAGTGTAAATCACTAAAGTCACTATCTTTTCGGAGGTTACCCGTTCGGGTCAACGTGTACTTTTTTCATGTGGGTTTAACCTGGCTGAAAAAAGGCACCCGTGAGGGAAAACTGATCGACTTTTTATGGTGGATCCCACATCTGATGTAAACCTTGGAGGGTACCAAATTCGCAGCTACCTAGATGGGCTATCTATGACTAATGCATGGAACTTCAATCGTCTGAAATACTATCTGTGAGTGTCGGTCCAGTCATTCGGTACCCCCAATCAAATTATAGATGGTACAATGGTACCCAATACGAAAAACCATTCACCATTAGTATAGAATCATGAAAAAAAACAATCCTCAAATCAATCTGTGGGTTTTCATGGGGCTTACATGGCTTACCCAAATGCCTGGCTGTATCGGATCTGCCCCAGCTGCAGCTCCAGGATTTCCTGACGGACGTTGCGAACTTCAAAGACCCAGAGGGTAAATAGTAACAACTCGGATAATCATCATATTTATCATAGTGAAATTAATAGTGAAATTTCATAGTGATACCCATCACTATGATGATTGCACTAGTAGAATAGGATAAAATAGGTTACTTTCATAGTGAAATCATCATATTTATCATCTAGTTCGGCCATGGCTTCCATAGATATGTAACCAGTAGCCAGAGGGTAGTGGGATTTTGTTGAGCTAATGAGTGGCTCATCAGAAGTGGGGTCGGTAAGTAGGCTTTGTATAGATTCATAACTGGGGTTACAAGCCCCTTACTAGCTAGGATGAAACACCAACTAGGTACCCTCTGGTACTTTAACATAGCTATTGAAAATGGCAATTTACAGTTGATTTACCCATTAAAAATTGTGATTTTCCATAGTTTTCTGTATGTTTACCAGAAGGTATCAGGGGTGTTTTTCATGGATCTAGTAGGGACCACAATGTGGCTAAAATGGCTCCAAGTAGGGACCCATTTATCGGCGATGGCGCTGATTTAGCTGTTTTCACTCGGCTGTTGGGTTCTGGGTGGGTGTATCTCGACTATAGTGAGATGGGTAAACCAACAAACATCACTGGGGGCAAAACATTGCAAACCTATGGATTTCACATGAAAACCCATGGTGAGTCACTGTCAAACATGTGGATTAGCCAGAAAACATCACGACGGTGCGACGCTTCTTGGAATCTGTTACGATGTTTATGTTTTTTTACAAATTGAAGAAATATGATGGTTTTGCCATCCTGTTGGTCATTTTGGGAAACGTTGAAGGAACCCATGTTGTCTACCCAACAAATGTGGGGGGTGTCATGTTAATGCTTCCTGAAAAACAGACTCTGGGATTTTGCCAATAAAGCTGAGGATGTGGGATGATTGAAATGAAATACCATCTAAACAGTATCTATCTGCAGTATCTTAATCATTCTTAATCCATGTTATTCCATGTTAGTATATCATCAGCAACAAACTCCAAGCTGTCAAGGGGTGTTCACAACTTCCACCCTACCCCCGCAGCGGCTCACTAAGGAAAAGTGTAACCAGCATCTATGTACACTACAATACCCATTCTCAGTATCAAAGATTAACCCCATGCCCCACTTCAAACTAACAGTAACTAACCCCATGGCTCATAAGATCTCATAAGTAAGTGGTTAGAAACACTGCTGAATACATCAGTCTCTCTATGGAGAAACTATATAACTTCAGGTACTAACCTTGTGATTCGTGAGATGATAAGCACCAAGCAACCACCCGAATCTCCGGTCCCTGCTGCAGTATCCAGTGAATTTCCAAAGTGGAATTCCTCATTTTGGACCGATCTCCCAACACGTGCTGGTTCTAATGGATATACGCTGTATCCCCAAAAAATCGTAAAGCAATTCTTCCAGGATGTCAGAAGGATGCCGTTTTCACAAAACGATGACCCAATATGTCCGGGTTTCCAACTTGTCTATCTTTTTCGCTGCAGGTGCTAATCAAAATCCCAAGTTTTGCCAGTTCTACCCCTAATTTTGTGTGCTTGTTAGTGTACAACCTGTAACCGGGATATGTCATATTATAGTTATTACCCATTTACGATTCCTGAGAATTCTTAGTTAAACCATGAAAACCTTGGTGAAATCATGTGAAATCCCCATTGTGTTTTGCTTCATCCCCAAAAAAAAATAGTAAGTGATTTTAGAACATCTTATAACCTCTGAGCCTTTTTTTCTATCACATAGTCACTTATTTGTCCAATGATATCACCATTGTATCCCATCAAAAATCACCATTTTTACTAGTTAAATCCCCATTAAATCCATATTGCTGGTGAAATCCCCCAAAAAAAAACAATCAACTGGTTCAATCCCTAAAGCCCTTGTTGCTGTACGGTCAGTATTTATATATATATCCCATGATATCACCAATTCTATTCCGTTAAATCACCATTTTTTTGGGTGAAATCCTATGAAATCCATATTGTTGATGGATATTGATGGTTAAATACCGTAAAATCCCAATCAAATCCCGACATTGATGGTTAAATCCCATAGTTAATCCATATGTCTAGAATGAAACTTCCAAATTCCCATAGTAAATATGGTATAACTATGGTATTTCCAGGCTTTAATATGCTTAAATCATCTTAAATCCCAGAGTAAAATCCATATTTCTCGGTAAAATACCATATTCCCAACCAACTGATATTGGTTTTTAAAACCTAGATATGAATGCTTTACCATAAAAAAATGACATGGCAAATCTTACGTAAAATTCCCAACTTCGCCATCACCATATCACCGGCGCCTTCTCACCAGCCTCCTCCAGTCGTTTGCTGCGCATCGCCTGCAACGCCGCCAGCGAGCCACGGCGCCAGGCAGGCGACAGAAGCATCGTGCGCACCTTGCGCGTGGGCGCGCTGGCAGCGCTGCCTGGCGGAGCGAGGCGAGGCGATTTTTTTGGGGCTGAAACATGGTGAACCCCGACTTTTCACCGGAAAATTTTATGAAGATCATGATCAAAGCAAGAAACATATATGGAACACATTTGAGAAATGTTGGAGTGGATTTGGGTGTGAAGAACTCAAGAAATCATGGTTGAGCTGAACTCAAAAACCGGACATGTTTAATGGTGTAACTAAAATGGTTGAAATAAAATGGGGAGTTTTTTGACCAAAATTGGATGGTTTGACCAACACAAAGAGAATGTTGATGATTGTGTTACCCTCTGGTAATTTAACATAGCTATTGAAAATACCCCATTTATAATTGATTTACCTATTCAAAATGGTGATTTTCTATAGCTATGTTAGTTTACCAGAGGGTATTCCAATTGGAGGTTTTTTCGGTTGTCAAAATGGTAGACCTGGTCTTCTTGGGAGCGTCTCCAATGAAACTGGAGATGTTGGAATTGTTGTTTCGGTTCCCAACTTGAAATAGTTGTTACCCTCTGGTAAACATACAAAAAGCTATATAAAATAACCATTTTGAATAGGTAAATCGATTATAAATGGGGTATTTCAATAGCTATGTTAAATTACCAGAGGGTATTTCATTTAAAAAAATGATTTCAACCAAAATCAGTCATAAAACAGGAAACCCAAAATGGTGACGCGGTGACGCAGTGGACTCAGGCCGGTATGTGCCACATAGGATACACTGCCGAGACATATCAACCTTGGGGGGTCCCAGAGGGTTTCACCCAAACATTGTGTGGCAATGTTCGTGATTCAGGTGGATCCAATTCATATCTGGTTGGTGGTTTCAATCCCTCTGAAAAATATGAAAGTCAGTTGGGATGATTATTCCCAATATATGGAAAAATGAAAAATGTTCCAAACCACCAACCAGATATCTTGAAGCTTGTGGTTGACACTGGAGCTACCAAGGGCCCCAATTCCCCAAGGGGGCCCCTGCCCTTGGATGCCCCAGTGAAGTGACCAGTGCCGTTCCAAACCACCAGTGAACAGCTGGAAATGACCACGATTTCGGATAGCTGATAGGTTTTTCATGGTTTTTGGGTGCCAAGTTGGATATTTCTGTCGCAATTTTCCAAGCTCTGTGGGTCAACATCATGTGGATCAGCACCGGACCCGGACCTGTCATAAAGTGTGGTTTGCTTTGTCGATTTTGTTGAGTGGCAAGGTGGTAAACCCAAACATGAACCAGGCCCAGCCGGGATTCCAACCCAAATTTGGAGCTGGCATGAGCTTCACCAAAAAAAAAGTTTCAGCAGGGCATAAAGAACCCTTGCTGGTTGGTTGGTCGGAACAATCATCGCATAAACCACGTGGTTGATATGACTTATGTCCATCAAGTACAATCCTCATCTGGTTGGTGGTTGACCTACCCCTCTGAAAAATATGAAAGTCAGTTGGGATGATTATTCCCAATATATGGAAAAATTAAAAAATGTCCCAAACCACCAACCAGTCATCTTTAAAGAACGGTCTGACATGGTATGACCATCAAGCAAGGAGGTTTGGGCACTCATCTACCACCGAATAAAACAACCAGCAACCTCGCCTTTGGCTGTCGCACCCTCAGCAGCATTTTCCGGTGCATCCTGGTTGCGATCAAATATGTGGCCAAGAGATTTCCAGTCGATGGATCTTTCAGCAGTTAAAAACTCTGAACATCAGCGAAGTATGATCGAAAGAGAGGATATTGGATGGGTAAAAAAATCCAACCCACAAGGGTGGAAAATTGGGGGTCAGATGATTTTGGTACTACAATCACAGCCAATCTTAGATACCCTGTACTTCTGTGAACTGGTAAATATATGTTCCCATGGCAAAAAATGAAGTTGCATTACCCCTCAGTGTGGTCAGTTTCTTCTGTACTCCAAATGCTTTCTTTGCATCACCAAAACACCAAAAAAATCCTAGCAGTTTCCAGGTCCTCTCCAACAGCTTCTTCTTGTTCGGAATCCGATGACCTGCGGGGATTTTGGACAGCCCTCCATCATCCACCAGGTCACCATGTGGAAGTCAACATCTATAGATCGGACTTGAACTGACAATCTTTGGTGACTTGAAATCCGGATTCATCCAACAACTCCTTGTGGCAAGACTCTCAATTCTCTGTTAAAAAAAAAAACACATATCTTCCAGAAACCCATGATTTTGATTAGGTAATTTTGGTCACTATCAATGATGGTTTTCGTAAGATCGTATGATTCATTACAGAAACCTCACAGGTTTACCGTGAAAAGGGTCATTGGTAATGTCATTCTAGGATTGTTTGCCTTCAGTAACTAAATTGAATGAGGTCATTGTCAACCCCAGAATGAGGGTAGCCATGCCAGAACTAACATAACCTCACTAGAATGGTGAACATTATGAATGGTGAGGTTGCTAATCACTAATTATCATTAATTATCTAATGATTAATCACTATCGTTAACATGTTCAATGACCTCATCACTAGATGATTTATGAATATCAGTATGTCCCATGAAAATCATTCATGGCCTCATTGGAAAGGATGGTTTATGGCTTTACCAACATTCATTCCATTGTTTATCAATAATATCACTGATTAGCTGGTTAATGATTCCACGTCAATGGATGATTATTCCCTTCAAATATGGTAATAACATATAATAACCCTAACCTATTGTATCCCTATGTACCAACATTAGAATGGCAAAAACAGATTTTTTCATGAGGTCATCATCAAGTTGACGAACATCACCCAGGACTTGGGTGAACCTGGCAAGGGAAAAAATTTGGTCGACCTTTCGACAATGTCCCCTACCTCACAAAAAGACGTTGAATCTTAGGCAACTATGACATAGATACTCTGTATATATATATGCTGTGTATGTGACAATATTATATATAGAATAATATCATATATATATATACATATATGTGATATATATATATATGTAAAATCCTGCATTTGCGACTCAAACAAACTATCAACCAACCATTCACCAGTCGATTTTATCCATTGAAATCGTGGTTTTTGTCAGTCGAAACCAACACTTAACCCAGTTTGTAGCCAAGAATTGACCCAGCTCAGCTAACCAGGAACGGATCTAAGACATGTTTAATGTGGAAACTCGATCACCGTCCCTAGAAACCAACCACGAATTGGTGTAACGATAGGGGGGGGGTCCATAGTCATGGGGGTACCCCAATAGCTGGAAGGCTTATTTCATGGAAAATCATATTAAAATGGTAATTTGATGTAATTTGGGGGTTACAGTATACCCAAATTCTTAAACCGCAAATGGCAGCGGCTGCTTTGTTATACTCATCCCATGCCCATGACGATCCTGGAACGATTTTTTTTTGTCCCATATCATTGGGTTTCTTTACCCCATTGGTTGATAGTTGGACCTCAGAGATTCACGTTAAGATTTACGCCATATTCCTATGGTTTGCAAATTACCCTCTGGCAAACAAAGATAACCATAGAAAATCAGAACTTTTAGTAGGTCAGTCAACCATTTCGATGGGCCATTTTCCAGTTCGCAAACTGTAAACGTTTACCAGGCAGGGTATATCCCAATCTCATATCCCATTGAATCACAATCATTTAGTTCCATTCAATAACTATAAATCCCATTGAACACCATTAAAATACCAGGCTGGGTGGCCGAACACATCCCGTAGCACATCCCTTTCACCTTCCCTTTCACCATCCCATTTCTGAGGAGCACGAGTCATCCTCGGCGGCTGGCGGCAATGCGGAGCTTGCTGTCCCTGGCGGAAGGTGATGTAGCAAGGTTTTATCCTGTAAAATGGGTACTTAATGACTTTACATAATGTCGACTATAGTATGTCATTTATGTAGTCTATTTAAATATTGAATATTACTAGTCAACATATATGAAGATATATGAAGTTTCCATGTGATGGGAAAAAAGACGGGAAGTACAAAACTGTGAAAAATCGTCATTCATCAACGTGGGGATGTAACCAAGAATGTTCGTCAATGGTGAAGCTTCTCCCGGGCCATTGCTGGTGGTTGAGCCATGATAGCCATGGCCCTGAAATTCATATTGCTAGCATCATCCACCAACCAGTATATACATATGTAACACACACCAAAAAAAAAACTGGGGATAGTCTAAAAGTCTATATAATATATATATACCCCATTACTACCACCATGTACTACTGATCTTTTTATGGGGCAAACATCAAATTCTGTAAACTGATGAACTCATGAAGCATGTACCGACTGAGATGTTTTCTGGTTGGTCAGCTTTTTTCGCTAGCCAAACATCTAAGGATGATCATAGGTCATCTCAACGATTAAGAAACCACTGGGTTGTTCACTTGGACCCTGCCAAAATCGCCCGCTGTCACTTTTTAGATGTGACTTTGTGGGGGGTGACCTTCAAATCAACCAAGCTTTATGAAAATCTGGGGGTTTACATACAGATCAAAATGTTGGACCACAATCTTGTAGCCCAACCAATACTGACGAGGTTTCCAGAAAGCTTATTTTTCCAATGGGACTTAGTCATTTAAAAAAAACTAAGCAAGCCCATTTCAGGAAGATTTCCCAAACCATCGTACCATCGTCGCGTCGCGTCGCGAGCGTGAAAATGTGTCCATCCCGGATGGATGAACGAGAGTTTTCTTCGTCGCGACCAGGAGTGACTCTCTCGTTACACACCGAATGCCCTGAATGATGTTTATATAACCTGGAAAAATGTTACAACTAAGCTTGGCAGAAATCCCGTTACAAATCAGATATCGCAAAACAGGGATGGTCAATTGGTCTGTTTAAGAGAGGGTATGTGATATTTCATACCCTCTGCTAATCAAACGTGGCAATAGAAACTCCCCTATCAATGAAGGTTAGCGGGGAATAGCGTCTAGAAATGAGGACAAAGGATCTCCGTGATCAGCATATACCCTCTGGGTATGGAACATCACCCATTTGAAGATGATTTACCGATTATCCTGAAAGCCTGCAAGAGAAACTATTGCCGACCTATATGTTTCCATCTATCAACTATCAGTCTATATATATATGTATATACATATATATGATATACATATATGTATATACATATATGTATATACATATATGTATATACATATATATATATATGTATATATATGTATATACATATATGTATATCATCTATTTCACTCGATTTCACCCATTTGTAAGTGATTTCCTGGTGAAAAAAAAACACAAACCCATCATTTTGGGCATTTCCCAGTGACCGGTTGGCGCCTGAAGGGTTGGTGGAGGCAGATGCACCTCTGGTAATGACTGGGATTCCATGGATTCCTACCCTCTGGTGATTAATCATGGGGATTCAATGGGATTTATCATGATTTCATGGGACTAATGATTGTTTCAATGGGATATTAATGGGATATACCGGATATACCCTCTGGTAATTTGTTACATAGCTATTGAAAATGGCTATTTATAGTTGATTTACCTATTAAAAAAATGATGATTTTCCATAGTTATGTGGCTGTTTACCAGAGGGTAAATCATCGAAGTGAATGATCCATGTTCGACAACTATGTCAACTTACTGGAGGTAAAGAAGCTATGATAAACTGTAAAATCCTCAAGGCCCACCCCAATAGTGAGTATAATTTTCCTTTCATGGCTGGGAGCAAGCCAGTACAACTCCTTGTCTCCAGAAACTGCCGTGACTTGAGGTCAAAAGCAGAAACCATGACTAACAATGACGAAGCAATAATATGTGGAGCTTTCCTAAGTCCTGGGGGGTACCCCTAGTCATCCATTTATAGATGCTATTTGTTCCACGGATTTTTGTTACCATCCAGCGAGCTTTTACCCCCATGGCCATGGAAACCCCCAGTCGGACGGTCCCTCAAGGATCATCCAAGCAGATTTACGTTCCATGAGGACCGAGCAAAAATGATGAAAGGGGTCATACGGAAAAAATACTGAATTATATTAATGTCCAAGTGTTTCAAAACAGTATTTGGAGCAGGCGATTTTGCAGATATGTTGAACATATTTGAAAATCAACCCACTTTGAAAAGGCGAAAGAGAAATCAATGTTCACATTCCGGTAAGAAACAATCCGCCTGCAGAAGGATTTTCGCTGTCTTCACCTGCCCACAGGATTGGATACTTTTGCGGCGGGATGGGGGCTGAACGGGCTGAACATTCTTAGCCACCAAACAATGCTAGTTTGACCGACCAAAGTAGGCATCCAACCAAGTAAAACAGGGATTTTTGAGCCCCAAAGATTGGATGCTAAAGGCTACACCATTGGCTGGTGAGGTCCAAACTCTCATAAACACACCTTGCAAAACAAGGCTCATGAGCTCCACTTGAGCAGTGTTCAAGCCATCCCTCTATCATTCCATTGAATCCTGGTTGGTTACCCTCTGGTAAACTAACATAACTATGGAAAATCACCATTTTTAGTGGGTAAATCCACTATAAATGGCCATTTTCAATAGCTATGTTAAATTACCAGAGGGTAAGAATGGGATTCCCCGTTCTTGGATTATGAACTCATCCCCAATATATGAAGGGTAGTTTGTCATCCCCATGTGGTTTCCCCCAAAAATAGGAGCTTCGCCTTGGCCTCCTGAAGCGGCCTTGCTTCCAGAGCCTACCGCTACGTGACCGGAGAGTAACCGCTACGTGACCGGTGATCAAACGGGGCTGCCTGGAAAATCATCAATGGCTTCAATGGCCACATTTGATTACCAGAGGTCTATATTATATATAACATATATGTAGGCTTGATTGTATCTAATTATGCATGCATGCATGCATGCATGCATGCATGCATGCATGCATGTATGTATGTATGTATATATATATATATATTGTGTGTGTGTGTGTGTGTTTGTACATGCAGGTCTTGAGTTGTGATATATTATTATATATATATATTGCTCACGTTGAGCGTGGCTGTCAAAGCCTACAAACTTGGAATCAACTCTGAGAGCAAGAGATTCGTGTGACCTGGAGAGAATTCCCATGGCTTATTCCCATTATGATATCATCTTTAAGGAGATGTATGGTCTATATGTTTGCATATATCCATGTTGTTCCCGAATATATCATAAGGTTTCAGAATGTATCTCTGTGACGATTTCCCAGTCATGTTTGCCAGACAGCACATTCAGACTTTTCCTTCAACCAGCCTCAAAAAAATCGCCCTATCAACTCCTACTCGGCTTTCGCAAAGTGTAATTGGGGGTGACATTTCGGATTCTTGATCATGAGGTCGCAACATACCTCACCACAACCTAAGGAATGATATTTCACCACAACCTCAGGTGTAGATTATTTTACCATATACCTATACCTACCATATACCTACCATATACCTACCATATACCTACCATATACCTACCATATACCTTTTGGATTCATGATCGGCATTTTTTAGCCGTATACCTACCCAACCTAAGCTTTATCCTGTGGAATGTCTTGGATCCTAATTCACAAACCTAAAATAGCCGATCCAATTGCCGTCATTCCAGTGAGGTCGCAACAAAACTTATCTCAGACTATGTATATATGTATGACTATATATATATAAATTTATATATATATATGTATATACGTATATGTATATATGTATAAATTCCGCTACATTCCATTGTATCCCATGACATTCCATTACATAGGGGGGTTCCTAAAATGGGGGTACCCCAAAATGGTTTTCATGGAAAAACCTATTAAAATGGATGATTTAGCAGTGCGTACCCCTATTTCAGGAAACCTCCATATCCATCCATATCCCACTACGTCCAATCATATCCCAATCATATCCCTATCATATCTCCATATTTACCGTACCCAGAACTATTGTGGATCTCTTCATTGCTGAACCCCGGTATCGGCTCCGCGCTTTTGTGTTCACGTGATCGGGAGCTGGGAAGCGTTCCTGCGACGCATATGTCCCAACAAAACTTGAGGAGAACATGAGACACACCATCAGTCTGGATGTTCCCACAATTTCCCACAGTTATAGTCTGGATGTCAAAAATATGTGGGAACTTCTTTGAAATTGGAGCCAACCTTGAATGTTACATCTGGATAAACCATACTTCAAGGACCAGAAATAAGATCGGTATGATTCCCATGCACAATTCTTCCAGCGACATGGCAGTGAATTATCAATCAATACCTCCCTTGTGGCTACGGCCAGCACCCAACTCTGATCTTTGTTAATCATCATGTGTCCGAGTTAAACCCCAATGTTTTTCTTGACTAACCATCATCCCACATATCACTCTTTGTTGTTTACATCCTCATGCCACATGTTTCCGGACATGTTTTCCACCTGTTTCCAGACCTGTTTCATCAAAAATTGCTATTAGTCATATTTATGTGATATCATATTCCCACATGTTTCATGCCAAATCCTCCACTAACATCATGTGATTTTTCCACATTTGCTCCACCTTTTTCCTTGCCAAAAACCGCCCATGGCCATGGCCGCCATGGCCGCCATGGCCTTCTTCCAGCGCAGCCATCCAGATCTGGTCCTCAGCTTCCGCCTGCGTGTCCTGGCGTGGTTTTTGGAACTTACCCGGCCTGGTAAACATGCCAAAAACTATGGAAAATTCATGGAAGTTTAATGGGATTTAATGGTGTTCAATGGGATTTATATTTATTTTATGGGACTAATGATCGATTCAATGGGATATACCCTCTGGTAAACATACAAAAAGCTATGGAAAATGGCCGTTTGTAGTTTATATACCCATTAAAAATGATGGATCTTTCCATAGTTTTTTGTATGTTTACCAGAGGGTAATCATCACTATATTGTTATATCCTTCTGGGATGTTATCATCTAGATGTTGGGATATTAATCATATATAGTAGGTGTTATATTGCTATATATAGTATAGTGTACCATATAAGTATATTCTTATCATGTAGTATACAATATTCTATATATTAATAGCAAAAATTAAAAGAGGGAAACGAAAATAGGAAACATAAAAATATCTCGGGACCTCCTGTAATGTTTACCATAAATGAGTGGTATACACTATCAAAACTGGGTGGTATCATATAATATACTTTTTATACTATTCATAATAGTTATTACATGTTATTATATGGTATTATATGTTATTGTATGTTACTATAGAATGTTCAGAATAATGATGTTCTATGGGACCATAACATTTTACAATAGCCATTTTACCTGTGGTTATCTTATTTCCATCGAGATTGCTATGAATAATCACCATAAACTGTGTAATGGCCATCATATAATGACGATGGAATAACCATCTGAAAGCCATCATGTAATATCTATGTTATACCCAAAAAATACACCCATCATCATCATCATCATAATCAAATGTGTATATATATATACATACAATCTATATATATATATATATAAGTATATATATACATATATCATATATATATATATATCATTATATATATATCATACGTAATATATTGTTATGTCTATTGAATGGGATATGTTTGGGAAATTACAAGCATCAAGAATCGGGGTCGTCACGAACAAAAAACAATAGTAATCAAATAACAAACCATATAATAGAAATCATACCCTCTGGTTATGACTGACATAGCCATGGACAACCCCTTATAAATGGAGGTTTGAATGGGAGCCAACCTTGAATGTTACCATCTGGTTATGACTAACATAGCCATGGAAAATCACCATTTTTAATAGGTAAACCATCTATAAATGGGTCATGGCTTCCATGGCGAACTGTTAAATAGCCAGAGGGTAATAACAATCATAACATCTATGTTACATATGTCATATTCTATAAATGTCTATGAAAAATGCGCAATTTAGTGGGAAGATTCTTACATCAAACATTAGGGGTATAATAACCACATCATAATCATATAGCGACCATATCATAATTGGTTTCTGGTGGGTGTTTACTGTTGGGATGTTCCCATTTAATGGGTCCATAAAATGCGACATCCCGTAATTCATGGGGTTAGCATACGGAATACAATGGGCATTTGATGTAATATCTCCCGCATGCTTGATATCAAATATAGGGACTTGATGCCAAATCATGGGAATAATCCCCTAATATTAAACATTATTAAACAAACCCATTTTATGATCCCATAAATATATGGCGTTGTCCCCTGCTAGGCCATGGGGAGTGTTCAATATTAGAGGGGGGTGACATAACGGTAATAAAAGCGGTTGAATGGGAACAGACTGGGGATATGCGTGGGATAGGTTGGGATATGATGGGAACTGGCTCCTGGCTGATCTTGTTTTTTTGGCTTTTTTGGCAACATCACCAACTTGCTACAGGATGAGACTTGATAAAGATCCTACGGTTTAACCATCAAACATAGGGACTTTCCATAGGAAACCATTGGATATTATCCAACCACAATGGGGAAAGAATTTGGATATATATCTCCCAAGTATGATATTTTTCCCAGTCCCAGTAGATTGTAGAGAAAAGCAATTGACTATGTTTGTAGAATATCACGTTTCTATCTTTTTAGTGGTTTCAACCACCCGGCCTCTTTTCCATAGTCAGGGAATATGCTCCCAAATATCTTGTCAAGTTTAGCATTAAACCATCCCATCTAGAAAATGAAAAACCAAACAATAAACAATAAACATCAATAAACACTAGTCAATAAAAATAATCGATAAACACTATACTATCCAACTAATGAATAAGCATAGCAAGTGTTCCAGCGGAGTAAGACATGACCAAAGGGATCCCGAATCTATAAATCCGATTGGTCATGTGGTCCTCGTCTTTAACATGTTTAATGCTTAGTCAAAACGAATCCCACAAAGGTGTTGGAGTAAAACATGATCACAGGAAGACAGGCTTGCCTCTAAATCAATGGTGATTCCACGGGTTTTCTTCTCTCCATGTTTGTTGGTCGGGTCGCCCTTGCTGGCACCCTTGCTGGTTGCTGGTGAAATCATGTTACTGCCAGCATCGAATCATGTTTGATACGGGATGATACGGGATTGCCCTCCATGGTTACTTTTGTTGATTTATCACCGCTACTTGCCGGGCGCAGTTCGAGTTTGAAGTGGTGATATCACCATAGTTCTGGGGCTCCATATCCCAATAAATTGGGGCTTTCTACGATGGGCCAGCGAAATCCTGCACCAAGTTCGGATGGTTGAAACACAAAATCATGGGATGTTTCGATGTTTCCCACCGTAGAAAAAACTCGTGATGAACGGATTTCGCTGGCCCATCCACAGTAGCCATAGTGATATCGGTGAAACAGTGAATCGCCCAAAATTTCCAGCCTGCTGGATCAAATCCTGGGCAATGCGCTTGGGTTATGTGATGACCCGGTGGGGGCATGTATTGCAACGATCTGGGAGTTTCCATAGTCATTGGGGTACCCCAAACTCGCTGGAGCTTATTTCTTTCATGGAAAATCCTATTAAAATGGATGAGATCCCCCAAAAATGGATGGTTTCATGGAAAATCCATCTAGAAATAAAAATGATTTAGAGCTACCCCCATTGCCCCATGGAAACCGGAAATATTTAGTTTTCCAATTAACTCAAGCTCATAGTCTATGACTAAGTCCACCCAATTCATCTCAAGTTGCACAGAAATTCCATGACAGCTCCAATGATCCCAAAAAAATACGAACTCACCTGCAGCTACTATATTCCCATGATTTTCCCATGATTTTCCCATGATTTTCCCATGATTTTCCCATGATGTTCCCATGATGTTCCCATGATGTTCCCATGATTTTCCCATGATTTTCCCATGATTTTCCCATGATGTTCCCATGATGTTCCCATGATTTTCCCATGATTTTCCCATGATGTTCCCATGATTTTCCCATGATTTTCCCATGATTTTCCCATGATTTTCCCATGATTTTCCCATGATGTTCCCATGATTTTCCCATGATTTTCCCATGATTTTCCCATGATTTTCCCATGATTTTCCCATGATGTTCCCATGATTTTCCCATGATTTTCCCATGATTTTCCCATGATTTTCCCATGATTTTCCCATGATGTTCCCATGATTTTCCCATGATTTTCCCATGATTTTCCCATGATTTTCCCATGATTGTCCCATGATTTTCCCATGATTTTCCCATGATTTGTATTCAGTTCCTGGTGAACAATGATGAAAACCGCCCCCACCTCGAGATGTTCATCCAGCTCCATCATGGCCTCTGCGCTCAGAAGGTGGTCCACGCTGTGGTTCAGGTCCTGGTCTACGCTGTGGTTCAGATCGGAAATCTGGGATTTGTAGACAGTGATAACTTGGAATGGATTTCAGATTGTGGCAGCCATGGAATACCCTCTGGTAATTTAATATAGCTATGGAAATTCACCCTTTTTAATGGGAAAATCCACTATAAACGGCAATTTTCAATAGCTATGTTAGTTTACCAGAGGGTAATATCCATATCCGAATATTCAGATGGCATATTCAGATGTTCCATCTGAATAGGGGCTTTTTGGAAAAAGTGTAAAAGTATGAACTCATGGGTTTTTTCATTGATATGAACCCTCTGCTAATGTGTATAATCAATGGATATATAATGGAATATTCATGGAATACGGTGGACTGCCGGAGATACGGAGGTGTCCTATGGGGGGGTACCCCCAAATCATCCACTCTATACGTTTGAATCCGGATTTTTTTATCCCAACCATTTATGGAAACCCCCATTTTTCGAATTGGTATATTTCCGGCGGAAAAAAATTGGGAACCTCATGGGATTGGTTGAGATAAAACCAACTCAATTAATGACATGTCCATCGAATTGGGATCATCATGGCGCCCCTCTTTTTCAATGGGAAACATGACCAATAGCTGCAACGGTGGAAGTCATCAAACTCTACGAATTGGGGGAATTTTTCCAGGAACTCAATTTTAGTCGATTTTCTAGGAAACCGCCAGGAAACCATGGAAATGAGTCCTGGAAGGTACCCTCTGGTAATTTATAGTGGGTTGTCCCATTAAAAATTGTGATTTTCCATAGTTTTTTGTATGTGTACCAGAGGGTATTCCAAACTTTGCATGAACTGATTTTACACAAAGGCTAAGCATATCGGCATATCGCTCACGTTTTCATTGCCTCATTCCGCCTATATCCTCATGGTTCCTGATCAGAATCGGAAAAAAAGTTGGAGATATGGTGGTTTTTTAATAGGGGTACCCCCTTTGCATCATCCAGTCGTCAGAAATGACAATGACTTTGTATTGAAACCTATGATGACTTGGGGATCCTCCACTTTTGGAACCCCCATATCCCAGTTCTATTCCCAAATTCCATGGTTTCCGTTCAACGGGGGACAACGGCACGGTGTGCCAGGCCTGGTTCGTCGCCAGGACCGTTTTCAGGTCACCGCCGCCTACAGGGCCAGCAAGAGGCACAGCAATAAACATTTACATATATATATATATATTAGTGATGCTAATAACGCAATCATAAACCAGCCACATGTTCATGGTTTATACTTTATACCACCCATCTCTGGTAAAATTGGGGATGGTTGCATAGATGCAGAAAATCCACCAAATGTAGACGATGTTCCCAGGGAAATTATGGGGGGTCCACATTGATGTTAGTTTACCCTGTAGGGTATATCAATGGATATAATTAGTAATCCAGTCCAAAAAAAAACAATGGATGTGGATTATATATTATATATGGATACACCAATGGTATATCTATATATGTGACCAGGAAAATGATAATACCATGGGGAATGATCATGGTGATATCATGGATTTTTTTACGGGGATAAAAATGGTTTCATGGAATTCAACCAGCAATGTAACCCAGTATAGGGTACGTAGTTATATATATATATATATGATATAATATCTATACATATATGATATGTGTATATATATATGTGATATATATGATATATAATACATATATATATATATACATATATATATACATATATATATATATACATATATATATATATATGTGTGTATGTATGCAATTTTTACCAACCATGATATCCAGCAATGTAGAGTGTTATTGTATAAAGTATGGTATGTGGGGGTATACAACAAGTGGGTATATAACCAAGAAAAACGCTGAGCTCATGGATTACAATTGATGGGCTATGTCATTGGTACATTGAGGGTGAGGATACCCCCAGTGGGACATGACAAGATTTAACCAATTTGACAACATTTGATACAACCAACGGCAATCACTGGGATACCCTCTGGTAAACAAACAAAAAACTATGGAGATCCACCATGTTTAATAGGAAAATTCACTATTTCAATGGCCTTTTCAATAGCAAACTATCAAATTACCAGGCCTGGTATATCCCATGACAATATCCCATTGAATCACTATATATAAAGTTCCATTAAATTTGAAAAAAAACCACAAAAAAATCCCATTCTAAGTCCCATTAAATGGTTATCTAAGTGGTTATCCCCCATTCAATCACTATAAAATCCCATTAATATCCCATTGAATCACAATCATTAGTCCCATTAAATAACTCATTAATATCCCATTGAACACCATTAAATTACCAGGCCGGGGATTCGTTGATTCGTTGGCATGGGAATGACCATATTCGTTACCCTCTGGTGAACGTTCAAAAATAGATTGAAAATGATTGAAAATAACCATAGAAATATATAGAAATAGTTACTTCAACTTCAACTGCACCCCCAACAATTACCCTCTGGTAAACTAACATAGCTATTGAAAATGGCCAGTTATAGTTGATTGACCCATTAATAGCATGGTGGATCTTTCCTTCGTTTTTTGTATGTTTACCAGAGGCTAACCAGCTTAGGCTACCCAGCTTTCCCCGTCCTCACCTCGAGGTGCCGCCGGTCGGGGTGGCACCATGCCAGGCATGCCCCATCCTAGCACTGACAGCTTAACGGTTACCCTCCAGTAAATTAAGATGACGACCCTACCAGATGGGGTTGAAAGTTGAAAGTGAAACCACTATAAATTGATCATTTTCAGGGTCCAACTTAATTTACCAGAGGGTAATAATGCTTTGTAATGCTTTGTAACGGTTGATCATGGTTGATTCGGGATAATTATTCGACATCAATCAATATCAGTTGCTGCACATCGCTCGATATTTTTTGTTTTCAAGCGATAATTTAGAGGGTACCATGGTCTTTCCCATGAAATATAGCGGGCTCCTGTCAATGTGCCCTTCAACTCTGGGAGCTAACAATGGTATCATCCATGATAAAGCCCTGCAACTATCATCAAGGCTGGCATCGCCAGTCTTGGCATCAAAAATGTGTCAATCTTGGCACGTTGAGGCCACAGCTCAACATTGGCCCAAGGCCCAACAGCGTCGCATTCAATTTTCGCACATTCCAATCTGTGAGAGAACTGGGTGTCCACCGGGTCTCTTGCCTCATTTCAGTGATGTTTTCACAGCCTTAAGAATGAAACTAGTACCAAACCACAAAGCCCACCATCGTGTCTGAATCGTTTCATTTCAAGGCCTAGGCCAACGATCTTTTATTGCCAGTGCTCTTTTTTGAACATCCACCCCTGCGCGGCCGGGCACTATCTGGTATAGCCTAATTTATCATATGATGTCAGAGTGCCACTTGTGGCATTAAAGTCATCAGAGGTAATCCTTCTGGAGGAACCATTGCTTTCCAAAAAATCTGGGCTGTCCTTGGTTTCGGCCATTCTTTGAGCAGTTGCCACACAGGCACATTTTCCTCTCAATGTTTTATGATTTCATCTGTTCTTTTCTGTGTTGCTTTGGTACCCCCTGGGTATTTAACATAGCCATGGCCCATTTATAGATAGTTTACCTATTAAAAATGGTGATTTTCCATGGCTATGTTAAATAACCAGATGGTAATTGTGATTTTGGACTGCTAAACCTTTTTAGACTTGTCTTCTTATGCAAATCTGATATCCGGAAGTCAACCCAAACTGCTTACGCCGACCAATCTCGACCCTCGATCTGCCTCCGCCACTGGATAGCACCATGTTGGTTCCGCAATTCTTAGACGCACCCAAATATCATATCCCCAACGAAATCCGATGAAGTATGTCCATTAAATACCGTGTCCCAGTCAAAACCAAAGTCAATGATATGTTCATATTTATGATGCCATATGATGCCGAAAACACCTCCAAAGCATGTCAAATCACCAGAAGATCCCCGTTTCAAATCCCATCATTCATAGCACCTCGTTCTATGCTCTTTTTTATGTGTTTCAATGGATTGGTTTAGTCGGGAAAATCTTAACCGGAAACACCATGGGTTTTTACCATCAAATATAGGGGTTGGAAAAAATCTGCAGGAAACCCATGGGTTTTTACCATCAAATTGTTTGGGGTTTCATGGGGTTTCCGGTTAAAATTGTCCCATCTCCAATTCTGTTTCATGTTGTTTCATTCCCTACATCCACCGTATGTTTTTAAACGACGTGGATTCGACAAAACCTCAGCACAGTCGCACAGTCCTCCAAAGGGATGCCACATGAAGGGCCCTGCACCAGTTGTCAATGGCTGATTTAATCGATGAAATATCGAGGAAAATGGGGGGTGAATAAAAAACCAGTTGCATCCTGGTGATGTTTTTTTAAGCATCTGGTTATGACTAACAGTTTGCCATGGAAAGATCCACCATTTCTAATAGGTAAACCATCTATAAATGGGCCATGGCTTCCATGGCGAACTGTTAAATAACCAGAGGGTAATTTGGATATAGAAGCAACTAGTAACTAGACTTCTTGGGTCTGAAAATGGGCTAGCCTTTAAGACAAGAGAAAGCCATCCAATCTGATTTTCTATCCATGTGGGTATTCTTAGCTTCCTTACCCATTTTATAATCCTATCGAAGATTCCCATCCCTTCAGACTAAGCATCCCCTCCCAAAATGTCCCACATAAACATCTATAGCAAGTTCTGGTTTCATCCCCGACTGACCATGGTTGGATATATTGGTTTCTGGATGTTTCTGGGGGGAAGTTGGTCAGTGGAAAAGGATTACCCTCCAGTAAATTAACGTGACGACCCTGCCAGTCATCGGGCTTGGAAGACTAGTTTCCACCATAATTGGTCATTTTCAGGGTCCAACTCTTAATTTACCAGAGGGTAATGGTTGTTAACAATAGCTATAATGGGCAGTTGATGGTGGATAATATTATTGATAATGGTTATAACTTTATAACTATGGTTACCCTCTGGTAATTTAACATAACTATGGAAAATCACATTTTTTAAGGGAAAATCCACTATAAATGGCCATTTTCAATAGCTATGTTAGTTTACCAGAGGGTAACTATAGTTTCATGGTGGTCCATCGAATATTTGGCAATGGAAGATCCATCGATATTTTCCCCTTCCAACGCTACGCCGCTACGCTCGAAACCTCCATGTTTCATGGGAATGTTTCAGCCTGTTGAAAAGCCATGTTGGATGACACCGGAAGGTATCCCATCTATGTGATATTATGCGTATATAGATATCTATATATATATATGATTATATATGTATATATTCATTTATTCGATGAATATCCCATTCAATATCCATAACCATTAATACGAAGCATATTAAATAATGATTATTTTTTCATGTATCAATGATTCTATTATGTCATATTAATGGTTATATAGCCATGATTAAACCATGAAACGTCGTTGCCATGAACCACGGCTTTCAACAACGGGTGCCTCCAGCTGCTTTGGAGAAGTGCTGCCAGTGCGCCATGGTTTTCGAAAAAAATGGCGCAAAATCGTTTCGTCAAAGGGTCGTCCACAGTGGGTTCAGAAGGCGGCTTCGTCGTAAATCTTAAATTTTATAATGAGATATGATAAGTGGATAATTTTCAGATATCAAGTTGATAGAACTTGAGATATTGAATATGTCATTATCATAGATGATCAACATGGTATTAAACATTATATATTATGGTATATATCATATATCATGGAACTTTTGATTATCTTTCCATATCAAATATCATGGTAAAATATGGTCAGTGGAACTTGTCTCTTGCAGATCACCTGCTCAGTGCAAGGCGATTCGCGAAAAACAGCACTGGTCAAGCCATGTGGAGAACTCGCGTGGAACGCAAGGAAAAAACCATATCTATAATGAAATGGTGATATATGGATATGTGTCTATGGGGTATAATTTTTACATCAACATATCAACATATACATCAATGATGATGATCTGATGAGATATGCTGTATCCATCTGTATCCATCTGTATCCACCATTATTGGGAAAATACGTTTTTCATACCATGCTGTTGGTGTCAAAGAACCTACACAAACCAGGGCGAATGCATAATCCAAGGCTCTCCCTACAGTAGGCTATAACGATCAATTCTGCGGCCTCGGCTGAAGATCTTTATAATTCACCGTGGGCTTGGGCGATATCTTTGGCATGAAATCTTGGTTTCATTGGATTGGAAAAATAGGGAAAAATATGGAAAAATTACACCGGAAAACCCTACCCTCTGGTAATTTAACATAGCTATGGAAAATCACTATTTGTTATGGGAAAATCCACTATAAATGGCCATTTTCAATAGCTATGTAACAAATTACCAGAGGGTATCTTTCATGGTAAAAACCCATGGTAAAAACCCATGGGATCCCATGGGTGTCCGGTAGATGTTCCTCCTGGCTCGATGGATTTTTTGGGGATCATCCCAGTGGGCGACCCTGTCAGATCTACGCGTTTCGCAAGCCAAATGTCAGTTGGGTTGCGAAAACACTAATAGGATATGGGATTATTACTGTAATTATAATGGGATACATAAAAAAAGTTATGGAATTATAATATATTATAATCCCAAAAATTTGGGATTTCAAGACTTTGGGACTTTGGGATTGAAATATTGGGGTTTCAATTGGCGGTTCGCCACCAGTACCAAAATGCTGCAGCCTTTCACACACGACGCGACGTTTCGGTCGTTCTCGGCCGTGGCTCAGCCCATCAGTTGGGCGAGACATGATCGTTATCGGAATCCATGTCAGCTTCCAGTCTCAAACCTCAGCGCCATTGAACCAACACCCATGGCCCAACTGCCAGCTGTGCGTTTTTTTCCTCTCTGGAAATCCGCGGTTTAGCAGAAAATCACCAGAAAATGTAGGGGAAAAAAGACACATCTAAATTGCCAAAAGAATTCGTGATGATTCCTTTTTCGCTATCTCACCATTTCCATGGCAGATCCAGCGCCGGGTTAGGCTTCCGAGCCGGGTCGCAAGACCCAATTGAGCGCCACCTGGCACCCGAAGATCACCGGCAACAAATTCTATGCGATGAACGCATGAATGGTGTTTCCTCATCTCCATCTTTGTTGGGACTCTTGGGACATGCTTGTTTCATATATATATATATAAACATGTTGTAGGGGTTATTAACTGTTAGGACTCTTTTTTTGACCCCTACAACTACGGTTTTGTATGATATATAATTATATATATATAATATCCACTTAGTTCACTGGAACTGCACTTCCAAGCAGTCATTGGGCATCAAGAATCCCAGGGGTGGAGATAAGATATGACTAAAATGACATCACATAGCCTCTGGTGTCAAAGGTGGCTGGCACTTGGAAATCCAAAATTGAAAATGGAGGTTTCTAGCTGGAAAAATCAGCCATTATTTCCATGGGACATGCTTGGCAAATACATTTGAAACCACCAGTTGGTATGAAACCATGTTTGGGGGGAATCGGACATGAATTTTGAGAATGCAAAAAAATCAGGCAGCTGCAACACAATCAGGCGGGTTTGCAGTGTAGCTGCTGTTGGAATCGAAGTAGGATGAGGAGATGTAAAAATGTAAGTGCTCCTGGCGTCCATGTGAACACATGGAACTGGTCAAGTCCCCAGAATGATCCTGCACCCGAGATGAGAACTTCTGACCAAGAGCCGTTTACCAATTGTCCGTCAGTGAGACAAAATAGGAGCTGAACATCTATACCTCTATGCCATCTCATTTGGGGAATCACATCTATACCTCTATGCCATCTCATTTGGGGAATCTATTCTATCTTTGTATATATGTATACACAAATATATCATATATATATATGGTATAGTATACTGTATATGTAATCGTATGTATATATATACATACATACATATACATGTATGCATTCTCATGTTTGGAAGTCATAGAAATGGTGTCCTCCCTAGGCGATGACCTCAGTTCAGAGACTTCCTCCCGTTCGGCACGTCACTGATCCGTCACTTGCCATCGGGATTTGGGCAAATCTGAACCACCGTTTGCACCACACGACGGACTCTCCGTTTGGAAGTGCAGTGCTAAAAATTCCAGTGAACTTCAGTGGATATATGATATATATATATGTATATATATATAGAGAGAGATAGATAGATATATGATATATATATATAATCATATATTATACAAAACCATAGTTCTAGTTCTAGGGGTTATATATATATAGAGAGAGAGAGGTGTTATAACCATTATATGGGAGTGAACAGATTTCACCACAATGATAGCTGGTTGGTGGATAAAAAACCATCTTTGAAAAATGATGGTGACTTCGTCAAATGGGGTTGGGATTATATATCCCATATATGAAATGGAAAATAAAAAAAATGTTCCAAACATTTCCAAACCAGATAGGTAAGTTATATCCCAGCTTCTGGGGTTAGTTATTTATCCATGGAGTTATACCCATTTCTTTCACCCCAACTGCACCCAGAAACGGGCGCTCAAAAAAGGATGGCTCCTCCGCGGATGCATCGAAACTGACTTCCAGCAATGCATCGTTGCTTTGCTCCAGCCTGGAATCTGAGGCGCGGCGCTTGGAGGCGCAGTGAACTAAGTGAACTAAGTGGAAGTCATTTCACCTTTTTATTATAGGGGTGATGTCCCAACTAATAGGGAGTTTATAACTAACTTATAACCATGATAGGTATACCGTAGTCTACCGTACACCCATGCTTCAAACACCTTTGTTGGTTACATCTGATCCGAACGCGTCGTCCAACGAGTCAACGTCCCCTGGGCCCTGTGACGGAGACGTGGCACTTTCCGGCTGCAGAACGGCCAGCGAACATCGACAGATACCACAGGGACCTGGCAGAGAATCCACTGAAAATCATGATTTCAACACAGCTATAGTAATATAATTATATATATATATCAATGGTCATTTCAGGAACCTAAAATGGAGGTACTGTACCATATGGCCTATATATATATATTCTTATAATATATATATATGGGTAAATTGTAATATTTCACTAACCTGAATTAAGGCCATAAAAGGGGATGATGTTCCTTACTAACCATGATTCCAGGGTTCGGTCGCAGTGAGGTCGTTGTACAATTCAATCCATTGAAATCCATGGTATCCAGTTAAATGGTTACTAGTATATTTTCTAGGAATAATCATAGATGTAATAGTTTTTTTGATATTTTAAGCTATCAGATCAGACTAGTAAACCATGTTACACCACTATTGTTGATGGTTAACTCCCTAAGGTTTTTGATGCTAAAAAAACAAACGGTTTCTGCCACCTCACGGACAAACCAACGTGGCAAGTCAACATGTCAGCCGCACTTGGAGCTTGAACCTTCAGCTGGAGCTCAAACTCCACTTCCGTCGGGGAACCTAAACGCGCGCTGGCGAAGTCACGAAAGCAAATGATTTGGAAGTGACGAATCGTGATCCACTTCCATACATTATCTGCAATAATATATATATATATATATGTTGAATAATATATATATTTATTTATTTAATATGTATATATATATAATTATATATAAGTATATCATTATATAATACTATATATATTCCTAAATTGGACGGAGTAGCAATGGAGTAGCATCGATCCACGAATTCCATAACCGCACTATCTGAGCCCCTGCAGGTCATAGCAATATGATCCACCATCCCCAACGGCTTACCATTTTTATGGGTGGTTTTCTCAACCAAAATATGGATGGTTGATGATTGTCTGGTTGGTGGTTGACCGAAAAATATTAGTCAGGTGGGATGATTATTCCCAAGATATGGAAAAATAAAAAATGTTCCAAACCACCAATTAGGGACGGTTGATGATTGTTTTATCAACGTGAAAGAAAAGGTTGAAAACTCGAAATATATTTGAAATGCAAACATATCAAGTATCAATTGGATTAGAAAAAGTTGAAACTCATACCCTCTGGTAAACTAACATAACTATGGAAAATCACCATTTTTTAAGGGAAAATCAACTATTTATGTTAAATTACCAGAGGGTAACAGAAAAAATCAACCAAACTCTCTACCAGTTCTACTGCCAAAATGAAATGACCAACCACCAGACCTCCAAGGCAAAGTTCTTCACTGTGACCGTAAAGCTCTTCGATGTCGTAGATCGAGCTACGCCTTGAGGCTGCGATGGCTTCAAAAAGTGGTAATGTGGGTAATAATGGTGATTAATGGTGATTGATAATGGTGATTAATGGTGATTAATGGTAATGTGGTTAAAACAATAATAATAATAATAAACTACCCACCCATGACTGGGAATGGTGAACATACCACCTATCAAAATGCTGATTTTTCTGGGGGATGGTTTTTTATGACATTGCTTTACCCACAGAAAAATCACTGGTGTCACTACTGGACCATCAGATCATCAAAATGTAAGGTCCCGATCCATACCCCGGAGGCAATCCATACCCGTGTTCCATACCCCCAAGGCCCCAATCCATACCCCTTTGAAGAGATAGAAATCTTTTGAGATCATTTGTGTAACTCCTTCGTTCCACACAAGTACGTCTGGATCATTGCGTAGCGATCCATACCCGTTTTTTGAGTCATAGCCATATAACATCATATAACTATTTTGAACCACATGTTCTCCAAAAATGGGTCTTAAAGACGCAATCTTCACAAGGAAAATAATGATCAACCATCTGCACTCGACAGGTGAACGGCGACCCCCTGCGGCTCGGGGCTCCCCGCTCGCGTTGCCCGATGCGGATGCCGTGACGCATCTGTCCGCTGATCACAGCACAAACGACCTCAGAGAAAGCTGTGGCGATGGGGGTTGGCCTTACCTGAAACCCTTGAAACTCGTTGAAAAATCAACACCTTGGGATTTAGCCACCAAGAAGCAGAGATTTAACTGATTTAGCCATCAAAGCTGTTAATTCACCATCAACATTGCTGACTATAATCAGAAACATGCGAAAATGACCATCCAAACTGGCAAAGTTAAGAAGAAACTTGGTATTCAGACAACAAACATGGAGATATACCCTCTGGCAAAGTCCCCTAAAGATATCACTACTTGGACACACATCCCACTTGGGAATTGGGATGCAAAAAATCGCCATTGCTCCAACCATCCCAACTGGGATTTTCACATATTGGGACCCAGGGAAAGGGGGTGTTTAATATTGGGGGAATTGGATTGACCAGTGGATTTGGGGAATACCTCATGTTTAGACATACACATATCATATCATGTAATATAATAATAATATATATATTATGGAGCAAAAAAATCGCAGGATTTGTGCTGCACAGTGGCTTTGTGCTCGATCTTCTCGTTGTTGATCAGATCTGGCGCTCCCAGGCAGTGATTTAGGATAGAGGATAGAGGATCCAAGGCGTTATGCAGTTTCTAAGCAATCATTTGTTTCTCATGCTAACCATCATCTACAGTGAGATCGGAATGAGATCTCTATCATTCATCAAGGATCGTCATGCCCAAGCGACCCTTCTTCCTGCCACATTCTTCCGGGCCAAGGCTGGTTTTGGTCAATGTGAGGACAGAATTAACCATCATCCAAGGATTGCATCAGCTCAATTACCTTCATGTGTCCTTTTAATCATAGTTATATAATCGATGTTAATAGCACTAAAATATCATATATAAAACTACAATCACAGTTAGTTCGTAGTACTAGAAACATATGCTTAAAAAACTATAATCATACTTGATAGTGCTAGAATCATATATTTTAAAAACCCTTGAAATCTTCATCTTTTGTTTGCCGCTTCAAAGAAACTGGGGATTACCACTGCCCCGTGCCAGACCTGCCTGGGAAACACCCAGTATTCGGCGGCCGCAGGGTCTTTGTGCGACCAATTTCCCAGTCATCCTCAACGCCACCAGTACTGGTGCTCCCCAGTTTCACATGTTTATGGGGATAAATATGGGGATTAACAAATGTAAATGGGGACTGAACTCCAAATATATATATATATATATACATAATTATACATACATATAATTATACAGTATATGTTTATATGATTTTATATGTTTGTATAGTTTCACCCATCTAACTATGGTTCGATATATCTGCCTTAAACCCTACTTGATCTGCAAACCAAGGTCTAAAACAAAACCGGGGCAGCTTTTTTCATCCTCGAACCGCAACTGGGACTCATCCCAGCGGGGCTCATGGGAATATCGGATGGACGAAACAAAAAATTGGGCCTGGCACAATGTGGTAAACGCCACAACTTAAAGCACCTGCAGCGAAAAAAATGTCCTAGCAATTTTTTTAGTGTGGGTAATTTTTTTAGTGTGGGTAAATGATGGTCAATTTTGGGCTATGGTTTGTTGTGGTAGGGTTACCCTTACATTCGTTGAAGAATCGGAAGCCAAAAAAAAACACAGATGCAACGTGAATTTCTCGATTTGGGATTCTCAGTACCATGATGTCATGGTCTCATTCCATTGCAATATCGAAATTCTGTGTTTTTCGGATTGCCGTCTCAGGTTCAATCTATGGATTTTCTATCATTGCTATGTGATGGTTTCAATCCCAGAAAAAAATACATATATGATTTGTGTGTGTGTGATCATCGTCGAGAATTCAAACAACTTCAAAACCAAGAACCAGATTGGGTGTAATCTGATCCTCCATTCATATTCGTTACACCCCCATTCCAGGGTTCCATTCATATTTTTAAGTGTTTTATCCCCGACTAAACCATGATTCACCGGTGTATTTTTTCGGCAGATGATGAACGCTGAAAATCGGGTGACATCAAGATCTCCTGTGACTGCATCGTCTTCAACGTCGGTGGGAACTTGCTGCAAGGTTCCTGGCTGAAAATTGAAGCGCTACGACATGCTTTTGGAAGATCAACACTTCCCTCGAAGGCCCTTTAAAAAAAAGCCCTGGATGATTTGGGAACCGTCCTATAACAGGGTGTTTTCGCTTCGATCGCCTCGAGATTTTGGGGACGAATCCAGAATTCTTCCAGATTTCAACATGCTTCGCTGCAACTCGATGGGGTATTTTTCAGCTGATCAGATTTGAGAATCCCAGTGATCAGCTGGTCACTCACCAATCACCCACCAATCTACCAGAGATCCAGTGCTGCCATTGGCTGAGCCATAAAAAATTGCTAGGCTACGCTGAGCACGAATCTTCCCCCCTAGCAGTACTTGGTGAGGTTTTCACCCCATCATGAACCCTGGTGAACGGTCACCCGAATCTTGTTGATTCATAACCTGATTGTTGCTGAGGGATCTATTGGCGAATCTGTATAACTTGCTGAATGTGAATTCCCTGATTCCCATTGTGTTGTTCATTGATTTCTAAAAAAAAACACAAACATTGGATGTGTTTAAAGATGTGGAGTCAACCAACCCCAACATACTTAGGAAGCCTCCAATAATAGGTGCTTAGTTTAGTAAGCCATCTATGGAATTTTCCGACACGTCATGTTGGATCCCCAGCTCGCCAAGCTCCGTTGGTTAAGAACGGGATTCCCCGTTAAAAGGATTGGAGAGTGATAATCTATGATAGTCTCCATGTTTTTTCTGGAAAGTATCATCCCTTATAAACTTATAGATGATCATGGTAACTTAGTGGATAGTTTCAGGTTTAATCCCATAATAATATCCAATTGGATAGGATGATCGTGAGAATCTATGATAATCTTAGTATAGTCCTATATAAATATAGTGGTGATAAATCCCAGTATATACCATCCCAGTTAGTAACTTTACTATAGTAACTATACTTACTATAATATATTAGTAACTATAGTGAATATATTAGTAACTATGGTGAATAGTAATATCCACAATCTAGGTGTTTATCTATGACAATCTATGATAGTCTATGATAATCGATGATAATCTTAGTATCATCCCACATAGTAACTATGATAACCACTATGATACCATAGTTAACATCCTATGATACCATAGTTAACATCCTATGATAACCACTATGATACTAGTAATTATGACCTTATGGTAAGTGACATCCTAACTTTTCTTCGGCCTCGTTCACAGGCAAGATGCCCATAAGATGAGTGGGCACCTGCAAACAGCACGCAGTGCAGTGCAGTGCCGTGCCGGCGCGCTGCAAAGGGTTCGTTCATCACTGGGTGGATCAATGGTTTAATATGCTTTTATATGGTTTAATAATGTTTAATAGGTATAATAATGGGCTATTAATGTGGTGTTTTCATAGGGTTAATAATGGGAAATTTTCATGGGATGTTCATGGAATAATTCCATCCAGATATATGGGAGTCTCCAAACAAAACTAGGGAGGGACATGGAGGGACACTACCAGATCTATGTGGGAGTTATCTCGTGTCGATGTTTTCGATCGTTTGAACCGGCTATTCTTCAGCATGAAAATGGGATCCAAGGATCCTAGACTGTTCTATCTGAGGACACCTTTATAGATGAAGTGAATAGGGAAACCAGGATCAAGGTCTTGAATGGAAACGAAAATGGAAACTCAAAAAACCCGTTGAAATTCACAGGATCCTTCCAGACTTTTCTCGGATATCCCAAGTCTTTGGCTCAACTTTGCCATAGTGTTGCTGTTCAACCCGCGTTTGTGGCTGTTAAACGCTCCAATTTTTGTAGGGTCAACTCATGTCGCTTGTTGCTGAAATCCTTATTGTTGGTTCCATCGACATGTTCCCATGAATGGACTGTTTTCACAAAAAAAACAGACACATCTGTTGATAGTATCACCTTCCAGTACTGGTTGGTGGTATACCTACCCCTCTGAAAAATGATAGAGTTCGTCAGTTGGGATGATTACTCCATTCCCAACTGAATGGAAAGTCATAATCCAGTCCATGGTTCCGGTCACCACCAACCGGCTGTTGATAGTATCCCAATGTATCACACTGTATCCCAACTTTAGCTGATGGAATAATCATCTTCCACTATTCTTCTTGGTGAACTCATCATTGTTCCTGGTGAACCCCTCATCTTTTACCATTTTTCGTGGTTAAATCGTGTTAAACCCTCAATTTCGTTCACCTTTTTGTTCGTGGTTTTTCACCATGGTCAAAGTCTCTAATTCCATTTCTTTCACCATGTTTTTTCACCTTTTTTCGTATCTCATTACCATTTTCACCATGTTTTCACCATGTTTTCACCACGTTTCCCACGACGAGTCAAAAAAAAAACTGCCGCCCAGGCACTGACTCCCAGGAGGAGGTATCTGGGATCTGAGCACCTGCGGAGATCGATTTGGAGATGTGAAAAAAAGATGCTCAAAAAAGATGGTGAGATTTGGAGATGGTGAATGGTTAATATTAATATATATATATATATATAAAGGTTGACAAAGTGTTAATCTTATCTCATATAATAATGGTAAATGATGGTTAATGATGGTCAACACTTAATCTCATTGACCCTCTGGTTAATATTATATATATATATACCCTCTGGTTATTCAACGTAGCGAACTGGATAATCACCATGCTATTAATGGGGAAATCATCAAAAGAAACATCTATTTCTATGGACCATTTTCCATAGCTATGTTAAATAACCAGAGGGTATATATTAATGGGGTTTTATGTGATATTAATGGGATATTAATGGGATTATAATGGGTATTAATGGTTTAATGATGGTGAATGGTATGATGGTTTAAAGATATTGATGGTATGTTCATGGTAAATCATGGTTAATTATGGTTCTTATATTCATAGTATATCATCACTATCGATATAGTATGATAATAGGTGATATATCATAATATCCATTACCATATGGGGTAGTGTTAATGTGATATAGATGTTAATGATGTGTTTTAGGTGCTATATGATGGTGGTTACCAACAATATATGTAACAACATGTAACAAAAATATCTACAAAATCATTTATATGGTTGCAATATGTTGGAATTTTAGGCGTACCATAGATAAGATACAATGGTTGTTGTTGATAGAGAATATTTACAGGCCAACCTTTAAGCGTCTAAGAAATAGATATTGGATATATATATATAAAACCTATATACTATCTATAATATTCTATAACAACATCTACAATATCCATTCAATAATCTATGTGTGTGATCATGATGTGCAGTAATATCGTAATAATAACTATTCTTTATGGCTATATATTAATGTAGAATAATCAAATGACTCACATTAACCATTAAAGCCCGTGAAATGGTTGGTTTTGTCTGAAATGCTTTGTATATCCCCTTAAATGGCCAGATAAAAATATATGGTTTATCCCAAAAACACCAAAAAAAAAAACACGGTAAAATAAGGGAGGCCCACAGGGGCCCCCACTCTCCAAATGGCAGTATTTCTTGGGGAAATGATTCAGAGAACCCCAATATGCCAATATCTCAGCATAATACCCCAATGATATTCTCAGTCTTAATCATTCTTAAGCATTCAATCCCATTGACAACCGGATAACCCTTCAACAGTTATATATACATATATACATATACATATGCATATACATATACATATACATATATATATATAATGTACATATTTTTGTATGTATATATATATACATATGTATATAATATATATAATATTATATATATATCACCCCATTCGTTTTCCATGGCGTGCACCCGCCTAATGGCCCGGAATGCCGGCTATGCCCCGAAGTGCTCTTGGAGGGTCGCTTCTCTCGATGTGACCTCGTTGGACTGGCTTCGCGACGGGCTTCGCGTGGCCATGACGGGCCTGGTTCATGACGATTAGCTCTGTTGATGTTAACATTACCTCATTTACCCTCCAGTAAATTAACATAGACCTTGCCAGATAGGGATTGGAAGACTAGTGAAACCACTATAAATTGGTCATTTTCAGGGTCTATGTTAATTTACCAGAGGGTAATGGTTGTTAACAATAGTTATAATGGGCAGTTGATGGTGGTTAATATTATTGATAATGGTTATAACTTTATAACTATGGTTAACTATAGTTTCATGGTGGTTAATAATATGGTCAATGTTAACATCAACAGTACTATAAATACTACATTATAACCATATTATTGTGATTAACTAATATTATAACCATTATCAATAATTATAATGGTTAGTTATAGTTTAACATTAGTTTTAATGGTTATAATGTTAACTAACCACAAATAATCATTAATAATGTTATAGGTGATATAGATTAACAATTAACAATCATGGTTATTAGATTAGTTGATTAGTTAACATTATAGTCAATATAGGTTAATCTTATTAATAATGCTAATGTTATTGATATATTAATACAACAATATGGTTTTATTTATATTAATGGTTATTATATGATCAATGTTATTAATTGTTGGTGGTTAGTTAACATTATAGTCAACATAAGTTAATAATTAGTTAACATTCGTTTAAACTTATTTATCTATGTTCATTCGTCAATATAGGTTAACAATTATATGATGTTAATGTTATTAGTTCATATCCATCTATAGTTGTTGATCTGTGAATAATTATTGATCTTAGTTCTATCACATTGTTAACATTGAAATCCCATCATATAACACATGTCACACATGTCATTGACGATTACATTGATGGATATTTTAGCTGATAGATTATTTCATATCATAGTGATGTTCAATATTCTATTCAATATCATACAAAATCCTATAGATCTTCATGTTTCTATAGGATGTTCCTGTAAACTAGTATGTTTCATGAAATGTATCTGGTGTTTTTCCGATGTTGAGATCAGTTTTTTCTCCCATCTGGGACGCTGATTTAGTTTGATATCGGAAAAAAAAAAACGGAAAAGGGCCATTTCAGATGCCCAAATTGAGCCAATTGCTTCCTCAATTAGCACTTGAAATCCACTTTCATCCATGATTAGTGCCCATTTCAGGGCCCATCACTCTTCATCAATCTTGACCACTTCAAGAGTGATTTTCCAGCCCTGCAACTGGATTCAAATGGCTGAAACATGACATATGGCCATCCTGAAATGGATATTCTCTGCACATCTCTGCGATTAAGGTCGGGTACTTCAAATTTAAATACAGTAAGCCTAAAAAGGATAGATGTTTGGTGACTTTTTATTGTTTCCATAGGTTTTGACTTTCCTATTCCTTTGGGGGTTATATATCAAAAACACAACATGTCCTTTCAGTGATAGAAAGTTCCCGCCCTCCATGTTTGTCTAATCTGATCCGCTATTATGACTTGCTGCTTTATAGGGTTCCCACAATGACCCATTATGATCCCTACATACAACCAGGTCGCAGAACCCCTGCAATGACTCACATAGCAAGGTGTGTATATATATAGAGAGAGAGATAGATAGATAGATAGATAGATAGATTAGATTAGATTAGATAAGATCAGATCAGATCAGATTACATTAGATTATATTAGATTATATTAGATTAGATTAGATAGATAGATAGATGGATGGATAGCAAATAGAGATATAGATATATACATACATACATACATTTAACATCATTTCACATATGGTTATGGGATGTATAGATATATATATATTATACACATCCAGTTAAATCGCGCCTTTTCTGCAGCTGAGATGCCACGAGGAGCAGGTGATGCGCACCCAGAGCCGAGGAAAGACGCTGGTGCCTCCCTCAGGCCTTGGCTTTAGCCATCATGGGATGATGATGGTGGAATTCTAGGATATGTGGTTGGAAATCACAATTTTTCATGGGAAAATTCACTATAAATGGTGATTTTCAATTGCTATCTTAGTTTACCAGAGGGTATCTATGTCATTCTATTGGAATCATGTATATATAATATATATATATATATATATGGTGGTTTCCATGAATGGAGGTATCCCCGAAATGGATGGTTTATAATGGAAACTCCTATCAAAATAGATTACTTGGAGGTACCCCCATTTCAGGAAACCTCCATATCTATGTGTATATATATAGGGGGGGGTCCTAAGGTCCTAAAATGGAGGTACCCCAAATCATCCAAAATTGACTTCTATATGGCCTTACATGTCGTATAAAGAAAGCCATGGTGACATTACGGGGGTTTTCCCCATTGCGAAGGAAACCTCCATGATGAGTGGATTGATATTTTTTGATGGTTGAAACCGTGATAAATATAGGCCACACGAAAGAAGGGACTTCGACCGTAGAAAAATGACCTGGCCTTTTGTTAATGGGAAACTGCGGGATGGATACCAGCCTGGCGAGTCAATTTAAAAAAGGAACATCTGACCAGTTGGTTAGATGATCCTAACTTATCATGTGAACCCATAAGTTAACCTATAAATCCAAACATGGATGAAAGGTTGCTGGTTACCATGTTTGGATAAAAAAACATAGCTGCTACTGTACTTGTGTTAAATGATGGTAATTTCTATTAGATATACCCTCTGATAAACTAACATAACTATGGAAAATCACAATTTTTCATGGGAAAACTCACTATAAATGGCAATTTTCAATAGCTATGTTAGTTTACCAGAGGGTAATCCAAACATCCATGAAAGGCTGTCGCTTACTGGGATCCTATCCGTCAGCTTCAGGATTTCCACAACGCCGTGTCCAAAATCTTGGAATTCTGCCGGCTCGATCCGCAAGACAAGGGATATTATGAACGTAAAATAATTAGTGTATATTCATCATATATATATACATATATATACATATATATATAATATTAGTTGAAATGAATGGTACATTAATGGGATATTATGATTATTATATGACAATGGATATGTCTGGGAGTTGTGTATATATATATATCTACATATTCTGCATATATACGATTAACAATGGAAAAACAAGGAACCCAAGGATCTTGTGAATCACCAGTTGTTGAAAGTATCGGGAGTTTCAACAAAGTCATGGTGGATCCCCCAGTCACCATGACAGGATTTCAATGCTAACCTCTGGTAAACATACAAAAAGCTATGGAAAATGGCCATAGAAATAGTGAATTTTCCCATTAATAGCATGGTGATTTTCCATAGTTATGTGGCTGTTTACCAGAGGGTAACTCATAGTCATCCATGACTTGAATGATTTGGGGGTACCCCCCCATGACTTAGGAAACCTCCATGCTTTGAGGTACCACGCGTCTCGGCTGACCGTCGACATCCCATCACTGAATCAGGCGCGCTGAGAATCCACACACGGTGTTCGGCTTGAACCCTTCCTGAAGGCTGAGACACCCCCGAAATGGCGGTGAATAGAAGGGAACATAGACTGGTTGGTGGTGACTTAACCATCTTGAAAAATGATGGAGTTCGTCAATGGGAAGGATGACATCCCATATATGAAATGGAAAATAAATGAAAATAATGGCGTCATGTTTGAAAGCACCAACCAGTTCAGGTATGAACAACAGTGCAACTGTTGAACAATGAACCAATATCTAAGATGGCGACCCTTAGATATCCCTAAAACATTTTATGATTGTTGGTAGGATCTGACATATTTCTTTAGCCTACAAAAAGATGCTTCCATACTTAGACACTGACCAACATGAACAAAACAGCAACCGTCGCCAGTCACCTGTCACCCCAGCTGGTTTTAAAATCCTAAGCCGATTTCTTATGTCCAACCTTGGATACCTCTTTGAAAGAGGTTTGTTGTCAGTAGATACAAGAGATTGAACGCATGCATCGAACATTCACTGAGGTTTACCCAGCAAAATGTCAGCGGTTCACCCCAAATTCCATTTTTTACTTATCAAAGAAAGAATGTCTTGATTGTTGCATCCCCATCTCCCCAAAATTCTTGGCAAGTATACCTGGTTGGTGGTTGACCTACCCCTCTGAAAAATATGAAAGTCAGTTGGGGCTCGATTATTCCCAATATATGGAAAAAAAAAATGTTCCAAACCACCAACCAGATACGTCTATATATATATAGATTTGGTGGTTCATCTCCCTGGTTTGGATAAGTAGGCTTAATCCACCCACCGGGGCAAACTCTTTTTAAACAAGACCACGACGATTCGTGACGCAGGAACTGCCAAACGCTGCAAAAAACGAATCATCTCAATCATTATGGACCACATCTGACCACATCTCGACGAGTCGTTCGTTCTTCGTCCCAATCGTCCCGTCCTGTTGCTGTAGGAAGTCATGGCTACCAAGTGAGACACTCACGCCCTTCCAAGCCTCAGGTGACGAGTCACGGGATCGCATAGATGTGTATATATATATATGTATGTATGTATGTATGTATATATATATATATGTGTATATGTATAATGTTCACGTACCTCATATATCTTGTATATAATGCTTACCATTGATAATTTCTATGTATGAAAAACCATAGACGTATCTCATACTATGTCTATATAGGTTTATATGATTGATATATCGATATATCACCCTTGATGAGAAAAATCAAGTATCTAGCTATAGGTAGTACATCACCCGTTGTGACCAGAAGAATCATAAGAATCCACTAACCACGGTCATTGGTTGACTGATGGTTAGTAGTGGATGTCTCAGGCTTAAAACCTGACTGTCATATGCTTGAGAGAAGGATAAACCAAATGATGACTACTGAAAGCTTGGAACTGCTTCACTTCAGCCTAAAGGGCCTAAACCCACGACCAAATATGTTGTTTCTCTAGCAGTCAAAATGAGGTGATGATCAATTATTTTCCCAACATTTTCCCAACATTTTCCCATGTTCCCAACAACTGCGGATGGACATCCATGGCAATCTGCTATTTTGTGACTGTGACCGGGGGAAATTGGGATTTTGACACATAACCCATATATAATTCTGTAAAAACTGCAATGAGCTGAAATATGTTATATATGATGTATATATATATATAATTGTATTATATATATATATGCATATATATATGTCTATTGTGTCTATTGTGTCCATATGTGTCTATATGTGTCTATTATATATATATATAATGTGGTGTTCCGGCCGCCTGTCACCGCCACAAGCGTCCCGGCGTGCGGGACCATGTTGGAATGGTCCCCAAAGACGCCGCTGGGGGTATTGACCCCAGCCACCTGGGGGCACGGTACGTTTTTCGTCATGACCGTCGTCATGGTACCCCGGATGGTTTACCCTCTGGTTATGTGAAAATAGCTATTGAAAATGACGATGAATAGTGGATTTTCCCATTAATAGCACGGTGGATTTTCAATAGCTATGTTAAATTACCAGAGGGTAATTACAACCAATAAAGCCTGGTTGATCAGTTGAAAAAATTACACTCAAAAAGAATGAATCATATTGAATAATGACTGGTTGGTGGTTGACCATGTTGACCTACCCTGAAAAATCATGGAGAACTCGTCATAGTTCGTCAGATTGGGGCCCGATGAAATTCCCAAGTGTTTCTGGAAAGTCATAAAACATGTTCCAAATCACCAAGCAGTTTATGGTGTATCGTCCCAAAAAGCTAAGGATCCTTAGATCCTTGGAATTCGATGTCCGAAAAAACTATGTTTATGGTGGATGTGACATCACTATGTTTATGGATGTTCCACATAAACTGGTTTACACGAAAACAGCCACGTTTTCGAAACTCATATTTATCAGAATTCAACTTGTTTGGTGTTTAATCATTGCTAAAAACGGATGTTTATTCATTTTACTCCCCCAAAATATGGTGATTTTACAGCTTTTGATCCATTCTCGGGATGATCATCCCAGCATCTTGGAGACCACCAAGCTGACTGGGAATGGTAAGTTTATACCACCTACAAAAATTGTGATTTTTCCGGGGGATGGTGGGTTTATGACATTGTTTTAACATGTTTTAACCACATGACCAAGCCATTTTCGGTGATTCAGAAAAGGTCCGCAATTAGTGGTAGTACAGAAAAGAATGCATGAACAAAATGTGGATAATCTGAGTATGGAAGCACCCAGGCACAAATATGAAGTGTCACTTTGGATGCGGCATGCTGTGAACACTGTGAAGTGCCAGGAAATTGAACATAAAAAATGGATTTGAAGGTAAACTTTGCACTTGGGATCAGTCAAACTTGACATGTTTTATGGCTGCGTAGAAACCCTGTCAGTCTGTGTGCCCCAGCCGTTACATTCAGATCGCGCTTGTCACCGGGGAGTCTTTTTGTGGAGCAAAGGTCATTCTGTTCATAAACTCACAATTATTCAATGGATTGGTTTAAGGGAAATTTTGCAGGAAACCATGGATTTCCCCATTAAATATGGGGCTTTCCTGTAAATTTTCCCTTAAACCAATCCATTGAATTATAGGATGTCCAAGATTTTTTGGGGAAACTGTGATAAACTGGTGATCGACCAGCTGTTGTGCTGTTTGGGTATGGCTCAAAATGTTGCACAGCCCATAGCCTATTGAATTGGTAATATATATATATATACCATCTGGTTATTTAACGTAGCCATGGAAAATCACATTTTTTTTATAATAGGTAAACCATCTACAAATGGGCCATGTTCATCCATTTTCCATGGCTATGTTAAATAACCAGAGGGTATATATTTTGCCCATGGAAATTCCAATGAATTCCTATCAAAAACCATGGAAAATCCTATGATTTCCTGAATTCCCTTGGAATTTCCCACGTTTTCTCCCCATTTTGGGGCGAAAAAAACCCGTCCGTGCCCTTGCTCTGGGCTCCACTGACACCACGGTAGATCACAAAGCCCGGATCTAAGGCCGAGGTCTCCCGTGGCCTGGCTGTCTCCATCCCAGCAATTTTAAATGTGTATACATACATATATATATAGATATATATATATATATAGATATAGATATGTATATGTATATATATATAGATATATATATATAGATATAGATATAGATATATATAGATATAGATATAGATATAGATATACATCGCAGTATCGATGTAGGTGTGTATCTACATAGACATCAAAAAAAAATATGTATAAGCATGCATTTTAAGCGCTTTGCATTCTTGCAAATGATTGAAAAAGGAAGCATCCTCAAAGAGATTTGAGCTCTTCTACAATCACCGAGATTTTAAGATCGGGCAATACCCCTGGGCCGTTTTCACTGGACAGGTACCATTTTGATAGGAGATTGACACTGCTTGGGGCCCCCGAAAATGAATAAACCAGGGTCTAATCTGGGGTTGACACCACCCAATAATTCAGCATCATTCGTGGGGCGGTAAAGTCGTAGCGAAGTTGCTATGAGAATCATCTAGGAAAAAAACACAAAGTCATACCCATACCCATGTGCTTATGAGATGCTCAATCCCAAGTCCCCAAGTTTGCTTCTGAAATCCAATTGGATTTGTCCATTAAAAATTGCATCTATATATATATATATACATATTATATATATATATAAACCCCCATGTTTGGCAATTTGAATTCGGGAAAATCATAAAATTGTGGTATATTTTCAGACAAACCCAACGACTTCCATTTAAACCAAGCTGTGATGTCACTAAGGCGTTCACACTTTGTTGCAGAAGAGCCTATTCAGGCCTCGGTGAATTCTTCCCACACCGTTCCGAAAAGCTCAGAGAAAAATGGTAGATCTGATCACTGGGAGGGTGTCCATCTAGTCAAGTCGATGTGTTGCTGGATCACCTCAAGTGCAAAAAAAAACTGCAGGGATATTGTCCAAACAGCACCTCAGTCAGCACCAAAAAATCTGCGTGAATGAACTGCAAGTCGGTTTTTGAACTTATGTTTAACTCCGGAGATTTTGTTCCATTCTACCCTCTGGTAAATTAACATAGACCCTGAAAATCACCATTCTTTAGAGGAAACTAATCTTCCAACCCCTATCTACCAGGGTCTATGTTAATTTACTGGAGGGTACCTCAGCACCGGACCCAGAATTTGAAACATCGGCTCCATATCGGCCAGCCGCACCAAGGTATTGCTTTTCCGCACCGCTCCCAGAAGTCTCAACCTTGGACGGCCACGACCCGCGGCGCTTTTCCAGGCCACCATTTGCTACGGTATCCAGTTTCTCAAGCGGATAACGTGTTCCGAAATACCATTGATGCGCAGAAAGTTTGCCAAAGTACTCATTTGTTGAGGGTTCAGTATGGTTCAAACCAATGACAAGCACATATATATCATTATATATCATTATATATCATTATATATCATTATATATCATTATATATATACATACATACATACATATGTATATATATATATATTTCATTATTCTCTGCAAATTGAGCCCCTCGACATCTCTCCTCGCGTTCTTGCCTGGTCGCAGTGAGATCATGCCAGGTCACAGGTATACCGTCGTCCGACGGAGGAACAGCCAATCTTCCCATTGGAAAGTGATATCAAGTCATTGGGGATATTTCCAATGATGGGCAGATTTAATTTTATTGTGGTGATAGTCACTTACATAGGCCTAAAAAATAGGCCTTATATATGGTACCTCCAATCAATCGGATCCTGAAATGCCAAAGTTATATGGCAACGAACCAGTTCCGCAAGCACTGCAGAACCGGCTCTGGAAAAGTCGATGCGTCGATTCTTCTCCCTTTCGCTTCCGCACCAAAAATTAGGGCTTTTCGAAAATTGCCCCACTGCCCGTAAATTTTACCCTCTGGTAAACTAACATAGCTATGGAAAATCAACATTTTCAATGGGTAAATCCACTACAAAAATTGTCATTTTCAATGGGATGTGAAAACTGAAGTGATTAATGGGATGTACCCTCTGGTTATTTAACATAGCCATGGTATAGATGGCCCATAGAAATAGATGGTTTACCGTTCTTAAAAATGGTGGATCTTTCCATGGCTATGTTAGTCATAACCAAATGGTAGACCCAAAAAACCAGCCAACCAGCCTTGCAGTCCTCCTTGTGCATATCTTCGTCAGCTGGGCGCGGGGTGACATCTATGTGGTTCATCATCTGCCTATTGGTTGTAGAGGGGTGACCCCTCTATTCATTAATCAACCAATAGATCTATGCTAGTAATCCTGGTGAAAAAGAACATATGTATATATAGTATTATAATGTATTATATAGTGAATAATTCTGGTGATGGTAAGTCCTCCAGCCGCAGGTATCCGATTTACAATTGGGTTGTAGCTGTTGAGAAGGAGAATGACTTGATCTTTGTTTGGATTGATCTTCAACGTTTCTTCTGGCGGATCCACTGTTTTGTTCGGAATCCACCCACTAAATGCAGGCGACTTCAGTCAAATTGGAATGGTCCTGCAACTGTTTGCAAGGGCGAATGAACACTGTAGTGCTTGCTACCCCTATGGCTTTTGGTGAAATCCCAAGTTTTGCATGGAAAAGTCAGAGAAAAGCACTTGCCAGGTAGATATCCAAGAAAAAAAAACATCCTAGAAAACCCGAGTCTATTTATTTGAGTGCTTCATAGAGCTTCCATTGCTTGATGTACGTCAAAGTTTACCATGGAAAGATCCACCATTTTTAATAGGTAAACCATCTATTTCTATGGGCCATTTTCCATGGCTATGTTAAATAACCAGATGGTAAATAAAATATTGTAGTTCAGATGTTTCACTATGTTTCTTCTTGAAATTCATCTAACAAATTTTGGTTCAAATCCCCATCTTGTGTCGGTCGATTTAGAATAAACAATCTTGGGACTTGCTATCCCCATTTTCTGGAATTTCACCCTTTACCCTCTGGTAAACATACAAAAAAATATGGAAAATCACCATGTTCAATAGGTAAATCCACTATTTCAATGGCCATTTTCAATAGCAAACTGTAACAAATTACCAGGCCGGGTGCTCTTTGGGATGATCAAACTCACCATAAAACGTGGACGAAACTCGGACGATGGATTTTTTTTCAGAACCGCGATTCTTTGAGAACCGCTTCATCGTTTATGGAAATTGGGATATAATGGGCGTTTATTGGGATATATCATGGGTATAATGGATGAAATTATATATATATACATATTACATATATTACATATATTATATATTATATATTATATATTATATATTATATTATATATATATATATTATATATTATATTATATATATATATATTATATATATATTATATATATATATATATCAATTATCTCCATAGTAAAATGTTCCCAACTGTACCCTCCATTTATCAGGACTTTCCCCGCCATAGGACTTTTTGGGTTCCTCTCATGACCCAAGCGGCCATCGGCCGTGCCGCAGCTGCAGGTCTCTGTCATCGTGGCCAAGGCCATCTCCGTCTGAGGGACGGGTTTCTTCGGGATATTATTTCGGATAAAAATTAAGGATACCCTCCGGTAATTTAACATAGCTCTTGAAAATGGCCATTTATAGTGGATTTTCCCATGAAAAATGGTGATTTTCCATAGTTATGTTAAATTACCAGAGGGTATATTTAGGAACATTATCCCTAATATATCCTTAATTTTATCCCTAATATATAGTAATGTCCTGTAATATAGGATTACTGTATATATATAGGACAGTATATCCTAATATTATACATGTTCTATAAGATACTATGAAATATAATGTCCATTACTATACAGATATATATATATATAGCACATTATCTGTATAGTAATGGACATTCTATATATATTTATAGGAAATTTACTATCTGTATATCTATATATATATATGCATAGTAATGGACAATTCTATATTAAAGTGGATGATTTAGGGGTATCTCTGCTTTAGGAAACCTCCATATATGTATAGTAATGTATAGGATATCTTAACAATTAAGAAAGAACATATGGAATCTGAGTAAATAAATGTCATGTAAATTACGGATGTGGTATTTCCACAACTGGGGCATCCGCAATAGCTGGATGGTGTATGATGCACAATTCTATTAAAACGCATTAAATCTAGTGGTACCCGGATTTCAGGAAACCTCCAATATATTCAATATATGTAATCCGGATATCTTAATTGTCTTAATTAATTCAATACTTAGGCTACAGTATATAACATCGAATCTGGGTAATTAATTTAATTTCTTCCTCCCATCCCCTGAAAAAAAATATGAAACACGCCCCAGTTTTACCATGGATCAGAGGAACTGGGAACAGCCTGGTGTTACTGGGTCAATTGGGGATTCCCAGAAATGAATCAATAGTATGTCACTAGCTATGTATTACGAAATAGTCTGAAGGTAACAAACTGAATTACTGATAATTACTGGGTAACAAATTGAAAATATTTCACATTATTTCACTCACCTGACATGTTTCGAGCCATTTTGGGATGGTTTCCCCTTGAAAAATTCACCATGATTAGCCAGACATCTCCTGAGGTGATGATGGAAATCTCATTTTGTGTTTTTTTAATGGGGTTGCCCGGTATACCCGGCCTGGTAAACATACCAAAAAACGATAGAAAGATCCATCATTTTTACTAGGTAAACCATCTATTTCTATGGGCCATGGCTTCCAGTTCGCGAACTGTCAGTTTATCAGAGGGTATAACATTTGCTGCTGTCTATACTCCCCCAAAAGATGATTTTTGAATATTTTTGATAGGCAAATGACGATAATTTGTTGATAAACCACAAGCAATTTTGGGGTGATTGACATCTATTGACAAAGCCAATTCATCAAAAAACACACTTCTCCAACAACAATTCACCAGCAGAAATCTCATGGTGATGATGGAAACTCATGGTGTTATAAATGGGGTTACCCTCTGGTAATTTAACATAGCTATAGAAAATCAGCAGAAACTACACTTTCAAAATGTTTTTACACAGCCAGTTAACAACAGTTAACCAGCCATTCAGCTGGTTCAGCCAGTATCCATCTATTCGTCAGGGACATCCAGACAGGTTTTTCAACATCCACTGCGGCGCCAGGTTTGGGCCACTGAAGTTCAGCTGGCGTTTAGATGTTGAAAATAAGTGGAACCAACTTTACCATCTGGTTATGACGAACATAGCCATGGAAAATCCCTTATAAATGGAGGTTTTAATAGGAAAATCATCTATAAATGGGCTATTTTCCATGGCTATGTTAAATAACCAGAGGGTAGATGTTAATGATGTGGAAACCTTTTAAGTATCATCAAAAATGATTTTAGATGCTTCCCCCGTTCAATAAATGTTCAATGTTTGTTCACCGATTGTTCAACTGAACAATTTCGGAACCAATGGATTCCTGGTTTTTAGCGGAACCCTTTTGTATCATCCAATGATGATTTTAATGGTTTTAGTCTACACTGCCCTTATACCATCAGGGATGCAATGCCCGAAAACAAAGTCCGCGAAAATCCACGAAAGGGGCATGAAACTGAGTAGAAATTGGTGGTCTGAGTAGAAAGATGTAGAGAGTATCTGCATTTAAAGGATCATCCCAAAAACAGGCGGGCTTTTTATGAGTTCCGTCCATGGAATACTTGGACACTGCCAAAAAGGGAATTCGGTGATGTTTTTTTCACCGAGCAGAATCAAGCAGGATGGCCACTGTTCAACCCAAAAAATCATGAAAACTTGGAACAGTGAGTTCAACAGTGAGTTCAACCGTGTTCAACCATGTTCAAGTCACATTTTGGAAGGTTTTTCAGCCAAGATGATCTCAAAATTTCGTGCTTTTGGAAGATCTCATTTTAGCACCATTAGGGATGGCACCTTTACGGAAGTGCTCGGAGAGGCCCAATGATTCCAAATGCGAATAGTGTTGATGAGTTTTAAACAAAAAAAAACACAACTCATCCCCAATATAATCAATATACCATCTGGTTATTTAACATAGCCATGGAAAATCACCATTTTTAAGAGGTAAACCATCTATAAATGAGCCATTTTCCATGGCTATGTTAAATAACCAGAGGGTAATTATTATATAATGATAAATAGATATCATCAAATTCCAATCTGATCTCATAAGACTTGATACTATCAATCCCACAGCACCTTTAAGGTGAACGCTGGGGTGCCCTACATCACTGAGAGCCACGGCAGCCAGCTGCCTCGAATTTCGGGAACTCTGGTGACTATTGGAAAATCACTGGTTGGTGGTTTACTAATGGTGATCATTCATATAACCATATGGTGATATATGTTATATCAACTATTAATTTCATTAACCATCATATATATATACGTATATATATATGTATATATATATATTGTTATATGATATCAACATCTGGTTGGTGGTTTCAACCTACCACTCTGAAAAATCATGGACAACTCGTCAGTTGGGGCCCGATGACATTCCCAATTTTTCTGGAAAGTCATATAGCAGCCATGTTCCAGTCACCACCAATCAGTCAGTCCATGTACTGTCAGTGAATCCGATGGGGATCTTAGACTCATCTCCGCTGGAAAAAAATCGCTCGGCGCTGAGAAATTCTCAACAGAAATCCCCATTTCAATCGGAGATCAGACCCGACTTAAGATGACTTAAGATGACTTACCCTCTGGTAATTTAACATAGCTATGGAAAATCACCGTTTTTCATGGGAAAATCCACTATAAATGGTCATTTTCAATAGCTATGTTAGTTTACCAGAGGGTAAGATCCATGGTTCGAAGCTTGGAAAGCAGCCTAAGCAGCCTTCCCGCAGCTAGTTGAATCGAGTTGCGTGCTGCCAATGTCTGAGTAACCTTGGGAGCTGATCGAGGCAAAAAATGCGGAGATGTTTATGGTCGAACTGGGAGAATCTTTCATTTCTGTTAGTTAAGCAATAGGATCCACCATCCCTATTTTTTAGTATAAATAGCTTGTATGAAGCATCTAAATATGGCTGGTTTATGACATTGCTTTGCCAACATTAATGACGAACGATGATTCCAACGCCCTTGGCAAATCATGGAATCCATTCATCACTGAGGATGGTGCCCCCCAGTTGTAAGTTGGTTTATAAACCCCATGAAAACATCCATGAATACTATAGTTGTATCATGTTAATGTTATATCTATCACAAACCATAGAATTCAGCCACTTTTTTTAGGCAACTGAACGCGAGCTCGACTGGGGGCCCTGTCAGGAATGCGGATCAACATCTGTTTCTACACAAACTAACCGTATTTCGATGTGAAAAAAATCTAGGTACTATCGGGGGTTGACCCATTTTTTTCCGCCAAAAAGTGGCCAAAATGTCCACAACACAATGATATCTATCAACAATTTTTCCGCATTTCGTGGTGATGAAAGTTCCATGAATTGCGCAAGCTAAACGATACAACAGCCATCTCTCCAAAAACAGGGGATGATAGTCATCCCATGGCGTCATCCTCCGAAACATCATGTTCTCCGAAAGAGGTTAAATCCTTTGAACAATCCCATTTTTTCACGGGAAAAGCCCCTAGGTTTCTTGGTGAAATCCCCATGAAGTGGGAATCCCCATGAAAAATCCCGAGCATATCTTCATCAAATGCCATGATATCATGATATCCAAACCGTTTTTGGCCCATTTGTTTAGCTCGTCTACCTATATTGGAAGAATGCTGAAACAGGGTGCAGTTGGCACTATTAATGGGTATAATCATGGTCATGAACCTAAGTTGGGATACAACACCTATAATTATGCTTATAAGTTATATAAGTTATTTATAATCATATATATATATATGAATACAGTATGTATGTGTATATATATATATATCCACTTAGTTCACTGGAACTTCCAACTGTGATCCCCTACACATTTTCGGTTCAAACATGTTTCTGGGCTTCCCCGGCCATCCTGCGCCTCTTCTTCGCAGGTCTCATGGCTCCGGATCTCGTGCACGTCCTGGCAACATTAAGATCTTTAAAGAAAAACATGTGCTGCTGGTGATATATAGTGTTTTATATAGTGTTTTATATAGTGTTTTATATAGTGTTTATATAGTTTAGTATAGTTTAGTATAGTATATGCTGGTGTTTAATATGGTGTTTATATAGTTTATATAGTTTATATAGTTTAGTATAGTTTTAGTATAGCGTTTGATGTGTAGTAATGTGTTTGGTTTCATATAGTAAACATGTTAGTACTAGTGTTGGTACAAATATAACTATATTATACTATGTTAGTATGTTATATAGTGTAGTTTCGTAATATCTTAAGAAAAAACTTCTTAGTATAATTCATATGAAAAAACACATAACTAATAATAATGTTATCACATATATATATAATAGCTAATAATACCAGTACATTAATCGTGTTATGGCTATGTAAATAATATATAGGTTTATACGTGTGTATATTAAATTCTATATAGATTTGAATCATGGGGTTACCCAGAAAACCCTGACTTAGGTACCATGCGGGGATGGAAAAAACATGGGAAAAACGCTTAGATATATTTCGGCTGTTGATGTCACCGATTGTGAAAAAAAGAAAAAGTCAAAATCTCCAATGGTTCATAAAGTATCATCAAGTCTGGACTTATGTATCATAAAGTCTGGACTTATGAATCATAAAGTCAGCATCATAGTGTTTCTACCCATGGATGCTGAACCAACAACCCACTGTACCCTCTGACCTGACGGCAGTTCATCAGTTTTCATGAGTGCTTCATAGTTCACTCATATCCCAGTTGTAGTTCTTCATCACTACATAGTTCGTAGGAGTCCGCAGTAGTTGTGGATAATTATGGTGAGTTGACAATCTGACACCTATGTTGTCATCCATCCCAATGATGTCTCTATATATATAGTGACGGACATGTACTTAGAACATCATTTTTTTCCAAAATTTCGAAACCTCCTCTTAGAACATCAAAATTACCATACTTAGAACATCAGAAATGTTTCTAAGTACGCACTTAGAACATCAGAAAAACAGATACTTAGAACATCTCCATTGATTTTTGCATACTTAGAACATTAAAACACACATATACTTAGAACATGTCCTGTTACTTTGGTAAATCTGCATATATACACACAAATACCTTGGTGAACACCATACTTAGAACACTTTCTCCCCTCACTGCTGCAGCATTCTATACCTTTTCTTCGGGAACAATATACACATCATATGTAAGACTGATGCTGGAGATTGCCCCTAGCCTATTAGTTTATAAATATCCGCCGACCCCGGCAGAAATTAGGCGGCAGGGGCGGCAGCCCTTAAATAAATATATCTATATATAGTATTATATAGTGTATATATATAATTAGCGACGGACAAATACTTCGAACATACATATATGTATGGTTCCCATTGGTTCCCCACTGGGATGTTCTAAGTATAGCTTGGAAATGTTCTAAGTATAGGTTTTGGGTATGTTCTAACTACTTTTTTTGAAACCCATACTTAGAACATCCCCGCTGTGACGATTTTCAGATTTTTTTCCAGATGATGTTCTAAGTAGTTGTCCGTCACTATATATATATGTCATTGATATCATGTGGTAAACCGAGCAATGGTATCACCTACCATTTGGAAATGGTTTATGATTGGCTAAAAACCACATTACAATTCAAAACCATTAGATTTCATCCCAATAATCCCACTAGAATCCTATTAAAATCCATGAATCATCCCATTAATCATCCCATTAACATTCCATTGAAATACCAATAATTCCCAGTAAATCCCATTAAAAACCCAGTAAAATCCCATGAAAAATCCCATGAAAAATCTCAATAATTGACCCATCGATGTTTCACCTCACCATGCACCGCCTCGTGAGAGTTACGCTCGCAGTCTTCCTCATGGGAACTCCGCTTCTCCTGACAAAACCGCTGGGGAACCATGGTAATGAATCACTAATCACTATGGATAACTATGAATATATAAGTAAAAATATATGGTTGTAGAACCAAAAGTATGCTTATAGCCTGAACATAAACATTGCTATTAATCCCATATACAATCAAGGGAATGATAATGATGAGGACCGTAGTACTGATAATCTCAGAATAATAATAGCCACCAATAATAACAGCGATATAAGATTGATGATTGTATGAAATATGCAAATGATTCTAGTTTACATGATAATCCTAATGATACTGTATATTACATATATTACCAATGTCTACATGATAATGATGAGGATGGTGGTATGTATAATTCAGACTGATCATCGCAATAATATACTATAATATATTCATAACAGTATAACACTTACAATTCAGAATAATGATAGTAATAATGCTCTTGATAGTAAATAACAACAATAATATAGAAAGAGTAAGAGCACCGAAATCCACTAAACATGTTAAACCGATTGTATCCAAATACCAAAATAAATATGAGTACAAATTAATATATTTCACAGAAGAAGGTTTGGGTAATATTCAAGAAAATGCGACATTTAGTTTACCAAAACATCCAGCATGTGTGTCAATGAGAGAAAATAATAGTGATAGATAGTAATAAAACTATTACAGCAAAAATAAATACATTGAAAAATTGGTCTAAAATGTTCGATCATACATATATATATATTGAAAATTGATATTGAATCAAGTGAATATGACTTTGTAGTAAAATTATTTATGCAAGATTGGTTACCATTTACGCAATTGTTGATTGAATATCATGACAGATTTTTGAAAGAAAATATTGAATGGAAACACGAATTAGTTTTAAAATTGTTAGAAAAATATGGTTTCAAACAATATCATCAAAGAAATTCACAAGAATACAGTTACATCAAAGAGATTGACATCCTAAAAGAATGTTAAATGTAGCTATAGAAGTTTTTCAAAAAGTGCATTCTATTCTATTCTATTCTAGTGCACTCTAAAATAATAAAGAACTGAAGTTTAACTTGATCTTTGATCTTGATCAAAATCGTGATCAGATCAGTGATCAGAGAAAACGAAGTCTTTTGACTAAAAAGAATCCATAGGACATGTATAATCAATCATATAATATATAAGTACAGAGCTGGTGATGCTTGAATTTTCTAGAATTTTCAGACTCTGTACTTACATATTACAGTAATTCATTATACATGTCCTATGGATTCTTAGTCAAAAAGTCTTCGTTCCAGGAACCCGTTGAACCCTGGCCCAATCTGGGGGTTCAAATACCACCAGTTGAGGCGATCTTTGTTTGAAAACACAACTCCTGCATGATGGTGCCACCAGTTGTAAGTTGCGATAGAAAAACCCCATGAAAACATCCATGAATTATAGTTGGTGGTTGACCTACCCCTCTGCAAAATATGAAAGTCCGTTGGGATTATGACATTCCCATATATGAAATGGAAAATAAAAAACCTTTGAAACCACCAACCAGTATAGTTACAGTATACCTACCATAAACCATAGTTAAACCACGAAAAAAAGGCAACTGAACGCTATCTTGGGGGCCCCATCCTGTGTATCCCCATTCTATGGTGGTTTTACCCTCTGGTAAACTAACATAGCTATGGAAAATCACAATGTTTAATGGGTAAATCAACTATAAATGATCATCTTCAATAGCTATGTTAAATTACTAGAAGGTATCCTCATCATATTTGTTGCAAAAAAGAGACAGGTTTGTCCATTTCTGTTGGTCATTCTGGTCTAGCACCTACCATTTGCACCTGCCATTCACCCTTAAAATCAAATATCTATTGGTTATGCTATATGTCATATAAAATCCCATCATAGAATTATGTCTTGAAGCGATAGCATAAGATCTCATTGTCGAAATCATTTCTTGATTCGAAATCCATATCGGAAAAGTGAATCCCACTATAAATGTCCATAAAACTCATATATTGCGTGATGAACATCTTTTTTTTCCCACTTCCCCATCAGAAACTCTCCTGACGAGCAAGGGCCCCTCGCGCCCAGCGAGCAATGAGGTGTATCACCTGCAAATTGGGATTCACCAACAAAAAAATGGATGTCACAAAAAAAAAATGGGATTGGAGCAACAACAAGAAGTGGGTTTACTATGGTTTACTAAGAAAAGCTTGGATTTAAGCAACACGTGATAGCTTTAAGCATCGAGAAAATTGGAATCAACAAATGGCAACATGCGCCACATTCGCTGTGCTATTGCCACCGTGATGAAATATTTACTATGACATGCCAATCTGTTGATGAGTGACCTATTTCACCGAATGGGTTAAAGTATGGCCAGTATGGCTATCGCTATGGGCTTAAAGTCTTGGGAAGCCACATACGGTCGATGGGCCAGCGAAATCCTGCACCACCAAACGGATGGTCGAAACATGTTGAAACCCAAACAAAATCATGGGATTAACATGGATTCACCACCGTTTTCAACTGGTGCTTCGGATTTCGCGTTGCCATCCACAGTAGTAATGTGATAGAGTAAACCCATAATAATCCCCAATTCTGCCGGTATCACTAGATGGTATAAACAGTATAAACTAGTATAAACCATTCCCATCCATGATATGTTTATGGCATTAATCCCATGGAATGATATATGGTAAATCCCATGGCTTATTCCCATCCAATAGATGGAATGATGGCATGAATCCCACATAAAATTCCATGGTTTTTTTTACCACCAAACAGCCACCATCCATCGAGGCATCGCATTGCATTTCGCACCTCGATTTCGCTGATCACGGGCAGCTCGTCGGAACGCAGCAAGGCTTCCACAAAAGACCTCGGCGGAACATCCACGGTGAAGCGTTGCGAAACATGGGATGGTGAAACCCAAAAGGAGAATGAAGCTGCGCAAAGGTGGAATGAATGAACGACTATGAATTAGCATCTGATTATGACTAACAGTTTGCGAACTGGAAAGATCCAGCATCTTTAAGAACGGTAAACCATCTATTTCTATGGGCCATCTATACCATGGCTATGTTAGTCATAACCAGAGGGTAACTCGTACGAATGTATGAGATGGAACGATGCAGCTACCATTTACCCTGGGCTGCACCTCTGATTTGTTCGCAACCAGAAAGTGCAACGAAGACATCTACGGCCAACCGGGATTTTCCAGCGAAGTAGCATACGGATTTGCTGTGTTAAGCTGAGACATATCTGTGCGGATTCTTGTATCACAAGCCTCTAACACCGGAAGCCCAGCGTTTTGCATCCTACACCACTGGCCCGTGGCTGTTGGAACTCGTAACATTTATGGGGGAAATTTAGGATGAAAACAGAACAGACATTGATAATTCAAAATCCAATCACCCAAAATTGCTATGCCAAAACTATTATTCAGAATATCATCAACAAATAGCCTTCGGTAGTCAAACATGGCTGCCGGTAGTCAAATCCCTACGAATCCTGTGCGTCATCATTTGCCCGATTTTGTGGCAATATGAAAAGGGCAATTTTGATGGTATATATACCATGCAATTTCACAAACTCAAGTTTAACTTTCATGTGGTTGGGAAACTAATTTCAAGTAGCTCCAACTGGCCCTATGAAACATAAGGAATATGAATACCCCTAGCTGCCCTACGCGCTTCCAACATCAACCATTGAGATGCCCTGCACTGGCAACTTCTCCAAATGCTCTTCAGCATCTACGTCGTTGCACCGGGGGGATAGGTCTGAGTTGCTGTATGTTACCTGTATATACAATCTGGGATATATCTCCTATAGGATATACCTATTGTGTATATGGTAACCATTGTATATCCAGGTGATAGAGATAACCATTGTATGATATATCCATTGGATAGGTCTATAAGAGATATAACCTGGGATATCACCTGGATATTTTTCATGGTTACCCGGCCTGGTTATGACTGGTAACAGTAGCCTTTGAACATGGCCGTGTCGAAAGTTCGTTGACTTTCCCAGCTAGAACATGGTGGATCTTTCCATAGTTTTCTGTTAACGTTTACCAGAGGTTAAATGGTTTATGTAATGGTAAATGGTTGACATCCTGGATGTAACATAATACGAATGGATATTTTCTGGTTAAACCATACTAAGGACTTGACAGCAAAAATGGATAAACATGGGATGTGATCCAACCAAAATGGGAATCTGATGGGAATATCATGGTTTTTTTGGGGGGGATACAATGGGATACATAGCCAACAAGATGATATGTGGGTCTGTCTGAAAATGGCCCTTTAAAAAAATTGCTTCCCATGGTTTTCTAAAATCAAATCATAATCCATGGGATTCAAGGGTGCTTTTTGACAGATGGGGTCAACAGTCAAAATTCTTCCGTTCTTGGACCGGAAATTTTGTAGATGTTGTATGATGTTGTTCATTTCTTGGGGTGTAAGTCAAGAACCTGGAGCCATTCACCGGTAGATCTTTCATTTCGGTTGAAACGGACATGTGATGTTCTTTTTGGGCAGCTGGCAAGGTGACTACAGTGCATCTACCCTCTGGTAAACTAACATAGCTATTGAAAATGGCCATTTATAGTGGATTTTCTCATTAAAAATTGTGATTTTCCATAGCTATGTTAGTTTACCAGAAGGTACATGCATCAAAAATCGTGTCTGCTTCGGTTGGATAAACACCCACAATGCCAGGGATAAACACCAGAGTGGATACTTTAAGTGGCATTTCCCCAGACTCATTTCTGGGTATTTGCCAAATTTGAAGGAACCCTGGATCAATCAAGCCCCACTTTACTAAGAGGCAGGTTCCCCAAAAGAAACCAATATATGGCGGGTTCCTGAAATGGGGGTACCCCCAAATCACCCATGTTACTAGGAATTTCCCTTATAAACATTTATAAACCATCCATTTGCTGGTACCCCCATTGATGGAAACCTCCATATAGATGGATAATATGCCATATTAATGGATAGTCGGATAGTTGCATAGTCATGGGGCCATGGTCACCATCGCCACGGCTCCTGCGGTCACCAGGGCGAAATGGCCTTGGTTTCAATACGTCACATGTGGTCATGGTCGAGTCGTGGTCATGACGACTGGATGATTTCCATTGGTTTTTTTCCAATTGGAAACCCATGTGAAGAATGATGATCTCAGATGAGAACATGTGATTTGAAAAATTGGTTTCCATTGGTTCATCATCTTCACATGTTCTCATCTGAGATCTAGTCACTGGCACATTGGTTTCCATTCGCAGGATGCCAGGAATATGAGGCAGCTACCAACACATCTGGGTAAATTACAATATTTCACTAACCTGAATTAAGACCATTTGGGGATGATTTGCCTTACTAACCATGATTTCCAGTGAGGTCGCAGTGAGGTCGTTATAATTTACCCAGAACACATGTAAAAAATGCCCATGGATTTATGGATTGAGGCAAAACCCACTTTTCAGACACGCCGAGAGAGGTTCAGATTCTGCTGTGTGCCATGAACGTACATGCGTCACATGATGTGCTCGCTTTATGAAGCAAGTTTAAATGCTATCTAGCAGTTTTTTCCGCTTACGGACAAGAAAGAATGTCTACTTAGTCTAATTCGAAAGCAACAGACAGCCAACACAACCCCACTACTACATTTAAAAAAAACATGCCATTTTTATTGAAATAGCGTTTGCCATTCGGTCTGGGTAAAGCCACGTCGACTTCGCAGGGCTTTCAGCAAGCTGTTCCACCTGGCGGGGTGAAATTCACCTCATGGACGACCAACAGTAACGGATGGATGACTGGAAATGGTTTCATGTGGGTAAAACAATGCCATTTTTACATTTTTACCACCCATGACTGGGAATGGTCTATACTATACCACCTATTAAAATGCTGATGACTGGGAAATGGTTATTATTGAAGTTGTAATGTTAAACCATGGATAAAACATATTGATAAACTTGATTGTGACTGTTTTTCTGGTTTTTAAAAGCCATAATTATAAGTCTTCACCGACGGTTGAGCCAAAAAAAACGTATCCATGGTGAAATGCATGGAAAAATCATCACGGTGGGAAAAATCACAGGAAACCCATGGTTTGTACACCAAAAGAGGCAGGCTTCCCTGTAGATTTTCTCTTGAACCAATTGGTCCTGGTATAAAGTTGGGATGACCGATGTTCTTGCCATGGTGGATTACTTTACTTGGTGGTGGACACAGGACTTGTGATTGGTTAACGATGAAGGACCATCTTCCACCAGTCATCACCAGTTATACATGGAAAACATCTAATTATATAGATTTATATAGTCTACAAATAGTCTACAAATAGTTTATAATGTTTATATATGGATTGTAAATCACTTATATACCACTTACGGAAGATCAGCATTTTTTCCGGATTCCCCGTGGTGGAAAATTCCGATCTCAGATCCCCCGGGTGCCCCCGCAAGAGTCGCCCGAAATGCTCGTGGGACATCTGTACAGTCAGCAGGTGATAGAACAGTCCCACCTTGGAAGACACGTCGTAGCGTAGCTTCGCTTGGGGTCAAAAAAGGGTCGAGTTTCACTATGTTCCACTCTAATTTTTTGGCGATGACTCACCGGAAAAAAAAAAAAGTTTTTCTGCAGGTCCAGTTTGAAGTGGATATATCAATTATATCACCATATAGTCATATAGTTCTCATATCCCAACTTACGGAGGTGAAATCCATTGAAAGCCATAGTAAAATCCCTAAAGTAGCCCTGGCCAGCCCAAAGTAATTTATCTATTTTTTTGGACCAAAAAGAGCTCCTGGAGTTGGTGTCAGTGGTAGCTGCCTTCACAACTGGCCCAATTCAGCCCAATTCAGCCCGGCCAGACTTCTTTGGTGCTTCCATCCCCAGGAAATTTGCTGATTTCCATGGGACATTTTCTTAGCCATGTTCGTTGCCTCAGTATCATCGCATACTCAGTTTCCTCAGTTTCTACTCAGTCGCAATTACTGAGTAGCCCTGACGGTGAAATTGTCTTGCATCCACTGCAGGCAGTGCTTCACGATGTCTTCGATGCAGTACTTGTCCGCGATGTGCATCAGCGCCTGCCGCTGGCTGGATCTTCGAGGATCGGTCGCCGGTTTTTGGTCGCCGACAAGTCACGGATCCAACACGGATGGTCACCTTTTTTTTGTGAGCACCTAAGGCGACTAAAGCGACTAAGGTCTCAAGAAATCAGGTTTAGAATGGTTTACAAGTTATAATAGATATATGTTTAGATTGAAAATGGAGAACAAAAATCTGTCTAACGGGACTTGGAATTGATTTTCTCGTTGAAAAACATCTAGAGGGCATTTCACCAATCATTTCCCGCACGAAAAGTCCACCATCCCAACAGAATCCGCCGCCTTCACATTCCCTTGGTCCACATGGCAAGTGTTCAAGTACACGAATCTGATCATCTCCAAGAACACCTGCGAATTCCAGGGAGTTTTGGGTCCAGGATTGACCCAAAACCACCAGTTAAAACCACCAGAAAAATCGAGATTTCTATGGATTTGTTCGCTTCACAAGCCCCAAACAGTCGTGGATTTTCTATGGATTTGGCATCTCCAGCGCCACATCCCAAGCACGTCGTCGCCTCTGGTTCGTCATCCACCATGACCTCGCTGGGTCGCTGGGATCTGGTGGTTTCGAAATACCCAAAAACCTTAGCCTTAGACCTTAGACCACATGTGGTTTACCAAGGCAACCCCATGAACCAACCATGAACCAACCATTCTCATCCCAGGATATCTTGGATGTCACGGTTCCTGCAGCGCCTCTAACGGCTTCTCGGAATGCGCTGGAACTGTGGGCTGCGTCCGGGGGCTGTTCATGGGCTCTGCCTGCCGCAGATCATGGGGAGATCATGGCCCAAAATGCTCGACCGTTTAACCATTCAAATACCATGATAACATATCATCACAATTGAAATGAGTTATATATGCTATATATATACATATATATACATATATATACATATACATATACATATATACATATATACATATATACATATATACATATATACATATATACATATATACATATATACATATATACATATATATATACATATATACCTATATACATATACATACATATATACACATATACATATATACATACATACACATATATACATATATACATATATACATATATACATATATACATATATACATATATACATATATACATATACATATATACATATACATATATACATATATACATATATACATATATACATATATACATATATACATATATACATATATACATATACACATAGACACATATACACATATACACATATACACATATACACATATACACATATACATATACATATACATATACATATACATATACATATACATATACATATACATATTATACATATATTATACATATATATTATATATATACCACGATCTTTTGATGGCTTATAGCTTTGAATATAGTGATAAATATAGTGATTATAGCCATTTTGTCAGAATGGCAGTGCGACCAAACTTTATTCTGGCAACTATGACCAACCAGACAGGAAGCACGGCTGGACAGGGCACAATTGTGGGCTGAGAGGGGGAGTTGAACCAATGTCTATGGCCAATCTCAGGTAAGATGTGAAATGTTCCCCCTAAATTCTTACAATGGCAGAAAAGCCTCTTGGAGTGCGTTCTATTCGATGCAAAGATGAGTCCATTAATAAATGCCCGAATGAGCCTCTCAAATATGTTGGGACATGTTGGAATCAGTTAGAACCAAGTGGATTTCCCAAAATCCATCACTTTTTTAAAGGAGGATTCTGGGGTTCCTCTCGAGTCAACCGCGCCTCGCTCTGTCCGCGGGCAGAGGATGTCTCAACACTGCCCTGGCGGAGATGGTCGTGCTGGTCACCAATCCCTCGTTCTACCGGTTCTACCGCCATCGCCAATTACTGGGCACCTGATCTTGGACATGCTCCACATGCTCCACATGCTCCACTTGATGCTCCACTTGCTCCTCAAAGGCTCGTGCCGGCCTGCGACCGAAAAACGAGATGCCACAAGGTGCGAGAGGTCTCGAAAGAGACGCTTGGTCCCCGGGGGATTTAACAAATAAATATGATGATATAAAGGGCGCATATGGCCAACTTAATATTATAATATGTATATAGACAATTCTGCTGGTGAAATCTAAAATGTTTTGGTCGATTTTTTCTCCAATCTCCATGTTTTTCTCCCATATTTTGGGCTGCCCCGGCCATGCGGCGGCCGCCGCCGCTTCCGCAGCGGCCGCTGCGGCAGCAGAAGCGGGAGGCGGCTCGCGAGGTTCCTGAAGTCTCGGGGACTTTTTGTTGAGTTATTTATGACGATTTAATGGTTTTTTTTTCATGGATTATACAATTGTGTTTTTCATGGATTATATACACAATGGGTTTTTTCATGGATTATACAATGGTTTTTTTCGTGGATTAGACAATGGTTTTTTTCATGGATTATATACACAATGGGTTTTTTCATGGATTACACAATGGTTTTTTTCGTGGATTAGACAATGTTTTTTTCATGGATTATATACACAATGGGTTTTTTCATGGATTACACAATGGTTTTTTTTCATGAATTATACAATTGGGTGTTTTTCATGGATTATATACACAATGGGTTTTTTCATGGATTACACAATGGTTTTTTTCGTGGATTAGACAATGGGTTGTTGCATGGATTATATACACAATGGGTTTTTTCATGGATTACACAATGGGTTTTGTCATGGATTAGACAATGGGTTTTTTCATGGATTATATACACAATGGGTTTTTTCATGGATTACACAATGGTTTTTTTCGTGGATTAGACAATGGGTTTTTGCATGGATTATATACACAATGGGTTTTTTCATGGATTACACAATGGGTTTTTTCATGGATTAGACAATGGGTTTTTTTATGGATTATACAATGTTTTTTAAATGGACTACACAATGGTTTTTTTCATGGATTATACAATTGGGTTTTTTCATGGATTATATACACAATGGTTTTTTCATGAACTATACAATGGGTTTTTTCTCATGGATTATACAATGGTTGTTTTTTCATGGATTACACAATGTTTTTTTCATGGATTATACAATGGTTTTTTCATGGATTATACAATGGGTTTTTTATGGATTACACAATGTTTTGTTTTCATGGATTATACAATGGTTGTTTTTTCATGGATTATATACACAATGGATTTTTTCATGGATTACACAATGGGTTTTGTTCATGGATTATACAACGGTTGTTTTTTCATGGATTACACAATGGTTTTTTGTTCATGGATTACACAATGGTGTTTTTTCATGAATTACACAATGGTTTTTTTTCATGGATTATACAATGGTTTTTTTCATGGATTACACAATGGATTTGTTTCATGGATTATACAATGTTTTTTTCATGGATTACACAATGAGTTTTTTCATGGATTACACAATGGTGTGTTTCATGGATTACACAATGGGTTTTTTTCATGGGTTATACAATGGTTTTTTTCATGGATTACGCAATGGGTTTTTTTCATGGGTTATACAATTGTTTTTTTCATGGATTACACAATGGGTTGTTTCATGGATTACACAATGGGTTTTTTTCATGGGTTATACAATGGTTTCTTTCATGGATTACACAATGGATTTGTTTCATGGATTATACAATGTTTTTTTCATGGATTACACAATGGTTTTTTTCATGGATTACACAATGGTGTTTTTTCCTGGGTTATACAATGGTTTTTTTCATGGATTACACAATGGGTTTTTTCATGGATTACACAATGGTGTTTTTCATGGATTACACAATGGGTTTTTTCATGGGTTATACTTTTTTTTTCATGGATTACACAATTGGTTTTTTTCATGGGTTATACAATTGTTTTTTTCATGGATTACACAATGGTATTTTTTGCATGGATTATACAATGGTTTTGTTTCATGGATTATATACACAATGGTTTTTTTTGAAGGATTATACAATGGTTTTTTTTCAGGGATTACACAATGTTTTTTTTCTTGGATTATACAATGGGTTTTTTTCATGGATTATACAATGCGTTTGTTTCATGGATTATACAATGGGCTGTTTCATAGAGTATACAATGAACCCTTCGGTTTTTAAGGAGTATTATCCTGATGATTATCCTAATAAGGATAAATGGCTTATATATGGGGAAAGAACAATCAATTATTAAATGAATACATTAATCATAATATCCATTCGTGGTTTCATAGTCTTAATAGTGAATTTAATAATGGGTTATCGTATCTATAAATGGGTAGACTAACTATGGTTACTAACCACTTTATATCTGTGGGTTATCCGCCAAGTAGTCAGCCAAAATGGGGAACCAACCAAGAGGAATAGTGGTTGATAGTTGATCTATGAAAGCTAAACCAGCAAGAATATAGATTGAACCAGGAAAAGTGGCGATTTACAGTTGATATGTTTGATGTATCGTAGGTAAGTGGATAGACAAAACTAGCTAAACTAAAGATAGAGAGTTACCTATGATACATGGGTAGTAGATAGATATAACCGATGATTACCCTATATGATTACCCATGATTCATGATCTATGAATCATTTTTTTGGCGTCAAAAAAAGGCTGCATCAGATGGGTTTTGTTCACCGAGCTGTTGCTGTCGGGCGCCATATTCCAGCTAAGATAGGTGTTGAGTCAACAAACGTGTTTTGCCATGTTTGTTAACCATGGTTTATGATAGTTTCTTAGAGATGTATTCAGTATGTGTTTACTTAATTTACTGATTAGAAACTTCATTTGCAGGCTTAATGAAGTCTCCAATACACAAATCAAATGTGTTGCTAACTACATTGTTTGTAAGTCTATTCGTCTATTCATTATGTCAAATTGTATCAGATTCAACTCATATTTTGATTCAGCTTTCTTTTGATGAGCCAGGTTGAAGCCTACAGTAAATGCTGTAGCTCCAAGTTGTTGATGAATAGGCACGAATCGCCACGAATCGACAGCTGGACCAACACATTCTGAATCTGAAAGCATCTTAGCGATTCGCTTCCTATATCTAAAAATGAAAAAATCGCTGCCAGCCCAATCACTATCATGATACTAACTGACGATACATTCCCCAGCTTCATTGGGATTAATATGATGCTATTGGGCTGATAGTTAGTATCCCAACAGCTTCACTCGAGACCCTGAGCTCCGCACGCTGGTCGGGGGATATCCTTGAGGCAGGCCCGGCAGGCTAACACCTGAGCTGAATTTTCTGGGTAACCCATGGACTATTCATTTCGATTTAGCCAAAAATATGGGTGATTTTCCATAGCTAATCATGGAAAATAGTTGGTGTCACTATTCATTTCGGTTTAGTCCATTGATTAATCAACTAGTCATTTCTATTGTTCGATGATTTATAGTTGATGTCCATTGAAACCTCCATTTATGGACGATGGATGATGATTTATCTATCTAAAAAGGCTGATTCTCAATAGCAAACATCTTAAATTACCAGAGGATATGTAGTTTTTGAACTGGTTTACGAGTTAGCAACCACCCTGTTGCCGTAGCCAATGACTTTGCCAAAAAACCATGGCCAGATCTTTCCTGACATATATCCCTTTTGCATGTATGGATGTTTAATGTCAAGGCACATTTTTTAAGGATGATAAGGTTTAGGAAACTATACACCTCCTGGCTTTTTCCTTGACATCTTCCAGTGTTTGATGTTTTTTTTTTTCGGTTGTTCATCTCTGCCAGGAATCAACTGAAAACTGGGTGTTTCGAAGATGTGGTATTTATCCCCAAATCCGTGGGTGAATCATCATTCCCCTTGCTAAGACTCCCAAAGAACAGAGCTATCCCCCATTTTTGGACAAAAGCCATATTGGCACAGTATCGCCATGTAAAATGGTAGTTAAATCCCATGGCTAATCATCATTTCTTTGATGAGAATCAACAATTGAGGTTGAATCCCCCTTTTCAAACACACCCATGCCACTCCTTCCCCAACTTAGCACTTCACTTTTTTTAACTGGTTGGTGGTTTCAACCCCTCTGCAAAAATATGAAAGTCAGTTGGGGTTATTATTCCCAATAGATGGAAAGTCATAAAAGTCATGTTCCAAAAAAAACAACCAGTTTACATATTAGGCCGTGTCTGAAAATAGGCTATCCCTCAATCCTCTGGTTTTTCATCTCCATATTTTTGGGGTATTCCGAAGTCCCCAACGACCAAAACGACCAACCCCCAGCGTCGCTCCCCGGCTTCCCTACGGCTCTCTGGTGCAAAGCTTAAGCCCAGCTCTTGCGTGGTCCACCTGCAGCGCCCAGCTTCCATGGATTGTCACGGGGGGCAACACACCGACATGTCTGGATCTTCTATGCCGGCTGTTATATCGGCTAACATGGGTTAACATTGTTTGATATGGGTTAATATTGGGGAATATTGGTTAATGCTGGTGTGAATGATGGTGTTGATGTTTTTTTCACAACAAAAACTCACTAACTATAGTTATATCTACCATCAACCCATGATTGGCACTTGTCGCTCTAGGATGTTCCAGCTGTACTTCTACCAACAAGCACGTGGACAGAAGACTGGTATATACTGGGATATCATCAACCGAACTATATGGCTATGAATCAATACCTATTAATACCATTTTTAGAGGGATGAACATCCATTTACCAGCTATTTTTATGTTCACCAGGGGTACAAGGTTTTGACCCACTGCCATATAGGGATATGGATGATATGGGTATGTCCAACCGCACGAATCATGTAGCAGTGTAGCATGTTCAAGCATTCTCATACTCCAGGCAGGAATTCGCGGAATGGACCCCATTTTAAGCTGGGAAAAAGAAAACAACGGGTTTTAAACCTGGCACTTAACGAATCTGTCTTACACCCATCTGGGATTTCTTTTTACGGATAGCCAGCATTCCCACAATGAATATGGCTTGTTTATACGTCGAATATGTGGTTTTTCTACATGTTTTTTTTTGGCACTGGTCGATCATTGACATTCCACATTGAGTCCCTGTTGTCTATGATGAAAAACCTTCATTCTGGTTGGATCCCCAAAAATAGCTGCTTCTATCCATCCCAATCCATCTTAAATTGAGGTGATACCCAATATTGTTAGAGAAAAATATCACTTCTTAGTGTTGAAAGGTACCCGGCCTGGTAAACAAACATTCACAGTTTGCGACATAGAAAATGGCCCAGTCGAAATAGTGGATTTACCCATAGAAATAGCATGGTGGATCTTTCCAGTTCGCTTTTTGGTCATGTTTACCAGAGGCTAAATCCCATCTTGAGATCCCCAGATTTACGGCGGCATCCCATCCACCTCTTTTCGCTCTCAGCCGCCGTGAGCCTTTCTAGGAGCCTGGCGACTTCGAAGCTTCGACTGAGCTGAGCACCCATCCATGCAATCCATATGGAATCTATGGAGAAATCCACCAAACAAATTATCCCATGTTGAGTACTAACATAACTATGGAAAGATCCACCATTTAGTTCGTGAGGTTTCCCATAGAAATAGCATGGTGGATCTTTCCAGTTCGTTTTCTGTATGTTTACCAGGTCGGGTATCCCAAGTTGACTGGGAAAAAAAAAATGGGGAAATCATGATCCATTTGGAAATCACAATGATTGGTGAATTGCATCGCTAGGATCGCTCTAATTGGAGCGGGATGAGTCACCTTCGAAAGATGTTTAACTCAAATATAGTTCTTATGTTCGTCCAAGATGTTTTGGTACTGGCACCCTCTGGAATTTAACAGTTTGCTGTTGAAAATACCCCATTTATAATGGATTTACCAGTTGAAAATGGTGATTTTCCATAGCTATTTTGACATAACCAGAGGGTAAAACCTGTAAGGCTTCATCAATATGTTTACCTCAACACTCTGTTCAGCTAAGGGAAATTAAAATCGCTACACATTCTGCCCCCTTTTTTTCAACACCGTGCTACGCCGCTGATTTCCTGGGGGCCCAACACCGGCTGCGTGCGAAGCAGCAAAGTATGACATCTCAATGACTGGCCCTCGGAATCATTTGGAGATCCCAAAGTTTTCACATCCCATGGCTTGTCATATCTCCCATAGGATCCATGTATGGTATATATGCTAACATTTGGGGTATATTAATGGTAAATGTTACCATATATGGCATACATGGATCCTATGGGTCTTGCCATCATGTTCCCCATGAAGCCATGACGATTTGTTCCTTGTTGGTGATCCCATGAGAAAAGCCATGAAATTCATGGGAAATTCCAGCATTTTTTGGACCGAAACATGCCCCATGCCTTCCGTGAGTTTCACCATCCGTTTCAGCCACAAAGCAGGCCGCAGGCCAGCTGCTTGTCGAAATTTCAATGGCTCATGATGAACCAAATGGATTCAATATCATTAATCCACCAAATCCATCAATATCAATGGACTGATGAAGCAAACTTACAGGAAACTCTAGGGTCCTAATTACATTTAAGGGAAAACTATTCATCCAAAAAATACCATTTTTCTGTACCCAAATAATACCATTTAATCCCAAATTAGTTTCTGTACCTGGTGGTAATCAAACATGGCTTCTTGACAAATCCACCATTTACTTCGATGATGAATTCCGGATGTTCGGATTTTCCAGCCAGCCATGTTTGATGACACTGGACGGTATCCCAGCATCACAGTAATTGTTGGTTATATGTATGTATATATATATATACACATTCCATTAATAGTCCATTGTATATATATATATATATCCGTAAGCATCAATATAATCATGAATAACCATTAGCCACTGGTTTCAAATGTTTCTTTTCATATATATATATATCCATTTGGGATTGTCGAACCAAAAAAAGTCCCTTGGGCCGCGACTCCAGTCTCGTTGCCTCGTGACATGCGTCCAGATGTTACAAGGAAGCGCCATCCCAAAAACTGGATTTGGAATGGATTCATAAGAATTTATATGGATTTATGATGATTTATATGGATTTATATATCTGGATTTATGTGGATTTATAGAAGCGAGCCATGCACCGACAACGAAAAATAGGCGTTCATTCCACGAGTTTCATGGGATCCATTGGAGAGAAATTCACGTAACAAAAGCATGCACAAAATCCCAGGGTGTTTGAAAAAATGTCCTAAACATCACCAACAAAAAAGGGGAATATTGGGGATATAATCTCCAGAAGATAATTAAAAGTGTTCAAAATCCCCTAAAGGGGGCATCTACCAACTCCCGCAAATCTACCATCAGGGTATATGGAAAGAGCGCGACATAGCCTGATTGAAGGGTTTGGACTGGATGAGAAGGTGGATTGAAAAGGTGCCTTTGTCAAACAAATGCCTAGCATAGGCCATGAAATGGATGCCATGGGCTTCCACACAATGATTGTGGTACAAGATGCTACAAGTATGGGCCAAATGGGTATGCAAAAACTGCATAGTTGGATATAGTTGGTAAACCGATGGTCAATGCCGTAAACCATGCCCAAGTCTATCCAACTTGACCATTTGAAGGTATAAACTACCCCAAAGAGGCGTTCGGGTGATCACCGCGATGGTATTGAATCCATTCAATTTGGGTTCCCCCAGTTAGGGTTTCATAGGGATGAGATTGCATGAAACACCAATTGAAAAATTATGCTTCCAACATGCCGTCATTCATATACTAACATACCACGCATGATCACGCATGTATATGATATATATATATATATACATATTGCTTTATATATCTATATATTCATCCTGAAGTAGTTAGAGTCTGGAATTCTCAAACACATTGCATTTTTTCTGATGATTCAAATTTCCATGTCCAATATAAACGGAATATCACTTCATAGATATATATATATATACATATAAAGCCAATAATCAATAGTTAATATATATTTATTAATAATATAGTATCATAAACTTAGTATGATACCATATATGTATATATATATACGTACTATATATATACGGACTTATTCTAAAGTTTGGACTGTTTATTGGTTTATCCATCTCTTGTGTGATTCATTTGTCATCATTCTGTACATATATGCATACATGTATACGTATATTTATATATTCTCAATAGTAAGTAAGAATTAATAATCAAGAATATCTTCATAGAATTAATAATCAAGAATATCTTAATAGAATTAATAATCAAGAAAAAATATTAATAGAATTAAGAATCAAGAATATCTTAATAGAATCAATAATCAAGAATAATCTTGGTTATTCAGATATTTATTAGATTAATATATATATATATCTGGTTGGTGGTTTCAACCCCTCTGAAAAATATGAAAGTCAGTTGGGATGATGACATTCCCAAATATATTCGGAAAAATAAAAAATGATCCAAACCACCAACCAGATATATATATATATTGAAAATGGCCATAGAAATAGTGGATTTATAATGGTTTAATGGGACTAATGATATGTATTATATACCAATAGAGGTAATTTCTGGCCTGGGGATGTCCCGATTTTTTCACCGCGCACCTATGGAGTGTCCCCATCCACTCCTGGTGGTCCTCGTCGCCATGGTGATGAATTGATGTGCCATTCTATTTGGAATATATATGGAAAATATATGGAATATAATATATGTATATATATATATTATTCACGATATATGGAATATATATGGAATATATGATCAATAAATATCAATATGGAATATATATATATGGCAATTTTCATATGTGGCAATTTTCATGGAAGATTTCATATGCTATATGCGGTGACCTCTGGTAATTTGTTACATAGCTATTGAAAATGGCAATTTATAGTGGATTTACCCATTAATAGCATGGTGGATCTTTCCATAGTTTTCTGTATGTTATGTTTGGTAAATCAACTATGAATGGATTTCAAACTAGTTATGTTAGTTATGTTAGTTATGTTTCACTGACCCACATTCTCTGCAAACTTCAAGTTTCAAGTTCAGTGATCTCCACCCAGTTCCGCAGGTCGAGACGTGGAGCTCCTGTGTGGAGACACCGGTGAGTGCATTGCAATGACAGGCCTGGCTTCAGTTCACCGCTGAGAACCTCTTCTCCTTGCTACGGAAGGCCTTGGGATACCTTGGGATGCCTGCAATTGTCCGAAAATGACCAATTATATCATCCTTGGAAAAATCCTTAAAAACTGGATCCTCAGTTTGATATTTAATATATTTACAAGGTGGTGCCCCCCAAGTTATAAGTTGGTTTATAATCCCATTAACTATAGATATATCACCTATAAACCATAGTTATTAATATATTTACCCCCCTGAAATGGCAAGGCCAATGACCATTGCGTCGCCTCGGACTGGTCTGTGCGCCGATCGGCGAGGTGCCATGGCAGTGCCCATTGGAAGGCGAAGCCTCGGCGTGCCACGACACGACACGTGGAAGCGAATTTTTTGAGGGGAAACCATAGGAAAACCATAGGAAAACCCTAGGAAAACCATAGGAAAATGGAGGTTTACCCTCTGGTAAACTAACATAGCTATGGAAAGATCCATCATTTTCAATGGAAAAATCCACTATTTCGACTGGGCCATTTTCAATAGCTATTTTGACATAACCAGAGGGTAAAATGCTGTGAAAATGCTGGGAAAATTGTAAAAGAAGGATGGGAACATGCGAATTTCATAGGAAAAATATGGAAAAATATGTCATGCTGGGAAATGCTGATACAGAGTGAGGATGTTGCCAGCAAAATGTAAGGGAAAGTGGTGAATGTCCCACTTCAAAGTTGGGACAAGATGGAGTTCTCCAGAAATATGGCGATGTGACAGGCATATTCGGAATATCGTCACAAAATGTCGAGAAAAACTCTTGGAAAACAACCAACAAACACTATGTGTTCGCAAAAAATTGGACACAGCCAACAGAAACGTCCCGGTATTAGGAAAGTTTTCAGACCTTGCTCCCCAACAATCCAGGTTGAAAAATAGCCCCTGGTCTATGGATTGATTGTGGTACCCCCAACCAAGAAGGCTTTAAGGATCTTTAAGGTTAGGAAAATCAACTTGGGACTTGGGAGCCCCATGAAGCGAAGTCCGAATCGGCTCAAACCATCACCGAAAAGAACGCCCCACGGCTTCCCATGGCATCTTTTGGGACTAAGACCCCTTGAAGACAGGTCACTTGAAGTAGCAAACACTAGTATCTCTCATATGTTTTCTATAGTCTCCGTTACATCCGAGTTGTGTCCAGCAAGTCATGCCTTTCCAACTTCCAGATTTCCTGGTCGCGACTTTTTTCTTTTACCGCGCCAGCCATGCTTCAGGAGAGGTTGGCAATGGGGTCGTCTAATAGAGAACCTTAGAGCGGATCCGGGAAATGAAACCATCCAAGCAGCAACTTCGGTCCAAAAAGTTGGGGGAAATGTCTGGTACCACCCCCCAAAGAAAAAACTGCGTTTATGCTGTATCCCCAGTTCTATGAGGTCTATGTCTGTCCCAATATGTAGCATAGAGCTTACAGTACACAAATTGTGTCAAAATTTCAGGTTTAGGGCACCGGAGATTCTGGTCATGTGTAATGCTAACTGTCCAAATTTAGGGCTACCCAATTTTGACCCATCCAATGGTTGCTGGAAAAAAGAACCATGTGCTATGATTATGAAATCTCAACTGACATAATACCACTACCAGAATCATAGATCAAAACCAGATTTTAAAAAAAAAAACAGCACCAGCTATTCTCAAACACATACCTGTTCAGTTTCAAATATCAAAAACCAACTCCAAATCCGACCAAAAATTCCGAGAAAATCCAGGGAACAGCTTTGGATGTAGTCCAAGCGCGGATAGAATTCCCTGAGAAAGTCGTTGCCGTGCTGTCGCAAGTCCTCAGGATCCACCGCATCGGCGTAGCCCGTAAAGAGCCGATCCTGGCTGCCGGATTGATAGTGATTTCCATACCCATAGGATCCATGGTGCTGCTATATATGGTAACATTTACCATTAATATACCCCAAATGTTAGCATATATACCATACATGGATCCTATGGGATATAATTAATGGGTTTGATAGTTTTTTGGGATGCTGTATAGTATTATAGTGGTTTATAGTTATCTATAGGGATAAAAACACTGGTGTTTTTCGGGATCTAATGGGATTAATGTACATAAACCTGGTGGTGATGGAAAGGTCATGGACTTTTTTTGGATTAAACCGTTTGTTTGCTTATGACTGTTCTATATTCTGGGCTATGGATTATGATGGGATTCAATATGATTTCAACCAGCGGGGATACTGATATTCGTTATGGCCGTATGGCTGATAGAGTTAACCCGGTTTAAACCGTCCGCAACATTTAAATCTGGGTTTTCTGCTTTTTACACATTCCAAAAATACACACTACGCATCTCAAGCAATCATCCCAACGATGGTGGAAATACATGGAAATACGCTCTTTTTTGAAGACGTGAAACCCCCAACCGGCAATGATAAACCCATCCCGGATCCCCAATGTTTTCCCATGAGAATTTCATCATCCCCCAAGGGCGGTTACGGAAGTTAAACTCAGGTCTCGGCTCTTGCCCACGAAGTTGGCATCTTCCGAGAGCCCACGGCACATCTGAACACATTTTTGGGATCCCAAGAAAAATATCGAAAATTCATGAAAGTCACCAACGATCCTAACATCGCCAAAACATCACTCAGTTAGCCCAGGTTCCAAGACCGGCAAATCTTCTTCCAGCACATGTCCAATGGCTGTTTCCCATGGCTTTGTGATCGCTTGGTCCGACAATGTGATGAAGATCTGCGTGTTCCGCGTGTGTGGCCCCGTCCCTGCGAAGCTTAAGGTCCCTCTCGGCAAGCGACGCGGCGCAACCGCTTGGGCGACGGCGTCGTCGGGGATGCTGGGGGACCACTTCTCGTTCAGCTCGCGAGCGTCGCCTTTCGTAAAGATGTAAAAAGTATACCAGGTACATCTGAAACTTAGATTTTAGAAGTGTTTAAAGAACGAGTCTAGTGTGTCTACTGGGTGAAAGGAACTGACTAGACCTTTGCTCACTAGGAGATGGCTTTGTCTGATGCATCCCATTAAATCCAGTCGCTGATGCCGAACTGCACCAGGGAGCCACGTACAGCACGGAAGATTGCCTTAGAACTGGGCCGAACTGGGAGAGCAATGTTGACCTATGACCTATGGAAAAAAGGCTGGATTTCTCCGAAAAAGAAACGTGTTATGCTTTTTTCGGGGCTGCTTGAGGTATAACTGGCAATGAGTATAATTCCTGGATTCTTTATAGAATGTTCAAGGGGTGGGATACCCTTCGGTAATCAGACCTGGCAATGGAAAAACATGACAAGCTCATCGAACTGAGTGTACAACATGAAAAATGGTTATAAAAAAATGTCACGATGGGTTTGGCCCAAAATATGGTGCCCAAGAATGATTGTATCACTACTAAAACCACTCCTTGCTTTGTCTAAACCCAGGCTTCTCAGAATGTCATAGCCGACATCATCAAACATGTTGCGAACAGGGATTGCTTACTGGTGCTAAACGTAGAAAAAATGGGGGTTATTGCCCTCTTCATGAGTATTAAAAAAAATCATCCCATTCCCTCTTTCTCCAGCAGCACCAGCAGCATTCTTTGTTTAGCCCAAGAAACCTGATCTCGAAAAAATCCATCCCGCACCAAATCCAGAAAACGTCGGACTCCTTGAGGAGATTCTGGGGTGGTTTGAAGATGAAAAGTTCCTCCAGGGCTCCGATTTTTCACTGGATGTGGAGCTCCCAACTGCACTTAAAAAGAAACAACATATCCATTAACCCGAACTGTACTCTACATGTGTATGCATATATATATATATACAATATATCATATGTAAATATACAATATATATTAATATATAATTATACATACACATAGTTGGCTGCAACGTGGCAGCCCCATTCATAGAGAATCGGATGGCGAGAGATGACCCTAAAAAATCTCGGATGACGATGACCGTCACCAAAAGATGACCGTGATGCCGCGAAGGCAGAATGCTTCGAAATTATCATCTAATGGTTATTATATATATATATATCTGGTTGGTGGTTTTAACCATCTTGAAAAATATGAAAGTCAGTTGGGATGATGACATTCCCAATATATGGAAAAATAAAAAAAGTTCCAAACCGCCAACAAGATATATATATATATATGGGGATACAATAGCATGATATATATGGGGATAATGAATATATGGGAAATATTAGGTGATTTATGGGAAAGATATGGGATTTATAATGGTTTAATGGGACTAATGATTGTGATTCAATGGGATATTAATGGGACCTACCCTCTGGTAATGACTAACATTGAACTAAATGGAGGTGTATAGCTGGGAAAATCATTGAACTAAATGGATCTAAATGAGGAAATTTCAAGCAAGCAGCCACGTTTGATCACCGGAGGGTACCCTCTGGTAATTTAACAGTTTGTTATTGAAAATGGCCATAGAAATAGTTGATTTACCTATTCAAAATGGTGGATCTTTCCATAGTTTTGTTAGTTTACCAAAAATGATACCTCTAGTAATACCCAAAACGATCGAAAAATGATTTCTCAATATTTCTCACTCCTTTGGTACTACCTGTCCATCTTTTCGCGGATTGCTATTCCAGTATTTTCACCACCAAAGAGCCATGTGGGTATGGATCAAAACCCGGCTACCCGGTTCACACCTAAATAGCTGGTTCAGTAAATGGATATTCAATCCCAACAAAGGTCTTGGGTCATTGGTTTAAAACATTCGCTGGTAGGTTCCCAGCTCCCTTGCTAAACGTTTCTCTAGTCGCTGTATAAATTGGCATCACAAAAAAACCATTGTCGCCAAAAAAGTTAAAGTCTAAGGGAGTAGCTGGGAACCGCGTAGATATTTTCTGGTTGGTGGTTGACCTACCCCTCTGAAAAATATGAGTTCGTCAGTTGGGATGATGACATTCCCGATATATGGAAAGTCATAAAATTCCATGGTTCCAAACCACTAATTCAGTTTTTCGTTTATTCATTTCCCCAGCCGGATCGCCTTTGGTCGTCTCACACTTCACATGCCACTTCTGACTCCACTTCTCCAATTTCTCCCGTCGAACCATGCCAGAATCCGACAGAGACACCACGATGGACTCCTGGTTCACCACAGTGGCCGCAGCTATCGCTGCCATCCGCCAGATCCACCAAATCCACAAGTTCAACATGTAGAAACCTCGTAAAATGTTGCGCAAGAAATGCATTTAAAAAAATGAAGCAAGAAAATATGGAATGAACCAACAAAATAGGGTTTCTTTTTACGAAATGACCAACCAAAAAGGGCTACAGTAAGCAAGAAATAGCAACTGTGGACCATCGCCACAGCCAAACCTGAAAAGCGAACACAGGTTCGAGCCGCCGTGAACGCGGCTGCAAGGGCCCACAGGTCGATGTGAGTGTGTGTGTGTTATAGATATCAGTACATAGGTAGACACAGACATAGACTGTGACATAGACATACAGGTGAGCATCTATATCTATATATCTATACATATATGTGTATATATATATATTTACATCTATGTATGTATCTATCTATCCATCCATCCATCCATCTGTATGTACATATATATATATGTATATACATATTGTATGCGCATATGACTGTGTATATATAAATGTATATGTGTACGTATCTATGTATGTATATATATATGTGTGTGTGTGTATGTACATGGATATGGATATGGATATGGGTATGCATATGGATATATGTATATATATATATATGTATGTATGTGTGTATATGCATATGTATATGCATGTGTATATATATACATATATATACACACGTATATATGTATATGTGTATGTATGAATATATATACATATGCATGTAAATATGTATATCATGTGTATGTTTCATTGTATGCAATTACTTTTATGTATATGTGTATTGTATGTATATGTATACGGATATTCAAATAAGTATTATACAATACACGTGTTTATTATATTCTATTCTATATGTGATATATAGTATTATATATATATATTACGTATATATTGCATCTATCGCGTATGTATGTGCAGTAAATGATAGTAACTTCAAATAAATATATATAGAGAAGTTGGTACAAAATCTGAAACTAAAATAGTTAGATAGTGGTTCAAATAGTTTATTTTCTGGTAAATAGTTGTTTTTACTGATAAACGTCGTGAAAATCCGGCTTACAAAAACTAGTTACACTAGTTAAATCAGATGTATAGATGTATATAGATATATAGATATATAGAATCAACCTGTCTATAGATATATATGTTATATCTATCTTAAATCAACCAACCTGGTTTTTTTAAAATCGCCTTGGCCAAAAAACAACGAAAACCGATCGAGTTTCCGCACCACTGGAGGCGTAGCCAGCAAGGCTGGAGGATGGTCGCTGCCTGGCTATGGCTATGGCTTCAGCCTTACCCAACTGTTAAATCATGTGAATAAACCACGTGAAATTCTGTGAAATCATGTGAATTTTTATATGAACTTTATGTGAATAAACCACGTGAAATCATGGATTTTTAAAAAATGAACTTTATGTCATGTGAATGAACTGTGAATGAATATGAATGTGAAATTTGAAATCATGTGAATATGAACTTTGATATGAACTCGCATTTCATGTCTTTTTCATCTTTCGCAGAACGTTCTCAAGAAAGGTGACGTTTGGCAGCGAGCTTCAATGGGCCCTTTTCTGAGACTGGCGCTGATCTTGAATGCGCAAACATAGGTCCTAGGTAACATGGGGGTATACCATATGTACATCATAGACACAAACACAACTGTGTTGCGAATTTATTTACGACCCCCCGTTGCAACGTAGGGTATACGTTGCACATCCAAGCATTAGACCATACTAGTAGCTTGCAGCAATAAAGATTGTTGAAGCCTCCATGAAAGCCATGGGTCACAGGATGAACAGACTCTGTGTATGGCCAATCTTGGATACCTTGCACAAAGGATGTACTTTTAGCAGGCTGTAAGATACTTCCTCATCAAACTGCAAAACAACCATGAAATCCGTCTATTTCCACTCTGTCCCACTTTTTTTGTCGCGATTTTTTCCAATTCATGAATGCCAAAAAATCACTTCTTCGTGTTAGCCAAGGCTGCTTAAATTATGGCCCCACAATTGAGCAGTGTTCAAGCCATCCCTCTATCATTCCATTGAATCCTGTATAGTATACTGGTTGGTTTATAGGGATTCCCCTATTGGATTGTTATAATCCCCAATCTATGAACTGGTTGGTGGTTTTAACCATCTTGAAAAATATGAAAGTCAGTTGGGATGATTATTCCCAATATATGGAAAAATAAAAGCTATGTTCCAAACCACCAACCAGTGAAGGGTAGAAACTGTCATCCCTCAACTAATCATCAACCCTGCCAGGGGTAGATCGCAGCAGCCACGGCTCAATTCACCCAGCCCAGGTCGGAAACGTCGGAAACGTCGAATCCGGAACCGATGGATTTCCGGCATTTTCCGCAACGATTCGCCAACTTCTCATTGGGAAATGTTATGGTAACCATCCATATTCCATATGAAAAATTGATATTGGTTATTACTAATAATGGTAGCCATTATTCAATATTCTTTATATCAGTTGTATATCCCAGTATTTCATTGTTGGAAAAAAAAAACGATCTAATCATCCCATGATATACCCATATAAACCAGCTATGTCAAAAGGCAACCAGTAGCTCAGCAGCCCTTTCTCTACCTCCGGGGCTAAAGTGGATGATGATGTCGGCTGTGCACAAAGGCCTCAGCTGTCTACTCCAACAAAGGTGGTTGCAGGCAAATCTGAAAATCACTGGATTGGTTTTTCTAAATTTCCAGATATAAATTCTAATAATAATATATAATTTCCAGTGATAATTTAGAAAAAAAAACATTAAAATCATTAAACTATATATTATGTCCATCACTGGATAATTTCCAGATATTATAATATATAGTTCATAGAAATGGATCACGGGATTTTTTTTACAGGAACACCCCATCAATTTCCATGGGTAAAAGCTACCGGCCGGGTTTCCGGTGTAGATATTTTCCCAACGAAAAATCGATCCATAGAGAAAATGATCTCATGTTGATATATCATTATGATTAGTTCATAGGTGATCTATTATTTTTACTGGCTGGTGATGGTTGGTGGTTGACCTACCCCTCTGAAAAATATTAGTCAGTTGGGGTTACTATTCCCAATATATGGAAAAATAAAAATGTTCCAAACCACCAATCAGTTTTTATTATTAGGTGATAAGCAATAATTATTGCTTTATGTATAACATTACATTGATATCATTACTGGTTGATATCATTACTCGTTAATAGTTGATTGATGGGTTGATTGATATTTCGCTAATAGTTGATTGGTTGATTGATTGTCATTATGCATTGATTGATGACTGACAACCATCATGATGATCATTAGTATACCAATGATATTGTCACTGCACTAATATAATGGACTATAATGGTATATCAATAGCATGATATTACCATATAAAATGATAATACCAATATGCTTCAGTATTCATCATCTGGTTGGTGGTTTCAACCCCTCTGAAAAATATTAGTCAGTTGAGATGATTATTCCCAAAATATGGGAAAATAAAAGTCATGTTCTAAACCACCAACCAGTCATATATTAACATAATTAACAATGAATATTTTTTAAAAAAAATGTTACCATAACTACCCTCTGGTAATTTCTTACAGTTTGCTAACATGGTGATAAACACTTCGTGGATTTACCCATGATAAAGATCCCCAGTGGGATCATCGTTCACTCTTCGATCAGCCACGGAAAATCATCAAACGATTCCCGGGGAAATCATGGGAAAATCCCCGCACAAATTATGGAGGCTTCCAGCCATGGGTGATTACCGGAGGGAAAAAAAAACCATGTGGTGCATTGAAAAAAAAACTGAAACGCTGCCCAGAGGTGAAAAAAATATGCGCTGTTACATCATCTTATATATATATATGTGAACTGTTTATGTATATGTATATGAACTATAATATATATATATACATATGAAATGTGTATATACATATATACATATGAAATATGGCTTTGTCTGAAAATCGAGTGCAAGCTCCGATCCATCCCAAGGTTTCAAGCCACACATGGCTCCCCTATGGATCCACACCCACTGCCCACAACTTCCTCAAAGAGTTTGGCCATGGCTTCAAGTCATAGCGGCCAGATATGACAAAAATCAGCTGGGATTGGAGTTTTTTTGCTGCTGTTCTCAATGGAAAATATACTTATAATGTTGTATTTATAATTAGATATCACTTCCTCTTCTCCAGATTTGGAATCAAAAAGACTCAGAAAGACTGATCTAGGATCTATGATCTATGTTACAGTTCTTCACTGAGGTAAATGATCATGATCTTTGGTGCACGAAATCTTTCGCGGGCGACTTGGTGGACGTTTCTTGTGTCGAACCGCCCCGGGCCTGGTGAGCCGCACGGCACGTGTGTTGAGATAAGATTGCAAACTAAGAAGGCATGTAAAAATATGTAAAATAGATATGACATTGGGATTTTTAGAAAGGGTAGATATGATATCAGGAAGAAAGTGTATACTGTAAAGCGTCCTAGTCTTGAGGATGTCGTTGCTCAAGGTCTAGTTTTGTTGAGTGTCAGCTAAGCGCGCAGTAACCCTCCAAAAGCCCGAAGCAGGTTGTTTTTCTTACAGCGCTTCTGACCGATTCCCAAAACCTACCGAAACTACCGCCGCAACAGGTCTGCAGGTATGCTTAAGGCCCTACCAATGTGCACAGTTGGATTCTACATGCCACGTGTTTTGAGACATGGAACACCTTCTAGAGTCATTCTAGAGGTGCTACAAAAATGGTCCTCAAAGTCCACGGTGAACGTTGAAGTTGCCAAAAACGGATCTGAAGCTGCCAGGCATGACATGTTAGTGTTCTTCTCTCATGTCTGAGCTTGTGAAGCTTCATATTCCAGCAACTTTGGTGGATCTTGTGGCAACGGAGACTGATGAAGATTACCCTCTGGTAATTTAACATAGCTATAGAAAATCACCATGTTTAATGGGAAAATCCACTACAAATGGTCATTTTCAATAGCTACGTTAAATTACCAGAGGGTAAACATCCCAAAACTTGGGATACGCAAGTTGAACCCCATCTTATTGTACCGCTTGGTTCACAGGCAGTCTCAAAGTTCAACACCCCAAAGTCCCACGGTTTCAAGCCTCAATTTTCCTTTTGATGCCCTCTGGTAAACATACAAAAAGCTATTGAAAATTGCCATTTATAGTGGATTTACCCATTGAAAATGGTGATTTTCCATAGTTTTTTGTATGTTTACCAGAGGGTATTTGATGCCCCATTATCTTGGGTCTTTCGCTAAAATACTTCGTGGAGCCTGTTTGTCAGGATGAAAAAAAAGATTCTAAGCACCAAATGTGATGAATAAGATTAGAAACTACCAACAAAAAATATTTGAAACTATCGATATTTGAAGTATGTTAGGTGTCTTATGGTTTTTTGTATAGTTCTTGGAATGTCTTCTGAGTCTTCTCCAAAGTTGCTGGGTGCTGCGCAAAAGCTGCCAGCTAAGTTGCGGCGTCACGAGTTTTACACATCCCTGAGGCCCTGCAGTATGCTGACAACTCCAGCCACATCCTAAGGCACGTTGCCGAGATTCCAGTGATTTTCTGGAGTCACTAAGGTTTGGGAGTTTTTTGTGAACTATTTTAGTCAATCTTAGATAATTATCCCAAATCAGAATGATCCCAATTTTATTTAAGATAAAAGAATTACATAGATGATTATTTGATTATTGGAGAAAAACATAATTTAAGATTGTCAATAATCAGTATAATGATCATAATCCAACAAGTAAGAAACTCAACTGAGCCCATTTACCTGCCATTTACAAAGGTTTCCCCATAGTTTTCAGTGACATTTTCATGTTTGATGGCAAAACTACCCTTCGCTAAGGTCTAGCCTCCCTAAGCCTGACCCAATCACGCCCTTCCTCCCAGCCCACCAGTCTAACCCAGCCCCCAGCAGTTGCAGTCATGGAAAATACCATGGAAAATCCCCTTCAGAAAATCACCCGAAACCACCAAGCAGCTTCGAACACTCAGGCCCGTTTGACCCAGTTTTCCCAGTTCCCTGGCGTCCACGTTTCCACCCCACCTCCGAAAACCCCCAGGGTGTCACCCCCGAGCCCCAAACTGTGCCCCAGGAATCTCAGATTCCATCTCGCCCATGATACACCGCCCCCGTCGTCCAGTTTCTGTCTCCTTGGCGATGCTGACACTTTTGGATCCATCAACTGGTGTTTTTGTCTACCAATCCCAGGTAAACCCACCTGGAAAAACCGCATGTTCTGGAGGTTTCCGTGTCATACCTCCAAGTGCTGAGATTGTCGTATGGTTTGTGGCCCATTTATGGCATTGCAAACCGATGAAACCATGACTCTAAACTCTCCTTCATGTTTTCCACAGTTCCAACGGGGAGAAGCCCATACCAGAAATGGATGAAGTGAAAATTTACAAATCATAATTAGGTTTCCTCAGTATTTATGAAGAGCTTCATTTTAAAAAAAAAGTGACTTCCAACTGTGGTGGTATATAACTAACCCAAACCACCACCTGACGATGAACTTACCATTTCTAGCTGGGTATACACACCTCCACAGTGAAGCCCAAGATCCCAAGAACCAGACGACTACCCAAATCACCAAGAATTGCGCCACTATTCTTGCTGTTTTTAAACCGCAACCTTTCATAGTTAAAACTCCTCCAAGATTTCTCCAGCTCACCCTGACTTTTTCTTCCGTCTCCTTTTGGCACAAGCCCAAATCGGCTTTTCATCATGTTTTCGTTCATGGAAATCTGAAAATCCCAATCAAATCATCATCCAAAATTGGAAAATCCCATGGAAAATCCGGAAAATCCCATGGAAAATCCGGAAAATCCCATGGAAAATCCGGAAAATCCCATGGAAAATCCGGAAAATCCCATGGAAAATCCGGAAAATCCCATGGAAAATCCTGAATGTTGGAGCTTTCCGGTTTCGCTTTCCCTTCAACGTCACCCGCCAGTGGCTGGAGATCCCCCACACATTCGACGCGGGCTGCGAGAGCGGGCCATCTCCTCAGCCTCGGGTCGATCAGCACCGCACCTGGAGCTTTCAGAGGGATGATCATGGGAATGTTATCACTATATCAATTAGTAGTAATTAATACATGATTTTCTAGCTGGGTAAATCCACTATAAAAAAATGGCCATGTTCAATAGCTTGAAGGTATGTTTACCAGAGGGTATCCCCATTGATACAAAGTATCTATATATATATATATATATCCACCATATTATGTATATATCCAACTATTATAGATATACTTAGTATAATCTACAATATTCTCCATATATATATATATTGGTAAATTATAATATTTCACTAACCTGAATTGTTGGGCCATTTGGGGATGATTTCCAATACTAACCATGATTCCAGTGAGGGAGAACAGTGAGGTCGTTATAATTTACCCAGATATATGATAACAATTATAATGTTTTAAGGCTTTTAAGGGGGATGATATTATTATCATATACCATCTGGTTATTTGTTATCATATTCTATCATCCCATATATATATATATATATCATCCCATATACATATATATATATATCATACTACAAAATATCATCCCATATACTATTGTTTTTAACAATGTTACCATAGGGATAATTACCAGAGGGATCATTGGAGACATATGGGAAATATGGCTGGTGATTTCCCTGGGGGATAGCCTCTGGTAATGACTCAAATGGATATTCTCAAAAAGCAATGGAACAACGGAATCAAGGACTTGTGAGAACCACTGCCCTCTGGTAATTTGTTACAGTTTGTGAACTGGAAAATCACCATTTTTACTAGGTAAACCATCTATAAATGGACCATCTATAAGTGGTTTTATGGTTACCCTCTGGGAATGACTAACAGTTTGCTATTGAAGCCATGGCACATAAATGTGCGTTGATTTACCGAACTGAAAGATGGTGGATCTTTCCAGATTGCAAACTGTAAACGTTTACCAGAGGGTATTAGGATTACATAGGAGAAATTGTTTGGGTATATCTGTGGGATATCTTAAGACTTAAGAAAGAACATAGGATATCCCCATTCTTACTTAATCAATAAAAGTTGAGATTTTGGACCCGTAGAAAATTAGGATTGTTCGCATGAATTAATCAAGAAAAGTTGGCATGAATAACCAACTATAATGGTGATATGATTTGGTGATACAATTTGGTGATATGATTTTGTGATATGATTTGCTGATATCTGGGACAAAATCACAATGGGGGGACGATGAATGAGGGTTAGGCTGACTAAACCGATTATGATGGATATGATAACGACCTTGTGGAAAATCAGTCCAATATGGGATGCAAAGACATGTAATAACAATAACAATATATTGCATATTACATATGGTTGGGATTACCTATATAATCCATATGAATATCTTATTGGTGTATATGGACAAAAAAGTATTACAGTGTATGGTTTTGACCAATTTTTAACAGGAATCATGACTACTGGGTATGATAACCCATTGCTTTGCGTCCGAATCTTGATGGATTCGATAATTCCATCCATTTTGCGATCATCGATGGATTACCCTCTGGTTATGACTAACATAGCCATGGAAAATCACCATCTTCAATAGGTAAACCATCTATTTCTATGGACCATTTTCCATGGCTATGTTAAATAACCAAGGGTGTCATTTATTAGTGAGGTATCATCGCTGGATTTTAGTGATCATTCATGTTCGAGTACGTGGGTCCTTTTTTTCCGCTGATGAATGATACCCTCTGGCAATTTGACATAGCTATGGAACATGATCATCTTTACTAGGTAAATCATCTGCATAATATATATATATATATATGGACCATTTTGCTGTAGCAAACTGTTAAATTACCGAAAAGTAGTGCCTTTTGTTATCATCAAACTGGGATCTAACCAAACCAGCTTGCGCTGGATTGAGCGACTGGGACAACATGACAGCCTTAGACCTGTCAATTTCACCGGATCAGGGGGATTTGATTGGTTGTAAGCAACGAGATCTGTGATTACGATGGATTTTCCCGTTTTGACCTCAAGGAAGAGGATTCCAGCGTCGCATTTGATGACACCGGATGGTCTTCGCCGCAAAAATGGGGGAAGATCTGTGACACTAACAAGCTAAAAATGGACTTTTTGGGGATACCCTCTGGTAATTTAACATAGCTATTGAAAATGGCCATTTATAGTGGATTTTCCCATTAAAAATGGTGGTTTTCCATAGTTATGTTAGTTTACCAGAGGGTATGTCGGGAGATCAGATCCACAATGGGTCAAAAAACACAGCCAATGGGTCCGCAACATTGGCTTCTGGCTTGTCTAGACCACTCAGTTTGGGGAGGAAATCAACGGGAGCCATATTTGTGCAGTGGATGATCAGAGGTGGTCATGTCACGATATAAAAAGTAGAGAAAATCACCGGGGAGAATCTGTGCTGGTGTCAGGGTGAGTTGTGTTTTGGATCAACCAAACATAGAAATGAGGACAATCATGAGCAACTTGAAGAAACACACTACAAATAAAGCCTACAAGAGCGGGGTTTTCGAACAATTAGGAACTCTGGCTGAAAATGGCTTCGGAGCACTCCCATGGCATATATTGGAGATGTCCTATCGCCACTTTGACAGGAGTTCAACATCAACTTGCGAGAAGTCTGAAGCATGTTCGACACGACATCCCCAAAAGATACGCCACGGCTGACATGGAAATAGACCTGGTTTTTATCCATCTTTGGGGTGATTCACCTTACCACTCATAGTGAGTCTAAAATAATGGTATACCGGCATTTCAACCTGTAAAAAAAAGAGAAAATTGTTGGAGTACATCATCTAAGACAGTCCATGTTCACTTCGCAACCAACGAACCAGAGGACAATATCCCGTTTCAAGTTATATCCCTATGGTTGGCTATCCCCAATCCCGTTCGAAAAAAACAAAACCGACGGCGCTGCCTTCGACAACGTTCATTTCTGGCGAACTGCATGTCACCACATGCCTCCCAAAGTTCGTGCCACGGCCAGGGCCAACATGCCAATGTGCCCCTCGAAGTTGTCATTTTTGTTTAAATTATTGATGGACACGGAAACTCACTTGAGTGTTAGTTGTTGTGATTTTTTCTTCAAGTTTCACGGAAAAAAAAAAACATGAAGAAACTTGAAGCTTGTCACCAGGTGGATATCTAATATCTATTATAATATTATCATTTGAATTTGAAAAGACATCAGCAGCAATGTCGGGCTGCTACAAGTTGGTTCTAACCCCACATTCGTCCCACCTGGCAGCCCCAGGTTTTTTTGTTCGCATCTTCTCGAACCATTGTCTACCGAACCGTTACCGTTGTTTCTAGGTTCTTTCTTAAAACAATCCCGAGCCGTACATATGTTTTCACAAATCGATGCCATGTTTGCATTAGTTCAAAGGTTTGAGACCCTGTGTGTGTCGAAAAAAACGAAAAAAATGCCACATGTTTCCTATTGAATGTGTTTTTTTCTGGGGTGCATACCCCAATTCCAAACACGGCCAAAGGATATGTATATCCCCGTTACATCCCATAATATGCATGCCATGGTTTGGCTTGTCCAATCCCTCCGGAAAAAAAAAAAAAAAACATCTCTTTATGTTGCCGATATGTTGCTTGTTTTGCAACTTTCTATACATATAGACAGTATGAATAAATAAATAAATAAACAAATATAAATATATATATATACATGTATGTATATCGTCCACTGGTGTGGGTTTCAACCTCCGCCCCTGTAAACTTGTGGGCCCGACACCAACCCATCGGTTTCCCCGGCCGGGCAGAGCCAATCCCCAGGTTTCATCGGGAGGTTGTTGCCTTAGCCCGCGCTAAGAACGAGGAAACGATGTGGAAGCCATGGAGAAACATCTATGTTACTGGTTGGTGGTTGACCTACCCCTCTGAAAATAATGATTTAATGGGACTTAAAATAGTGATTCAATGGGATATGAATGGGATATACCATCTGGTTATTTGTGACCGTTTGCCATGGAAAATCACCATTTTTAAGAACGGTAAACCATCTATTTCTATGGGCCATCTATACCATGGCGAACTGTAACAAATAACCAGATGGTATCTTACTTTGCCTCAGGGTATATCTTTTGGATATGTTGTTGGTACATTTTGGGAGTGTGTTTTTTCATGCTCTTTTACATATATTATCATATATTATATGTATATGAGTAGCAGACAAAATTATTTGCTAAATTTAATGCCATGCACAAATTAGGGTCGTCCCCTATCGGTTGTGCGGATTTCAGTACTCTCGGAGGTATCACAAATGGGGTACAGTATATTATAGGGTCGTCCCCTATCGGTTATGAAGGTTTTGTGAACCTCAGAAAGGCCAGGGCGAAGCAAAACTAAATTAGTATTACAATAATTTTGTCGATTACTCATATATACATGTATCAATATTCATCTATCCCAGACAAATATTGGATAGTCTTTATCTATCGCTGACGTATATTGGACAGATTTGGATAGTATTCATCTATCGCTGACTTATATTAGATAATATTAGATAGCTATGTTTCAATGAAACAACCCAGTTGTACCAGATACAAATACATCGAATAGTTTTTTAAGCGACCAACATATGCATGTCACCCGGAACAATGTGAACACCGGATCCCATTTCAACATTGGTTTACAACCTCCCCACTGACTACAACTATATCCCCTTGCGTCTATATTATGCATATGAAGTTGCATAGATTCAAGTGTAAATGTGCATGTCGCGTAAGTGTATTGTATGCATCTGCCCACGTAAAAATGTATATCTGCAAATATTAATGTGTAGACGTAATGTATATTTGCAAGTGCGCCCCTTTGTTCTCGAGGTGGTATCCCTTCTGGTTTGTCAGTTGAACATGGTTAAACCCCATTGTAGTTGGTTAAAAATTCCAGTTTGCTCGCTTTACGTCTGCGTTTGCTGGCTGATTGACTGCCTAATTTTTTCGAGTGAATTCCTTCTCTGACAGGGAAGAATACTGTACCCCTTTTAAAGTCCTTTAAAAGTGGCAGTAGCCCATCCCGATTAACTCACCAATTTTCTAGTGGTGAAATCCCTGAATTTTCCTGGGGAATCCTGAGGAAATCCCGAAAAATGCTCCAATTAGACATGGATGTCTTATTTTTTGTTATGTCTTGTCATTACCCCGGTGCCTTTTTTGATACTCCGAAAAAAATATCATAATTAATCTCTTTATGTGTAACTTCTGGTGCAACATTCAATGAGATTTAAGATTATTTAACGTTCAAGAACATTAAACAAGTTTATCTCCTGGCGTTTACCAATTGCTTTTCCAACTCTAAGGGATTCTTAACCACTCCCATCGATCATCTTAGATACCTCCTTTTTTCGGCCTCCCAAACAAATAGATCGAATACTACTGGAGGGTATTTAACAGTGTTGGGAAGGATAGATATATCATGATATATGAACCACATCTATGTGGGAGATTTCTAAAAACATGGAATGTGGATTAATCACTAATCAAACCTACCATTACAATGAATTCTGATGCTACTTGTGAGATTGAAATTCTGCTGAACGGTAAGAAAAGTCGTAAACCAGCTTCAAAAAGATTGTGAGTTTCCATGTATTTCCATGTATTTCCATGTATTTCCTACATCTTTTCCTACTATGGTGCCACCATAACAGCTTCGACACCTCGATCGGGTTTCGTGGCACTTCATCCCCATCCCAGGGCTCCCAGGCTTGATGTCAATGGCTCGCCCGAGGGCCTGGAAAGGGGATGGTAATGAGTCACCCGCCCTATCCTATAGCCCTATAGAATGGTTAGTTAATGGATGGTTAATTAATTATAGAATGGTTAATTATAGTTAATGGATGGTTAATTAATTATAGAATGGTTAATTGATGTGTATTCCCAAAGAATCAAAAAGTAACAATAGCTTTTGACCATATGGGACGTTGCGAAGAACTAGTGATGACTAGTGACTAGCCTTGCAAGTCCCACGTCCCGTTCGTGACATCTTTGGGGCCCATCTGACGATCAATTGGAAAATCCCAGAGAGTGCCATAGTGCCGCAGCGTTCCATGGTTAAAATCACCATTAATCACCATTGTTCATAGCTAAACAATAATGGTTAATATATGGTTAATGATGATTTATAATGATCTGGTTGGTGGTTGACCTACCCCTCTGAAAAATGATGGAGTTCGTCAATGGGGTTGGGATGACATCGCATATATGAAATGGAAAATGAAATTCATGTTCCAAACCACCAACCAGCCATAGAAAATCACCATTGTTCATTGCTAAACCATCCATACCCTCCAGTGTCATCAAACATGGCTGGAAAATCACCGCGCTTTTTTGCGGGGAGATTTTATCCAGCAAGCCATGTTTCATGACATTGAAAATGTCGCTCAAACTTTTACGAATTACCGGAGCATCGTGCAATTCATGAAATCCATGGAGGATCATCGAACGAATCGCAAGTCGTGGCTGTGGACCCTGGTTATGGCAACCCACACACCACACACTCCGCGGACAGTCCGTCCCCCATGATCCTGCAAGTCCTACATTAATGATCTTTCGCGAGCAGATCCAAAGTCGTCTTCATGGCATATTCAGAAGGATATTTACAATATGGTTCCATCCTTAAATAGCAAGAAAATCAATTCCTATAACATTCAACTTGCATGTTTTGGTTAAGTCCATCAGTTTGATTCTTTTTGCATACCACAGACTTCATGGCTATCTCAGCAATCACTGGTTTTTCAGTCAAACCCCCATCTTTGCCGGTCAAAATTTCAGTTTTTTGCCCAGTTCATGATTCAAATAGATCTGGGTTTGTCTAGAAGTTGAGTCTACCCCAAAATGACAAGTTTCATGGGGAAAATGGCAAGAGAACTCCTTACTATTGGGTACCCCATTTTCAGACAAGCCCAGAACATCATCATGTTGCTTGCACATCCCATTATTACCCTTACATCACCAGCTATATCACCAGCTATATCACCAGCTATATGAGTATTACAGCATCATCATCATCACATCACCACTATATCACCATTACATCACCTTTTGTACCCCTTAAATTCCCATTCTTCAATCATTCAAGGCGGCTTTTCAGACAAAAACTTCGACACAAACCACTCATCTTCCACCTGGCAGTGCCACACTTGCGACAGTTTTCGTTGCGCTGAAATTGGTGGTCTCCACCTGAGATCGGATCACCAAAATTCACCAGGGACGACTGTGGATTTTGACCGACATATGAAACGAAGCAAGAAAAAAGAATGAAAAAAGTGGGTTTAACTCAGAAAAGTGTGGATTTAACATGATTTAACCCAGAAAAATTGCGGTTTTTACGATGTTTTACGATGTTGAGAGATCTGGATGTTTAAAAAAATACGCTTAAGATGATCGTTTCACAGTGCTGAAAATCAGCTGCTTCGCCAGAAACGGGTGGAGGATCACCACGGACCTATCCAGGATCTACCCTCTGGTAATTTGTTACATAGCTATGGAAAATTGCCATTTATAGCTGATTGACCCATTAAAAATGGTGATTTTCCATAGTTATGTGGCTGTTTACCAGAGGGGAACACAGAGATTTGAACGGCGGAAATCGGAGTTTCACTGGTGAAATGGGATCTTCATCACCAAGACATTGGAATTTCAAGAAGAAGAAATCATGGGAATGGCAGGATAAAAAACCAAGACATGGTGGAGATACGGAGCCAAAAATTGTGGTGAAAAAATCGACGGCCACAAAAATGGGGTCAAGCCCATGGTCACCAGTTCTTCACAAGCCCATTCACATGGTGGAAACATCAACTATATCTACTGTCAGTAGCCCAAAAAAGTTAACTACAGTATCCACAACCGGTGGATAAACCCCTAAGATATCTAGGAGAAGGGTGGCCCTCTTAGCCAATTTTCTTCAACTAAAAAAGCCACCATCTTTTTCACCACCCTCCATCATTCGGCTCGACCACACCCATCCGGGGTCACCAAACACCGGGGGATTCACCCATCTCCCGTTAAAATCACCAGATCACTATGAAATCCCCATCCAAAGCCCATCAAAAGCCCATGAAAATCCCATGAAAATCCATGAAAATCCCATGAAAAAGCCATGAACATCTCATATCACGCTCTATGTCACCTGGCCCTGGCCCTCCCAAACTCGCTGCTCCCCAGGCCGCTTGAGGCCCGAACACCCTGGACCTGTGTCGTTGTCTAAGAGGAAGAAATCTACAATTGAAACCCTTATTGATTATTGATAAAGGGGATTAAAGGAGATTAAAGGGAATTAATGGGGATATATATATATATCTTTGTTTGGGGATGATTATTGCCATTTCATGGGGATATAATGGGTGTGGATATAGATATATATATATATAAATATATATATATATATTCGAGATGTAATGAGCTCAATTTACCATAATTTACCTTACTATTTTGGGATTTTTCACATTATGATTGAATATCTGGGTAAATTGAATCATAATTCACTCATCTAAATTTTCAGGCCTTTTTAAAGGGGATGTTTTCCCTTTAAAAAAAAGAACGATGGATTCCAGGTTTCGGGAGAGTGATTCAATGGAGTCCTGGGATTTCACCAACAAAAATCCCGTCGAAAAAAATAATTAACACCCCAGAAAGCGCAACCAAAAAGATTTTTTTTTGGCTGCAAAAAACATGAAAATTATATAATGTCATACATATACATATAATATATATATAATAATAATAATATAATTATATATATATATTACATGGGTGTCATGTATCAACATTTCAACCTACTTCAGGTGCACTTTTTCAAAGTCCCCGATCTGAGGACCGAACAAACCCAGTCGCCAGGCTTGAAGTCACTGCCCGTTTTGCGATCCGCGTGGCGCGACTGGATCTCCGCCTAGATGGGGTTGAGGCCTGGAATGTCTTGGAATACCCTCTGGTAAACATACAAAAAGCTATTGAAAATGGCCATTTATAGTGAGTGTTCCCATTAAAAATTGTTATTTTCCATAGTTATGTTAGTTTACCAGAGGGTACCTTGGATGCTTTTGCACCATGGTGTTGTCAGCTTTCCTGGATCTGCACACCGTCACAGTGGATGACAATGGCTTTAGCACCCCCCAAAGAAAGGAGCCAATTGCTATGTTCCCTCTCAAACTGCGGGAAAAAAAAAGAAAACACTCACCCAGTTTACATGCCATCTCATGAAAATCTTGGTTCACATAGGTTTCCCATTTGAATATGGATTACAAAAAACAATCCATGGTCCACAACCAAGGTTTACGCTCAGGCCACGGCCAGCAGCGTGGCGGCTGGACCACGAATGGTAGGACCTGCGCCAGGCGAGGGTGAAAAAATCTGAGAAAAAAAAACAAATGGGAAAATGGCAGATGGACTGGAGGATGGGGATGATGATAAAATATTATGAATATAGATATACTATGTAATATATACTATATGTAGTGTCTATATATATATACATATATATATACATATATATATATATACATATATATATATATACATATATATATTGTAGACAAAGCCACAATGGTAGTAGAGTCCCTACAACCTGCCGGTTTGGGTTCCCTTTTGGACCACCTGGTCCACACTGATCACCAAATGCCCCCTGGGCACCACAAATGGAATCTGTTTTCCTCCGTATGGCGGCCGCGCCAAAAGGTCTATCGAAAGTGGGCACACCCTAAGCCCTCGGCCTCCCTGAGCCGCACACCCTGCAGTAAAATGGATGTTGTGAACCCTGCTGGACATTCTACCGTTAAGGGACAACTCATTGTCTCATGAATCTTCCAGTAACATCACATGCACTGACCAGAGATGGTGCGGAAATCACACTCCTAAAAATTCTCTCTAATAAGTAAAAACTGCTTTGACGTTCTCGGCTGTATGAGGAGATTGTTCTGAGAGATGGTCAAATCAAAACTTCCTGAATTCTGTCCCTGTATCCATGTCAGATTGATATTCATCCTGAGGACTTCGCCGCAGAGATGATATTTCTTACAGTCCAAGGTTCTTCGCAAAAACATGCAACGCTGACTCTGCTGAACTGCTCTGCTGATACCACTGCTGCCGAATACGCTTGTCTGCTCGCTGCTTGAGGATCTCCTCCGCATCATGTAAAACACATTTCCCTTGTTCCAAAAATGCTCGCAGTACTGATGTGTCCATGTCTTTAGTGAGTGAATCGGCCATTTGTGCCGCACTGTGAACCCATTTGATGGCTACATTTTCCTTTAAACGATCTTTGATCACTAAGGCTTCTAGAAGTGTTCTATATTCTGAACATTGAGGGATCGAGGTCTTTTGCAACAAGTCGTAAAGGCTCTTACAGTCTACAACAGCATATGCAGTAGGTAGAGTTCTGAGGGTGTCTTCGATGTTCTTCCAAGCTATCTGCGGATTTTGAATCCAAGCCCAGTGCATACGTGTCCAGCTTAAAAGATCTAATGCGCCTGACAGTGCATATGTCTCGGATGCAAGGGTGCTTGAAACCACACGACTTATTTTCTTGGAAAACCAAAGAAGTGGGCTAACAGGTGTTGTCATACCTTGATCAACTCCATCGGTGGTGGCCATGATCAGGCAACCTTTTTGGGAATTGGCCTTCTCTCTTGTAGCAAATGCAGCATCTGAGTAGGAAAGAAATCTGATTCTCGAAGGATCTAAAGATTGTATTCTGATTTTTGTATCATTGAATTTCTTTGCATCTTGCAACAATCTATTTCCATTGAGGAGATCTCCTACTGTGGCACATGTCACTTTTGCTTGCAAGAGACTTAACCGGCATGATAAGTCGGGCCGGGTATTGGTGGCTGCGTACTGAAGACTTCCGATGAGTCCTCTCAACGCTTGCAGTTCCTGTGGTGTGATTGGTGATTCTGGTGATTTGCGTCTGTCTCTTGAAACATCAATAGGTGGAATATCTTGAATATACCCCTTTTGGCTTAAGAGGATATCCCCATTGATTTCTTGGTGAACCTCAATTCCAGTGAATGTGAAAGACCCTTGTCTTTGACTACCAAATGGAAACCGCTTTTCAAGATTGGCAATGGCCTGATTGAAGACTTTGTCGCCTCCACCAATGCCATCGTCAACATGGACTCCTAACACTCCATGGATCTGGCAGTCGTTCGGGCTAGGATTGCGTTTAGGCAACACAAACAAGCATGGGTCAAACGGCGACACTGTGAATCCAAGACTGAGCAAGGCATTTTTCAGTTCACAATACCAGAGGAGTGGTGCGTTAATGAGGCCATATGCCCCCTTTAAGAGCTCGCAGGTCTCATTGTCTTGCAATTTCATTTTTAAGCGAAGCTCTGGCGGCGGCTCCATTCCGAGGATCCGGGCATCTTGTCTGCTTCCTCTCAGGAACGCTGTTTTGATGTCAAAGGATCTGGCTGTCCATTTCTGACTGGAAATTGTCTGAAGTGCTAACATTCTGCTGTCTCTTCCTAGCGTAGGTGAGTCACGAGGTAATGTGTCGATATGAGGGTCCTCAAAACCAAGGATCACCAACCTAGCTTTTGCCTTGCGGCTGACTCCAGTTTCTTTTTGCTCTTGGGGATCTAATGCTTTCCATGATAGAACCCATCGTGATCGCAGCAACTGACCTTCTGGGATTTTATCCCTTAGGATACGCTTGACAGTATCGGTAGCTAACCATGAGTCTAATTCCTTGTTTTTGGCTTGGGAGAAAAGTTTTTGATCTTTGCTATTCAACTCTTTCATCTTCACCTCCACCTTTTGCCTCTTTGCAGCTGATGCTAGATAACTTTCTTGATAGTCATAGGTTTGTCCTAGACATTTTTGAAAATCATCAAGAGTCAGGTATATCTCGGCTTCAAAACCCTGTGCAGCTTTCTCAGTCACATGGGCAGTCGTATGTTCATCCGTGAGCGCGGCTCCTGGTTTGATCTGGAAACAGGTGGTGCCTTTCCAGGGCTCAGGCTGGGAAAGGTGGGCCGCTACGTTTGCTCTCCACAGTTCAGTGCGAGAAAAATCACTTCCGGAAACAAATGTGCCATGTGTGGTTCTCTCATCTTGAAGCTGATCAATTGCTATAGGACATTCCCAGGCATCATGAGGAAAAAACATTCGGAGACGTGGTATGACATGGTGTCTAACCAACATAGGTCCCTTTATTTCCCAATAATCCCGGTTATGTGTTATGGCAACCAAATCATCATCGGTTTCTACTGGTACTGGTGTTTCTACTGCTGGGTCATGAACTGGCTCATGTGGTGTTGATGGCAGTGAGGATTCTCCTCCCGGGCATTGAGGTTCGGCATCTGGTTGACCCACCGACGGTGTCTGGCCATGGTGCATCTCAGTTCCTCCAGGGACATTGGTGCTTTGTTCTATGACTGTGTCAGGTTCAGGTGTTCTGGTTTCTGGTGTATGTCCATTCGTGTTCGGAGGTGGTGTTTGCTGTGATAATTCTCGAAACTGAAATACTCCAGTACCACTGCGGGATGGCAACTGAAAGGAGCCGACGGCAGCAGGCGATACCCCTCTAGCCTCATCAGTGGAGAGCTTTCTGATGTGCTCTGGCGCACAGCGGAACAGTCTTGTCAGATGACTGATCCATACCAGATTTTGCCCCTCAATCATCAACACTTTTCCCGGCCCATGCCAGGACCCTTCTTCCACTCCTTTGCCAGCTCTCCAATACATTACTAGGTCTCCCATTTGGAAATCAACCCTGTCGGGCCTAGTTCTGGAATGGATAGCCTTGCGCACTGCAGAGCTATGGTCGGCTCGCACGAATGCGATTCTGGCAGCCTCACGTCGGGCTAATTGTTCATGGAATCGGCGGCCTTCTGGAGTCTGGTCCTCCAGTCCAGCAAAACTGGCACTGTCGAGGTATTGATTGGAATTGCTCCCAGGGAGTGCACGCATCTTTCCTAAGACCCACAGATCAGGAGTATACCCCTCATGACGTGACATAGAGTTTTTTGCATTACACAACTGAATCAAACCTTGTTCAAAGTCATGACTGTTGGTGATAGGTTGGTCTTCATGATATTTGGATAACATGTGCTTGAGGATCGAGCCATGTCTTTCCGCTCTTCCCAACTGCCAGTGTGCTTCCGTGGGGATCACATAACTGTTGATTCCATGTTCCTGCAAAAACTTGGAAAACCTTTCGCTGTTGGCTTCGGTGGCACTGTCAAACATCACTGACTTTGGTGGTCCTGCCCATCGAATCCATGCCATGTTAAATGCATCGATGAGTCCTTCAGTGGTCTGTTGTTGGTATGGTACTGCAATGTGGAAATTGGTTGCTGAGTCAATAAAATGATAGAAACCATATTTTTGACCTTGATTATCTTGCCACTCCGCAGCATCAAACGAAACATGATCATTGAAGTCTTTCGGACTGCGCAATTGCCCTGGTCGAGCAATCTTCGGCCTCTGTTTCTCATAACAGACCGGGCAGACAAAGTCAGTGCAGGCTTTTACTTCCATGTCGGACCATCCCTGATTTTTCAGCGCCATCTGGAGAGTGCGGTTGTCTGGATGCCCAAGGTTTTGATGAATCTTCTTGATTTGACTCTGACGATCACTGGGTAAGGCTAGAAATTTGGGTCCATGGGATTTCAACTCAAGTGGTTTCTGAAGACTATCCGGGTGGCTCGCTTCCATGGAGGACAGCGGATCTTCCCTTGGATGATGGCTTTCAGACTTTGGACTTGCATCTGAATCTACTTTCGTGGGATTATGATTTTGAATTCCTATGGGACCACTATCTACCCCTTCTATCCCCTCTTCCTTATTCTTACCCCTCTTAGGTGGCATTTCAGGCACACTGTCTCCAGGCCGCTTGTTGGTGGCAAAGACTGACACCAAAATTCGGGAGGGCACACCAGCACGAATTTGTTGCCGATGGGACAGTTGTTCCCAATGTTCCCACTGGTCATCCACAAATGGCTGCAGGTCATTCCTTCTTTTCCCAAAACTCCTTCTATATGGTGCTGTGCCCTTTTGGCCAATGGGACACACTCGAAGGCGGTTGATACCTCTGCAAACTTCTACAGCAACTATTTGTTTATCAGGATACAACTGTTGTACACCTTCAAACAAAGGACCTTCTTGAAGAACGGCTTTTCCTACCCTTGGGGCACATTGTTCTGCCATCTGCAGCAACTGTCGGATCGGCCTCAGAGGATCATCTCCGGCATGAGATGATGGCATCGCATTGCTCGCACCATCGGTCGGGATCGGCTCGAACAGGCGTTCGGGCTGGAACTTTCCCCACAGGCGCCGGCGCTTCGGCAACGGCTCATCATGGACTGCAGGATTGGCAATTTCGGCGTGATCGTTTTGAGAACTTCCAGTACGTTCTTGGATTTGGATACTGCACTGCAAAGCCTTACCAAGTCTTCTTCCGAACATGGCTGTGTATAGCTCGGTATATTTCGTAAGAGACATACGCTTACTACCATGGGGGCGACATGATCCGGCTATGACATCATGTGGATGGGATCCAGGACATTGGAATTGGAGTAGCATGTGATACATGATCTTGGAAGTGGTCCATACCTGGGTCCTCTTTCGCAACAGTTCTTGGCTGTTCGGATGTCGGAGGTTTCCGGCGGTGCACATGTCACAGACTGCCCTGAAAGCATTGACGACTACATACTCTAATTCCCTTTGAGCTAACATCTCGGATCCGTTCGGTTGCTCTAGATGGGCATGGAATGTGTCGCCTCGCCAATCTTGCAGCTGGAACATAGCGGTGCACAGCAAAAGATGCACGTTCTCACCCTTCCGGTCCGAAGAGATCTGTCGGGCAAGTCTTTGAGACTTCTGGGAGTTCAGACGATTCCAAGCAGACCAGGGACCACAACGAGGTGACAACCAAATGTGCTTCGGTCTCAAAATCCAAAGGGCATCATACAGCTTACATCTACCCCCAAAAGTCGAGAGATCACCCTGCCTCAGGCCAAAACGTCGCGTGGACATGCCTAAGAGTTCCCCTTGGTGAGTGAGCTGACTGGTATCCGAACAGTACACTTCAAGGACATCGCAATATGACTTCTTCCAGTGAGATTGGACCGTGTCCGGATTCATGTGTGAGTGTTTCTTGCCAAAGTAATTCCACATCTCCTCATACACCCAATTATCGTTTCCTACATCCTCATGTTTGGTTTGGGAAAAGTAGGCATGATCGATCACATGTTCAGGTTCGTTGAGGATTGCATCGGAACCAATGACATCACAAACCCTAGAGATGAGCTCACTGTTCATTTCTATCCCTTCTAGGAATTCTTGTGGGCAGCCCCTTGCATGGCCAGCTGGGTCAATGTCTGCAGCTGCTGGGTGATCTGAGCTAATGAATTTTCCATGTTGGAGATCCGTTCGCGCTGGGCACTCAGTTCTCCTTGCATCACTGAGTTCTCCTCTTGGATCAGGCTCCACGGCTTGTCGTGCTCCGATGCCGACCAGTTCTCCTGGCTGAGAGCATCGTCCGGTCGGGGAGGCATCGCTCTTGACTTGGGCCATGAGGTGAATCTGCTGGGCTTCCGTCACTGGCATCTCCGGATCTCGATCCTGAAGGAGCTCCATGCGTTCCACATACAGTTGAATGAAGTACAGAAACGGTTGGTGGGCCGCTTTCTTGCTGTCGGAGTACTTCTTGAGGAACCAAGCTACATACTTCGGGTCGTCCTTGATCACATGGATGAAAGTCTGATTCACCTTTGCCTCTCCGAATGCTATCTGCATCTGAGACAGCTGCTCGAACGACATGCCCTGGTATTCTTCGTGCTTCTTCTGAGTCACTGCCATCTGGAAACGATCGGCCAGAGAAGCCATTGGACGAGCTTTCACTGACACACACCCGTGAGGCTGGAACTGTGCACGGTCTTGGACTTGAGAGAACACCCTGCTGAACCTCTGGTTGTGGACCTTCATGGACAATTTTTGGCTCTTCTCCCTCAACGATACTGGACATGACAGGAACTGAGGATGTGAACTCTGACCTGGATACCTGGCAAGCCTGATTTCCAATTCTTATCAACTCACAGAAATCCAAAAGATACAACTTCTTTTCCGACAATCGGAGTGGCATCTGGATGTTCAAGTTGGAGAAATAAATGTGATCCGTGGCTGTGTCGATCTGAGCTCCCAGGGTTCGAAACACATTATTAGATATCAGGAACGGTGTCCTTGACTTCACAATGCAAATCTTCACATCCCACTTGGCTAGGGGAACAAGGAGCGCACGGATGCACATGACTGTACTGCTGTTGCCAAAGCGAAACACGGTCTGGCACGGCACTTCACGGACCCTGGCACGAATGTCACTGGGAAGGTTTTCCAAAAGCTCTGCAACTTGTTGTTCACCTATGACAGTTTGGCTGGCTCCTAAGTCTACTATGCCGTAGGGACCGTGGCTGACAAACAACGTGGTCTCGCAGGATCCGTCTTGGATCGACATGGATTTGCAGGTGTGCGGCTCATGAGTTTTCCTGGGCTGAGGGCTTAGGTGTTGTTTCAGGTTCTGGACCATCCGACCCAAAGCACTTACGCTAGGAATTAACCCTTGGGACACACTACCATGAGTATCAGGTACCATGACAAAACATTCAACTTCTGGGGACCCTACACCATGGCAAAAACAAGTGGCTGTTTCGGGGAGTTCATGCGGAATCATGTCTTCGGTCTCGCTCTCATGCTCGACCACCATAGTCATACCTGTGAAGGCTCCGGACTCCTTAGTGGACGATGTCCCTGAGGTCTGGCTGCTGCGGTTGAGTGGACACTCTGCTTTCCAGTGTCCCTTGACGCCGCAGCGTCTGCATTCTGACTCCAGGATCCGCTGGGACAGCGGCTTGCGATACCTCATGTTCATTTTTCCTTTACCCTTGCCCTTACCTTTGGGGTTACTTTGATTTCCCTTGCTACTGTTCCAGAATCCACGGTTGCGATTTCGATCTGTCAGGCGTTTCCTGGCATCCAGATAGGCATTGTAGCATGCCGCAATTTCTGAATCTCCTTGTAATGCTTCTACGATGCTTTCCTCAAACTGCATGCACACTAATGAATCGGCATCACCCTCATCATAGGCACTATCCAGATCATCCCAGGATTCCCCAACATAGGCGAAGTCTTCATCATGTGGACCCCAAGACGTGTCATCATCGAACACTGCATTGACATCATATGTTTTCGTTCTGTTTGTGGCTGGTTTGTTTCCAGTTTGAACTTCTTGGAAAAACTTCGATCCCAACAGTTTCAACATGGAGACTACCTTCTGGTGTTCAAGGTTTCCATTTGCATCCACAATCAACTTCTTTTTGTCTTCAGCTCCCAACCCTGAGTTTCGGAGAAGGATGTAAGCACGAACATCCTGGATCCCGACCCCCATCTGGAGGAGCTCTTCAAACTGATAGTCATGCCTGGCCAAATAGCTCTCGTGAGCTTCATCAGGACGCTGCACTGTCGTATAGATGGCCCTCTCGAACCGCTCAAACTTCTCTTCTAGGGTGCTGCGACCCCAGATTCCCCCCAGTGTGGTCACTAGGAGTTTCACTCCTTCCTGAGAGTTGACCTTCAGTTTGGACGGCTCCAAGCGCATCACTCGCTTGAACGCACTACCTTCACACATCATGGCTGCCCTAGAGGCTAGATGTGCTAAGTGTTCAGGAGGCCACAGCGATGCTAGAAACTCGAGCTTCTTGGCATACTCATTGATATCAGTTTCACCTGGCTTGAAACTGGGTATCATGGTCCAAGGAAGATGAGAGAGCGAGGTGTTGCTCCCTGAACTCCCTGTGGCCCCCTGGCCCATTTCACTTTGGTCCATGATGGGATCTGCAGCTTCCGGCTATGGCTCCTCACTCCCGCCCCAGCCGGCTGCAGGAGCTCCGCTACCAATGTAGACAAAGCCACAATGGTAGTAGAGTCCCTACAACCTGCCGGTTTGGGTTCCCTTTTGGACCACCTGGTCCACACTGATCACCAAATGCCCCCTGGGCACCACAAATGGAATCTGTTTTCCTCCGTATGGCGGCCGCGCCAAAAGGTCTATCGAAAGTGGGCACACCCTAAGCCCTCGGCCTCCCTGAGCCGCACACCCTGCAGTAAAATGGATGTTGTGAACCCTGCTGGACATTCTACCGTTAAGGGACAACTCATTGTCTCATGAATCTTCCAGTAACATCACATGCACTGACCAGAGATGGTGCGGAAATCACAATATATATACATATATATATATATACATATTACGAAATCATGGCTGACTCTGGTTTCGTTGGCTATTGAGGAAAAACTCACTGCGATGTAAAACGCCCATACAACGCCCTATACAAACTCCCCCTTGGAAGGCCTGAAATGTTCCATTCTGTAAGGACCAGATAGGAAACTCAGAAAACTCCAAGCGCGGTCCGACATTTTTGTCTGCTGGAGCCGCCTGCGCTTGACACCGTTGGCACTGCCGGCTTTGGCGTTCCGCACCTCTGCTGGGTTCATCATGTGAATCCAATCGGATAAAAAAAATGGGAAGTCGGAGGGAATTCCCCGTCCCAGGGAAGGTTTTTGTGATTTTAACCATGATTTCCCCCGTTAGGAAAAAAACACCCAGGTAATTATCATGGTTTAGTAACAGGATATGTGGGGATATACACATATTTAAGGAACCATTTGAGGAAGCATTTAGGAGGTCTTTGATAGAGGGATGGGATGATATTCCTAAGTTTGGTTATACAAAACTTAGGTAGCCTGGATGATGTAAACTTTGGCTAGTGAATCTTCCCATGACAAATTCAGAGAATATTCCCAGTACCGGTGTCATCCTGGAAAATCCTCTCCAAAACTTCGACTCGATTCCATCAAAATCTCCATCCAGGAGCGGGGATTTCCCAGCCAAGTTTGACCCTGCGTGGGGTACCCTTGCAGGTTGACCCAGGTGGGGAAAAAAAAAAAGATCGAAAAACCAGGAGACTTGCGGCACGTGGCGTTGCGCTCGAACCTGCGCGCCAGGAGATTTTCAAACCTGACCGTCCAGAAACCAACTCACTGGATTTTCAACAACAACCAGCTACAAAGTTATGCATCTCACCGGTAGAAATCACGATTGTACCGTCAAAATTGTGGATGTAAACTTACTGAGTATCTGCTTTGGTGACCTTTACAATTCAGGAAAAAAAAGTTATAAAAGATGATGAATGCAACAGCCATCAACAATTTTTGATATATCAAATGGAGGTTTCCTAAAATGGTGGTACCCCCAAATCATCCAAAATTACATGGTGACTTGGAGATCCCCCATTTTAAGATAAGAACCCCCCAAATGAGAGTCCAAACATATTGGCAAATTGCCGCAAGGGATGCATCGAAATCAGTTCCTCTGCTGGGGTACCCATGGGCACACAAAAACTGCCGTGGTAAGCTTGCGATGTATGCCCTCCCAGAGAAACTCAATGAAACTCATACATCTTGCTGTTACCCTCTGGTTATTTAACATAGCCATGGAAGCCATGGCCCATAGAAATAGATGGTTTACCTATTAATAGCATGGTGATTTTCCATGGCTATGTTAGTCATAACCAGATGGTATATCAATTTTTAAGTACAACAGTTCATTTTACACCATGATATCTCTCCATCTCATGGTTCAATATCCCAGTTTCATCCAGTTTCGCAGTCCCACAATGTACCCACAGAAAATAACCAAGTAACCCCCCCAAAGATGCAGAAGACTCTTGTGATTCATCACTAATTGATGTTTTTAAGAGATGTTGGCCAAGATTTTTTTTGATGTGTTTTTTTTTGCATTTACCATCATTTACCCCAAGAATTCACAAGTTTTTGGGTGAAATACTTCATCCAGATTTGGTGAAGCTCCAATCATCGACTTGACCAACTTCGGCTGGGGCGGAATACCTAACACCCACTATTTTTCAGTGGATCTATATAATATAAATGGTCCCGATGTGGAACTTCCCCGTTACTCATTACGTTACTAAAAAAACATGGTTTCATCTTGGTGAAGATCTTTCATTCTGGGGATGGGATTATCCAGGATTACCCAGGATCTACCCGGCCTGGTTTCATGACTGTTACAGTTTGCTATTGAACAGAATGCCATTGAAATAGTTGATGAATACCCATAGAAATAGCATGGTGGATCTTTCCATCGTTTTTTCGTCATGTTTACCACTTCACTAAAATTGGAAGGGAAGCTCCATCTTCGGCTCTTCGGCTTCACCATCTGGGGGTCCCGGCTGATGGTCACCACACGCAGGGCACGACCAATCGCCTGCCTGGCGTGCCAGATCTGTGGTGCGACAGATCTGTGAAGTGAAACTGGTGAAACTGTTGAGATGGGAAACTCATGTTGAATTCCAAGGATTTCATGGCCGAAGATCTGGCAGCTCCACTGGCAGCTCCACTTCTTTGTGCCCAGCTGTCAAGTAGGCGCACCTTAAATTCTTGGCCGTTGCTTGGTCGCACCTCGGCTCCAATAAAGCAAGATGGCTAGTAAATCCGGCCAGATGTGAATGGAAAATGTCGTTAAGACGTTTGAGGTGAAGTATGGTGAAACGGTGCAATGTGGGAGGTCGATAGATCGATCTGCAGTGATTGCCATGACAGAAATACAATGGAAAACAGATATCCGAAAAATATCCTCCAGTACCCTCTGGTAAACTAACATAGCTATGGAAAATCACCATTTTTAATGGGAAAATCCACCATTTCGACTGGGCCATTTTCAATTGCTATTTTGACATAACCAGAGGGTATCCGAAAAATATCCTCCATCAAAGGTGGCTGGGAAATCCAGGTTTGAATCAATGGAGGTGTTAACGATTCCTGGAAAATGATGGGAAAATCAACACCACAACCCATTGAAGATGAGCTGTTAATCCACAGAAATTCATGGGAAAATTCTGATATTTGGTCGACTTACCATGTTGGATTCCTGGATGCTAAACGCTCCACCCATCTCCACCCTGGGCCCCCTGGGGTTTCCAGCCACGGGAGTGTAGGCTTGGCTCTGCGTTGGCTGAATCGGAGCTGCAATGTAGCGAGTCCCATCTGGCGAAAGAATCATCGCTGGTGATTTCGGGACTTTCCCAAGTGGTGAAACAAATGTTTTGCGGATCCTAAAAAATGGGTCAAAACAATGGAAAACTATGGAAATTTATGGAAAACTATGGAAAATCACCAATGGGTCAATAGGGTCAATCCACAATTTCAATGGCAATTTTCCATAGCGAACTGTTTGTTTACCAGAGGGTAACAACTCAAGAAATTGATGAAACTTCTCACAATCTTCTCGCTGTGCGGCTAAGCATGGGGTGGTTGTAAGCGACATATGCTTCCCATTCACAGGAGTGTTCTCAGTTGGGTGGGTATTTGTTTTTACTGGTTTTGAGACCTGATCCTCTTTTTTGCTGGCTACAGCACCCCAAGTTTTTCGTAAACATGGGTATCGCCCTTCTTGGGTTCCACTTTAATCTAGGGGAATATACGACATATGCCCTCCAGAAATTTAAGATAGCTATTGAAAATTGCCCAGCTATAGTTGTTTTACCTATCAAATTGTGTTGTTGTCCATAGATTTGTTCATTTACCACAGGGTTAGATATATGTGTATATATATATATACATTATATATATGTATATATATATATATGTACATATATATATGTATGTATATATATATATGTATGTATATGTGTATATATATAATATATATATATAATGTATGCCTATTACATTATTACTCTCTACGCAATATCCCCATCTGATCAATCTTATTGGGATAATCAGCAGTTTACCCATTGACTGTATCCAATTTTGGATAATGGGGTTCCGCATTGCGAAGAATCCAACAAACACAGTAATACTCGAACGGCGTTATCATTGCTATCATTGTTATCATTCTTGTATATATATATCATAACCATTTATATATATATGTGCCATATATCTATATGATATATCATAAATATATATATCATATAATATATATATATATATACAAATCATTGCTATCATGGCTATCATGGATGTCATTATCATTATCAGTTTTATGTGGGCAACCCAATGGATGGTCTTTGCCACCACCCATCATGATTTTGGTGATGACTTGGTCCGTGAATTATCCCAAAAGAATCATAAAACCGTGGGAATTGTTCATTATTACCATTCTTGTTATGAAAATGTAGGATAATGAACAATAATGATTGTTACATGATCATTATCATTAATTAAAGCCATGGCTGTTGTTGTTATCATCACTATCATTCTGAGTAGTGCCATGAAACGGCTGAAACGGCGTCTGAAACGTATGACCAGACTTCAAACGCACTGAGAGAAGTGTCTCTCAGTAGTGCGGTGTCATTGTCACTATAGTAACCCAAAAAAAATAAAAATGTGTGCCACCGGGATGGTTGTTTGATTTTCTGTTTTCCTCTGGTTCATCTTCCAGGTTTCCGTAACTCTTCGGCATCTTTTCAGGGTTGCTATGGCAGTGATATGTAACTTGCCCGTTTGGGCATCATAAATCATCATGTTTATCATGTATAAATGGGCCTTTTTCCATAGCTATGTTAGATCACCGGCATCATCATTATCATTGTCTTATGATGACAAAGGTACTATAATGATCTTGTCAATCTTATAGCAACGAATACAACAACAATAGATATATCAATAGGATTATAATTACATGTCCATTATGTTGTGATAGTAATGACCTTGTTCTATTACTACTATTGTCATCAATAAATGATACCAATAGGTTATCATTATCACAACTATTGTCACTATTGTCATTGCCTTTTCATCTTGGTATCAAATCCAAGAGCCCGGATTATCATTATCATTACTACCAATTGCAATTACCCTCTGGTTATGACTAACATAGCCATGGTATAGATGGCCCTAATCGAAATAGATGGTTTACCGTTCTTAAAAATGGTGGATCTTTCCATGGCGAACTGTTAGTCATAACCAGATGGTACTATATTAATTGTCTTTATGATTACCCTCTGGTTATGTCAAAATAGCTATTGAAAATCACCATAGAAATAGTGAGTTTTCCCATTCAAAATGGTCATTTTCCATAGCTTTTTGTATGTTTACCAGAGGGTAAACCTCCATTTTCCTATGGGTTTCCCTATGTTTTCCCATTTTCCCATGGGTTTTATCCATACCCATATATTGTCTTTATAATTACTACTATCATTGCGATCCCAAGATCCTCACAGCACCCAGATCTTCCCAAAACGCACCGATTTCAATGACCGGCTGCACTCCCCGCGGTAAGACCGGCGCCGCTCCAACCGCCTCGTTGGAAACGAAACGTCGCAAGAATCCGACGAGTCGGATGCTAAAACGTAGGTGTTGTTTATAGTACCCATGACGGATCCATGGTGCTGCCATATATGGTACCCTCTGGTAATTTAACATAGCTATAGAAAATCACCATTTTTAATGGGAAAATCCACTATATATGGTCATTTTCAATAGCTATGTTAAATTACCAGAGGGTAACATGGATCCCATTCATATACCCCAGTCATGTTAGCATTAATATACAGCACCATGGATCCGTCATGGGGTATGAAACCCCCAAATTTGCCAAATCGTACTTACTAAATGATACCACCCAAAAAAAACTCTCATAGTCAATCTTTGGTAGTCCACATGTTCTTTTTGCTGTTTATGGTTGTTTACCGTTCATAGCAAAAAACCAAAGGAGTAAACTACAGGATGGGGCCCCCAAATTTTAATACGTTGCCTTTCTTTCGTGGTTTAACTATGGTTTATGCTCGATATGGCTATGGATCAATACCTATTACTATCATTTTTAGTGGGTTATTCACATCCATTTACCAGCTATTTTGATGTTCACCAGGGAGGTTTTGACACACTGCCATATAACTATAGTATTCATGGCCTTTATACGGCTTTATAAAGCTTGGCATTCGTTCCTCACTGGGTTCCCCGAACGGGCCGTTCGGCTCCGCAGCGACGGCAGCTGGCATTGCGCGCAAACCTCGAGGTCTGAAATGGTGTTGGGATGAAAACCATTCGTAAAATATCGACGTCTTACGAAAAATCATCGGCTTTTTTTTCTACATATGATATGTGATATATGTGATATATTATATATATCTATGATATGTTGGGATCGGAAATCCATGAATCTTGCAGTAATCTTTGGTGGGTACCTTTTGAGTCCTTCCCAAAGATCTCCATGGTTTTTTCCCCACTAAGCGGGATGGGATCTGTTCCCAGTGAAATTGAACCCAAGTTACAACTGGGAGCAGGGTCCATCACTGCGCCGTTTCTGTTTCTGTTTCTGGGAATTGACCAACCAATATGGGTTCAAAACTCACGTGAAAAACCGTTCAGAATGCAAGTTCACGGGATCAAACTGGTGATGTACCAAAATGGTTTGAGTGGTAAACCGCCATAAACTGAGCGCACAACGCAGGTATTTTTTATGTGACTACTTAGGGGATTATTCTTACCCACTGTTTCATTGGGGATGCTTACCCTCTGGTAATCTGTTACATAGCTATTGAAAATGGCCGTCGAAATAGTGAGTTTTCCCATTCAAAATGGTGGATCTTTCCATGGCTTTTTGTATGTCATAACCAGAGGAAAAAACTATTGGGTTTAGCACATGATGGGATCAGCTGGCTGGCCCCGCAATGCCATAGACCTCCCATGATCAGCACGTCCACATCCATGAATATCCATTAAAATCACTCAAACAAATCATCAGTACATACAATTACTATGTTTCATGCCTACTCAAAAGACATATCTTCTGGATTAACATTGGTATGTAATGAATTCTATATATAAGGTTTGGTAAACTGTTCGTACATGGTTGGTAAACCGTGTTGGTTCTAAAACAATCATCACATTGCTCCCAATAACCGTCAAGGTCAATTACCGTTAACGATTAACAATAATGTACTATGATTGAAATTAACTATGTTAACCCCAAAAAGGGATAGAAAGGTAAAGTCCTACTAAAATAGTGATAAGTCACTTGTGCGCTTCTTTTGCAGATTACTATACTATTATATATACAGTATTAATATGGTCATTAACAATAATATCTTACTATGATTGATTAATATAGTCAACCATTTACAATAGTATGGTTAATATTATCTTATTGAATAACCTACTATGGTTGAAAATAACCTACTATTAATATGGTATTTACACAACATTACAATGTTTATCCATGGTTTGGTCAACCAGGTTTTCCATTGGGCCGCAGACTGGTGGTCTCCACATGCCGGACCTTTGTGAAGGAAGCACCAGGGATGGGGACGTCGTTTCTTTCTGAGGGGTTGACACATGGGTTTCAACATGGTTAAAGATTGTTGATGGCTTTATTAAGATCCAAATTCGAATGTTGGGATTAAACATGTTTAGACCATCTATTTATAACTACTCCTTGTGATGGTTCATAGGGTTTACTTTAACGAAAAATGTCGGGGAACCATGAGACTTGTCCATTCTAAGGTTGGAAAGTAGTCAACCCCCATAGCAGGGTCCGCGTTAGTAGGGGGATGAGAAAATCTATGACTTCACCGAAAAATATGGTTGATTTTGACTCAAATAATATGATGCGTTATGATGGGCATTCAATTTTGCACACCAAGGGCTGTAGTAACCCCTAAAGAGATTCAGAAAAAGTTTGCATATTTTACCAGTCGTTTGACAGAAAAATAGATTTTTTTTTGACGGTTGCTGTATACCCAAGGAACAAGTCCTAGGATACTGGGGATACTTCCGGAAATTCGATCCAGACCTAGCACGTGGGCGATCAACATTTGAGACAACTAACCATGATGGGATATAGTGGGGCTATAGTTGATGGATATTGGTTATTAATGGTAGATATAATCAACACAATCATTTGGGTTGGCCTAAAAAAAGTTAATTACCCAAGATCCAGTAGTTTAAAGCATCATTTTCACCAGAGAACGGACATTTTGGGGCGAAAAACATCAGACAAACATATTTTACAGATGCGTGGCACTTCACAATGTTGAGACTCACCCGTTTTTCCACACATGTTGGTTCCAAAGTTCTCAGTTATTGGGGATATCGTATGATATGTGAATCATTGCCCACGAAACCACCATTTGATGAACCCGCACATGAATTTCCCCACGGACTCGGTCCAGTTCCAACTCCCCCTTGCGGCAAAGTGCAATGCCAATCGCCCGACATAAAGCCTTTTTCCTCAGCGGCGCGGTTCAATCGCGCGGCTCGGGTTGGTGTTCCAAGCGGTTTTGTCTAAAAATAGGGGAACCGCCCAAAAAATCCGATGGTTGATTGCCAAGATGCCATTTTTGCGGGCATTTTCAGATACATCCGAGTCAACAATGTTGGCCAACGTTATCTTTTCTGGAAAATCAACATCAGTTTTGAACCACAAGGTGATGTTTCAACCACACGAAAAATAAATTCAATGACCCAACCGTTTCAGTTCATGTTTCAAATAATCCAAAACCATCCAAAATGCAACAAAATAAGCTTCGGTGGCATCCCCAAAAGCCGCAACGTTTTATTTTTACAAATCTTTCTGAAGCGTGCTGCAAAGCCAAGCGCTGGAAACCCTGTTGAACCTGTTGGAAACTGACCTGGCCCTGCACCAAAGATTCCCAAAACCTTCTCTGGGACCTTCTCTGCAACCTTCTCCGGAACCCGCAAAGCCAAGGAACCCTGTTAAGAACTTCTCCGCAATTTTTATGACATAATGTTTATTAAGATTCCCACAACCTTCTCTGGGACCTTCTCTTAAGAACTTCTCCGGAACCTTCGCCGGAACCCTGTTGAACCTGACCTGGCTCTGCACCAAAGCCTCCCGGAACCTTCTCCGGAACCCCTGCCACAAGGCCCCCTGGAGCCCTTGGGTGTCCCCCGCCACCGGAGTCGCCACCATCGCCGGGATGGGCTGACGCCGTTCGGTGAAGCTGCGGGGCGTTGCAAGCGCCGCGGCAGTGACCTGGGAAACCAATCAAAAATGGATTATAATGGATACCCTCTGGTTATGTCAAAATAGCTATTGAAAATGGCCATTAATAGTGGATTTTCCCATTAAAAATGGTGATTTTCCATAGCTATGTTAAATTACCTGAGGGTAATAATGGTTATAAGTGGTTGGTGATAATCATGGATATTAATAATTAATATGATTATTGAATTACTACCATGAGATTATCATGGATAATAATGGTGATAATAATAATACTAGTGCAAACAATAGTAATGACAATCATAATGATAGTAACAATAATGTTATCATGAATAACAAATACCGCCATAATAGTAATAGTCTTAATAGTTAAACATGGTTTATCATTGTTCATCACTAGTGATAGTCTGTAATACACTATTGAATTACATATCATAGCTGATCGTCGTTAATATTATCATGAATGGAGAGTAACTAAAAAAATAATTAGACTTGATAATAGTTAATAACTAGAACCAGTTCATACTCGTTGATAATAGTTGTTTGACAAAAACGGGAATGTCACCAGCGACCATAAAGGCTTAACCAATATATCCAGGTGGTTTTTTCTGGAATTTTTCCATGGGATGAAATCTAACCAAGAAAAAATTAAAGAAAAAGAATCATCCTTACCAACGATACTTGGGATATGATGTTTTTATCATGGCTATAAGTAAGAAAAATGGGGTATTTTGTAGTGGGATCTAATAAGACCTAAAAAACAGAACAGAGAAAGATATCCTAATGGGGGGTATATTTGACCAACCTTGCCAATCAATAGAATGGGTATAGAATGGGATGTTATGATATATAATCAAGACATCATGATATTTAAGGAACTCTCTGAAAATCATGGAGATAGCCATGTCTGAACAATTCAGGTCAGAAAGAGTAGTTGGGGATATACCCATCCGACTGGAGCACAAACCTTGATTTTTTGATTGGTAGTCAACCTCCTTGCGCAAACTTGACTCAAGCCTCATTTTTGTCAGTGAAATCAAAACAAAAAAACCATGTTTTTCTACTTAACCCCTGATTTGTTCGAGTTCAATCGCACGTTGTGTTGCGTAAATATCCCCCACATGGTAGCATCCAGGTGACCGTGGGGCGTGCCGCCCCACAACGCCGGCAGCTGGCGTTTCGCGCAAACCTCGTGGATTTCAAGTGACAAAAGGTGTATTGAAGTGCGAAGAAAGAATTCCGTGAAGGGTTGTTTTATGATGATTTATCTATTGATAATGATGATTTCCAAAAAAACTACATGTTTTTGGAGGGTAAACCCAAACGGTAAAAACACTACGTTCGAACATACACAAGTTGGATCATAGCGTTGAAATGTACGAATATCCTAGTCAATAGCTGGAGAATATTTATCCCATTCACCTCTGGATTGTAACCATCGATCATGCCTAATAGCACTCCCCCCGTGACACTTCACATGTGACTGCAGATAGACAACAGATATCTCTACTTTCGGCGGGCTCCAGATTTTTTAATCAATGTTGTGGGTCCATGTTCAACGACCTAAAATCTTTTCATGCATCTAAAGCTTCCTGGTTGGTGGTTTCAACCCAACCCCTCTGAAAAATGATGCAGTTCGTCAATGGGGTTAGGATGACATCCCATATATGAAATGGAAAATAAAAGCCATGTTCCAAACCACCAACCAGCTTCAGTTTCCTTTCACTCTAGATCTACCCCAGATATGCTCATAGTTTTTCCACTTCAATGGATCAGTTTTTTGGTAAAACCCCGTGATTCCACCTTCGCAAAACACCAGCGGGTTGATCCGCTCCCAAGTTCTAAAGGTTTCAAACAAAACTCTACCTACGAGCAAAGAGTTTTTTTGTGACATCAGCTGTGCAGAAGTCACATCAACCCCATGGCACGGCGACTTGGAATAATGTCGCATCAAATCGATGCGAAAATCACATCAAAATATCAAAATCCCCGTCGCACACCTTCAGGAAAGGGTCCTATATGTCCAGACATGGAAAAAAACCATGGCCCACAATGATTTACCAACAGATGTTTCTTCATGTTTCTGAAGACATATTGAGGAATCACCATGGCACAAGGCATCTCAGGTCTTTCGATTTCTTTCAGAACAAACACAAATCCCCACGTCTAAGTGGTGGGCACCATCAGCACGCCAACAACTCTAAATCACCTCTCCCATTGGCACACCATTGTCAACATCCCACTTTAGATTGAATCTTGAATTGTAAATATACGTTTTTGTTGTTCCTCTTTCTCTTTCTGCAGTTTTGCGTCTTAGTCTGGGGGTTGAAAGGTGCGCCTAGTAATTCTCGCATGCGTTCTCGCGAACTCGGGCACAGCTAAGGTGAGCCGTGCGGTGTGCCTACACATGTCACTCCTGGTGTTCCTCTGCTTTCCAAAGATGCTTTTGCGTTGTCTACATATGTCTACATGCATATGGTCTTTTTGCCGCGCAATATCCAGCACCAATGGGTGACTAAGCTGGCGACCGAGACTCCGTTTTCCTCTACTACCGATCATCAGCACGCTTAAAGACAACGGCGACCGAGAGCCGGTAGTCGCAGCAACTTCGGCCACTTTTTTCCCGCATGGAATTCCCCAAGAACGCTGGGAGATGGTAGCAACCCGTAGCCATAGAAAAGTTGGAAACATGGAAATGATGTTTATTCCCATGCTGGAAGCACTTTTCCGCATCTTATTAGGGACCCCTATATATATATAAATCTATATATATCATCTTATATCACTTAGATCATCTTGTATCTAGAGAATATGTTGATTTGCCATTTGAAATTAAGAGAGGTTGGTTATAATATCAGGTCCCATTACAGCAACCTCAGAAGATGCAGAAAGGTAAAATCTGATCCTAGAATGGAAAAGGAAATAGAACCTTGTTTGCATCTTTTGGGGGGGTGGTAGAGGTTGATCTGGACACCTCCTTATTCTGGTTATTATCAATGATTTAACTATGAATCGATTAGTAGATACCACCATTTCTTCTTACTTAAATGGTTATTTTCCCAATTTTCGTGATTTACACTTTCCTTGGGTTCTTAACCAATAGACTCTTGGGTTTTTAACACCAAGCCTGTCTGAATTGGAATAATTCACAAACCCGAAAATACACAAAACTTGCGGCCATTTGGGGATAATTCTCCTTACAACTCCCATCATTCCAGTGAGGTCACAGCGAGGTCGTTATACTTCATGCAGATACATTCCATTATCTCACCATCGATTTTCCCATATTTGGAAAGTAAATCACATGATATTCCCAGGAAATCAAACGCGGCGCAGGCTGGAAACCCACCCAATTTATAGATGGTGTTTCCATTTTTATAGCTCCATTTAGTGCGGGATTTCCCCATTCATCCACCACCAAGTCATGGCCGGTCTGTCTCGGATTCCATAGGTCCCCCAGCTGGTGATCGCCACAGTCTGGGCCTGAGATCCCAGCTCGGATCAAGCTCGGATGGGAAAATCCGAAAACCCAGCTGGATGTTACCCGGCCTGGTAAACATACAGAAAACGAACTGGAAAGATCCACCATTTTCTAGCTGGGTAAATCCACTATTTCGACTGGGCCATGGCTTCAATAGCTTTTTGTATGTTTACCAGAGGGTACATGGGCTAACCCCCACGATTGGAAACCTCCAAATGTCTGAAAACCTTGGTGATTCTCCAGGTGTAACTAAGCAATTAGTACCTACGTTTACTTCATTTCACCGTGTTTTTTGTGGAAATGATTGCTTAAACTTGGTGAATACAAGTTGATGATAAAACTTGGTGAAAACAGATTATCATCCACCCAGCAAAAAGGGGTGAAACACCATCAACAATGTTGGGGCTCAATGGGATCAAATGGTCTACAATCAACAAGAATGGGTATTAGACCAGCAACAGGCCGTGTAAATATTGAACGGTGGAAATGACTAGTTAACCTAGGTGAAATGGTTGCTTAAACAACCAAATTTTGGATCTGGCCAGCGAAAAATGTGATTTTTCACCACGAAGCATTCGGATATAAAGCAGCAAAAATGTGGTGTAACACCATTGTTTTTTACCAGGAGATCATGAATGTCCTAGGAGAAATCACAAACAAGATAATTTCGGGGCTGTCCAAAACTGCCCAAAAAAATGGTGGGGTTATAACAAAATATGGGTGAAAAATTCGATGTAATAGGATAAAATGGGATATAGAATCAATAAGATATCTGGCTGTGTCTGAATGGGGAAATTACTGGGGAAGATGGGATGTTGAACCATGGGATGGAATCGGGTAAGCTATTTCAGACGAAGCATTTTGGGCGGTTGGGACTGACCAAACATCCTTGCAACTGGTTTGGTGGTTCGGATGCGAACATGATCAAGAATCTTTTGGGGCTGCAAAAAAGAATCGGGAAAACTTACCGAAAATATCATGCAAAAAACCATCCCGGCAACTCTTTGAATAGGAAAATAACTAGACGATCTATGCGGTCTCTCATGAAGGGTGGGCCACATTGGGTGACCCAAACAGGGTAGCGCCCAAATAGTGGATAGCAAGTCCCCTTTTCCTCTGGCTATCACATATCCATGCCGAGCTATGGTTGGTTACACAATGTTACACACCCATTTCATCTCATCATTGTTATGCTGTGAAATATCCTGAGCTAGGTAAATATATATATATAATATATATATGTATACACCGGCGAGTTTTCTCGCATTTCTTTGGCTGCATACTGTGATACTGCGGATGGTTGCTGGTGATACCCGGATTTCGCGGGCCCATCCACAGGGCCCAAAGCCATGAGCACAGAATCCCAACAAAAAGGTACCCGGCCTGGTCAACATACAAAAAGCGAACTGGAAAATGGTGGATTTATCGTGGATTTACCCATTAATCGCATGGTGGATCTTTCCAGAGTTTTCTGTATGTTTACCAGAGGGTAGCATCAAAGACACGCCAATCCTCGCCAATCCCTCGCCAAGTGGCAATTCCAGTCGCCATCCTTGAAATCCTGGGGACTTGGCCGAAGAAAAGATGTCCCCGAGCGAAGTTACACAGAATGGTAACGTGTTGAAATGATTCTACCTTCCATACAACTATCTAAATATATCAAAATATATCTAATTATTAGTCTAATTCTATCTAATAATGTTTTAAGCATCTATATCCTCTATATCACTAACAGCTGGCTGATATTCCGATAGTTCATTTAAAAAACAACGGGAGATTCACCAGCAAAACCGAGGATGGCAACAATTTTTATCCATCGATCCATGCCACAGCAAGGTTTTCTCAGGCAATCTCAACCCATGATTTACAAATCCTTGGCCAAGCCATGTGCAGCATTTAGCCCGTTTCCAGATGTTCAGAAGAATGTTCACTGTTTCGGTGAACCCACGTATTTTTGTTCCCCAAACGCAAGAGTTTCTTCATCCAGACTCAACATGTCCTCCATTGACAGGACCAACAAAAAAAAGGGCACCGACAGGCAACAGTTCCAAACATTTGGATCAAAATCTGGATTTGGAACAAAGCAAGGCCACCATTCAACCCATTCAATTTGATTCTTGACATATCATGATATATCATGATCTATGGTTATATACTAATATATCACAATATATGTATATTACATATATATATAATGGTTCTTGATATATATACCTTGATACACCTGGATATATTGATACATATATATATATCATGATATATCACAATACTTCACCTACCGAGCAATAGTCCGACCATCTACAACTCCTTCCCCCCGGGCGGCCCGGGCCGTGTTTCTGACTGCAGGCGCAGTGATCTGCGGCTCCGGGCGCGTTTAAAAATGGAGAGATATTGGCCCCAATTGTGGCAATTCTAAGAGGGTTTGATAGATTTGATAGTGAATTGGAAGGGTTCTATAGATTTGATAGGCATGTCTAAGCCTCTATACGTCTACTTTCATAGTGAAAACGAGGATTAAGCAGACAACCCCATCCATCTCAGCTTACGGCCCCAGGTTGCAATTTTCAAACAAACCCATAGCGACTTAAATAAAATCACTGATCATCATTCAAAAATCTGGCGATCGTGATGAATATCTCTCGATATCTCTCGCCTTCGCAGGTTTTGGTGCCCCACACTTGCGGCAGGAAGCGTTCCGCCCGAACCTTGGCAGTCGGCGTGGGAGCTGCTCACTGGCACCAATTTTTTTCATGGCGAAGCGCTCACATGAGAATGGATACCCTCATTTAAAATAAGCTTCAGCAGTACCCCCAACAGCCGCAACGTTTTATTTTTACAAATCTTTCTGAAGCGTGCTGCGAAGCCAAGCGCCGGAAACACCTCAGCTGCGATTCCGTGAGTTAAATGCCCGCAAATCCTGTTGAACCTGACCTTGGCTCTGCACCAAAGCCTCCCAGACCTTCTCGGAACCCTGTTGAACCTGACCTGCATGGCTCTGCACCGAAGCCTCCCGGAACCTTCTCCGGAACCTTCTCCGGAACCTTCTCGGAACCTTCTTCGAAACCCTGTTGAACCTGTTGGAACCTGACCTTGGCTCTGCACCAAAGCCTCCCAGACCTTCTCCGGAACCTTCTCCGGAATCTTCTCCGGAACCCTGTTGAACCTGACCTCCATGCCTCTGCACCGAAGCCTCCCGGAACCTTCTCCGGAACCTTCTCCGGAACCTTCTCGGAACCTTCTTCGAATCCCTGTTGAACCTGTTGGAACCTGACCTGGCCCTGCACCAAAGCCTCCCGGAACCTTCTCCGGAACCTTCCCCGGAACCTTCTCCGGAACCTAACCTGGCTGTGCACCAAAACCTTCCAGACCTTCCTCCAGAACCCTGTTGAACTTGACCCGGCTCTGCACCAAAGCCTCCCAGACCTTCTCCAGAACCGTGTTGAACCTGACCTGGCTCTGCACCAAAGCCTCCCAGACCTTCTCCGGAACCTTCTCCGGAACCTTCTCCGGAACCCTGTTGAACCTGACCTGGCTCTGCACCAAAGCCTCCCAGACCTTCTCCGAAACCTTCTCCGGAACCTTCTCCGGAACCCTGTTGAACCTGACCTGCATGGCTCTGCACCAAAGCCTCCCGGAACCTTCTCCGGAACCTTCTTCGAAACCCTCTCTGCACCAAAGCACGCACGATGACTTACTGTGAACCTTTGAGACCATCTCCAGCAGCTGCCCTCATATGATGTTGGCATTGCTACAGCATGGGATTGCATTCAGACATGCTAACAAAAAAAGGAAACATTTGGTCAAATGTTCCAATAATTTCGACCTTATAATCTGAACCAAGGAGGTTTCACAGCAAAGTGGTTTGTCTTACAAGGTCTTTCATTCACTTGGTGAAGCGCCAAAGCTAACTTTATATTGCTTTTTGTAAGTTGGTTGCTCTGCATTGGTGAAACACATCGGCTTCACCCGGCGGTCCTGCATGTGACTATGCTGGCTGTCCAAGCTATGCTCAATGATCAATTCGGACCGTCCCAAATTTGTCATCGCAATATTGCGACACCTTTTAAACACTGCCAAAACCTGCGGCTCAAAGCAGCTGTTTTTTACAAAGCACTGCAGGAAGGCAAGGTCTAGCACAGCATCTGCTGCTTTGCAAATAAGGCCTCTACAATTCTGGCGCTGTACCTAGCAATCAAAAAAAAAACTCTCCCCGGCAAATACCGCACAATGCTTAGCATGTTTTTGCAATCAGAGAAACCTGGCCCTAGTTAACAACCAAAAAATAAGGTCCCGACAGACAGCGGCCATTGGAAAATTTTTCGGACCCCTGTTCAACCTCACCTCCCGGAACCTTCTCCGGAACCTTCTTCAGAACCCCGTTGAACCTGACCTGGCTTTGCACCAAAACCTCCCAGACCTTCTCCGGAACCTTCTCCGGAACCTTCTCCGGAACCTTCTCCGGAATCTTCTCCGGAACCTTCTCCGGAACCTTCTCCGGAACCCTGTTGAACCTGACCTGGCTCTGCACCAAAGCCTCCCAGACCTTCACCGGAACCTTCTCCGGAACCCTGTTGAACCTGACCTGGCCCTGCACCAAAGCCTCCCAGACCTTCTCCAGAACCTTCTCCGGAACCTTCTCCGGATGCCTGTTGAAACTGACCTGGCTCTGCACCAAAGCCTCCCAGACCTTCTCCGAAACCTTCTCTGACCTGGCGCATGCACCATTGCACACCGGAGCTATTCTGGGCTCAAGACCCCTTTAGCTTACACTGTGGGGGAAAAGCCAAAAGACATTGTAGTAGTAATGATCTTTAGCTAGTTAGTATCTCTTAGATTATCTCAGTATTGTGTATATATATATATATACGTATATCCATCTGTTATCATTAATGAACCGCCCTGAATCAGGTGATGTTTCAACCTCACAGTTTCCTATACAGCAAATTGCACAGAAAAGGAAAATTGATCATATTTGACCACCGAAAGATGATGTTCCACAGGAAATAGAGGAAGCCCACCTGGATGCTGTGGATGCAGCACCCGAAAGCTCTGAAGCTTTCGAAAACATGGCTGGGGTGTCATTGGGCTGTGGCGGCCACTGTGTGCCCTTGCAGTTCTGAATGAGAAATATCCCAGGATTAGTGTCAAGGAAAATTTGCAGGAAAATGAACATCGGATGCTATTGGTTCAATCTACTAAAATATCCTTTGAATCGTATCAAAATATCCCTTGAATACTATTGGTTTCCTCCGAAAGTTCCCTAGAAAATCAAGCCAGTAAAGGTAACTTGTGATCAGAAGATAGATAGCAAAGTACTACACCTGCAAGGTGCGTTTGTGCGTTTTTATAGTGAATCAATAATGAACTATACACACATTGCGCCATCCACATTTTGGGATATAGATTATAGTTAATAATCCTCACATAAATAAATGTGGATGAACATACTATCCAGATGATTATGGCGCTACCATTTCATGAACCAATAAGATACCAATTTGGGATATCAATTGTAAGGCCGGTGAGTTTTGAAAGGAACATCCAAAAACAAACGTAAACCTACAGGGTGGTGCCCTAAAGTTGTAAGTTGGTGTTTGTTAACCCATCTGATTATATGTAGATATATTCTATTATAACCCTAGTTTTTCCACCAATAAACCTATTTACCTATCTAGGTGGAGTGTCTGAGCCTTGGTTTGGTAATGTGGCTGCCATAGATGGAGAGTCCGTCCCCAACTATTGCATCTTGAAAAATGCATTGATGTGACGTTTTTCCACGGGGAAAAAAGACATGGTTTACATCCCAAAAATGTGTGGCATGATTTTTTTATGTCTATCAAAATCTATTCCCATAGACTCCATAGACTATGTATGTGCAAACATCCAGTGTATTCCTTTTTTTCAGAAAAAATTAATTACTGTACTATATCCTAGTGAGAGTATATATATATATTATATGTGTCTTATTGAAAAATCAATGGCCTATGTAAGGGAATATCCCCACAAAATATGCCCTTATATGGTACAGTACCTCCATTTTGGGATCCTGGAATTCCCATTGAAAGTACGGCAACGGAGGACACATCAACTTCACCGAGGCACTGGTAATCACCACATTGAGGGCCTCGCCAAAGAGATGCGTATGTCTCCGAGAAGGTTCACACACGTATGTAATATATATATATATATAATATGGTTTCCTGGAATGGGGGTACCCCAAAATGGATGGTTTATAATGGAAAATCATACTAAAATAGATGATTTGGGGGGGGTACCCCTATTTTAGGCAAACTCCATATAGATAGAGAGAGAGAGCAACCCCAAAAACGATAGATGTTCGTAATTTCTCACTATGCCAGTATATGAATTTACCAAGTTCTATCTTTGTGGGGGTTGCTATAGACATCAAATACGTATGTATATTGGGTTTGTCTTTGTTTCACATGCCTATCTTGCTGTATGTGCATATTTATCATATGTATTTTATATATATAATACCCATAGTAGCCCTATTGCTTCAGTTTGCTTTATAATATGTATGTCATATTTATGATATGTCTTTTACCATCTGGTTATTTGACATAGCCATGGAAAATGACCAATTTATAGATGGTTTACCTATTAAAAATGGTGATTTTCTATGGCTATGTTAAATAACCAGATGGTATATATCATACCGAATCATACCCCATGAAAACACGGCCATTTTTCGGGGGTCCCTCTGGGCTCCAGACAATTCCAATCACCGCTGGTATCCTGCACGGCACGGATTTTTATGCAACCAGAACAAATGCTACACCTCCAGAAGTCTACATATTTATAGTCATAGATCTATAAATCATTTTAAAAAAAAGTGAAGGTGAATGCTTCACATGTTACATATCTATAGTATCTATAGTCTATAATTTACTGGTTGGTGGTTTCAATCCCTCTGAAAAATATGAAAGTCAGTTGGGATGATTATTCCTAACTGAATGGAAAGTCATAAATTCCATGGTTCCAGTCACCACCAACCAGTATATTACCATGATCATCCCATGTATATATCCCATGAAATATCATCCCAATGTTCATGGTGCAGTGGGATGATCATGGGATATATCAACCCTCTGGTTACATATCTATAGTCTATAGTTTAGATCCGATAGCCTATTTTCAGACAGTGTTCCGATCACTTCATCTGCCTGTGGATTCCAACTGCCTTGGTATCCACAGTTCTAGACTGAAAGCGCCACTTTTTCCCAGCGAAAGAATCTACGCATTTTAAACAAACTGAACGAAGCTGTGAACTTACCCTTTAAATCACTGAAACACCAAAAAAAACATAAGATCAACGGGGAAAGAAACATTTATCAGAAAGTCACACTGGGTTAACCGATATTTGTTGTCCAAAAATCACCCGTTGAAACCCACAAAGGGCCGAAATCGGGTCCTCCTTCTGCTGAGAGGAGGGCGCCACCTTCATGATGGGTCGCCCCGAAATGGTGGCCCGGGGAGCCTCCGCCTGCGATTCCATGGGAAAGTCATGGTATTTTTTTTGGATCTAAATTGATCATCATTTCAGAAAATTTCCATCTAAATTGATCATCTAAAGTTCAGAACATGTTCACAAGACTAATTTGTGGGAAAAGATGAGTTCATCATTCTGAATCATTGATTGGAAGACCCCCGACTGGAATCCATGGGGGAAAATCTGAGGACATGGATCGTGTTTCACACGAGTGGTTTCAGGCTGGAGAGTGAGTTGCTCACCATCAAAGATGGCATGAGCCAGGTCGCCATCAATACAGTAGGGATGAACTTTTCATAACTTTTCTATGTCATGGTGTCTTAAAATGAGGGATCCCCAGTCGTCACCATGGTTGTTTCAATACTCAAATGGTTTAATGACTTGGATGATTTGGGGATACCCCTATGACTCAACGGAAACCTCCATGTGTTGGGCCCAAGTCACTGCCTTTTTTCTAAATGAAGTTGAACAACGGGGGTATACCCAGGTCCCCGCTGGAACCATAGTTGAAGCTGAGCTGCCCCGGCGTCTCTGGCAGCACCACATTTCCGGCAGCTGGTGTTGCGCGCAAACTGATGGTCACCGCAACTGGCGCAGTGCCAATCCCCCTGCGGAAGAGAAAAAACGGAGGAAAAACCCGCCTGTTTCGAGGCAGGAATTGAATTATTTGAATTGGCAACCGGGAATGAAGCATAAAGATTGGAGTTTCTTGGCCCATTTGATAGCTTGATATATTTAGATGAGATCAATACTTCTCACTGGCTGTGAGATGAAAAAAATCCTTGTGATGATTAAATCTGTTGAACTCCCCATTTTTGTTCTTCAAATGTCAATTTCTGTTGATTCAAATGCCAGTTTTTTTTAAGTCATATTCCTGCTTCCTGTCGGACAACCCCCATGTTTGTTTTGCTAAATCAGTGGAACCCCAATTTTTTGTTGGCAAATATGCCCTTTGTTGGTTTATTAAATCCATAAAAACCCGATCAAGGTTTGCATATATCTTTATTGCCTCGTGCCCCCCCCCTCTTTTTGGTCCAACGTCTAGATATTTGGTTGGTCAGTATCCCCATGTTTATTGATTAAGTCAGCAAAATGCCTGGTGCTTTACTGATGAAATATCCATTCTGGGCTGGTGGTTTTCCCCTAAGATTGTTGCTAACATCACTACAATGCCTAGTTTGGGTTGGTTAATCTCATTTTCCTTGGTCAATATCCCTGGTACTGAACATGTCTTTTTCAAATTCTTATTCAGTTGGTAGAACCTCCAATTTTCTTGCCATAGTCGAATCCCCAATCGTTATGATTTTGACCCATACCCAGATAATCATAACATATCATAACCAGCCCATGATAGAGGCTCACACTATATATATATAATTATATATATAATAGTTGGATATTGGTGATATAGTTAGTTAGTATTCATAGTAATCGTTAGTAACCATGATTGAAGTTAGTATTCTCCTACTCCTTAGTGAATCAAAAACCCTTGGACCTGTACCATCCCCTCGCCTCCTTAAAGTCCATCGCCATCTCTGCCCCGCTGAGCCAAGGGCGTCGATTTTTTCGGTGAGTTCAACCAGAAAACTGCCGGGCGATTCAGAAATGGATTGGTTTAAGGGAAAATTTACAGGAAAGCCCCATATTTAATGCGAAAATAACTCTGGTTTCCGGTTAAGATTTTCCCTTAAACCAATCCATTGAGATTCAGAAATGGATTGTGTAATTTTCTATGGATTTTTGGGGTGGAAAACGGTGCAGTCGGTGCAACTACGGTGCACTGGGTCCCCATTGCAAAATAGATGCTACGACAAGCTCGGAGGGTCCACTTGGATGGATTTTCTCCTCGATTTTTCCGTCTGGGAAATGATTTACCCTCTGGTAATTTAACATAGCTATTGAAAATGACCATTTATAATGGATTTACCCATTGAAAATGGTGATTTTCCATAGTTTTCTGTATGTTTACCAGAGGGTCTCTCCCCAAAAGCCATGGTGCCAAATGATGCCGAAGATTTCAACATCTTCCAACCCATCCTTCATCAATCAGGCAGAAACTCACTCTCTGAACATGTTGCTATTTAAATTGCCATCTTGCAGGATATACCCCCCTTTTCAGACACAGTTTTATATCCACCTTTCATATCTTGTATCCCTATATTTTGGTCTAGAAAACCCATCTTAACACTTTTTATCACCACCTTAACATTGTTTTTTCCCATTTATATCGTGTTTCATATCCCATGATATCACCGTAATGGTATCTTGTATCTCCATATTCTGCGAAATCACATCTTACCATTCATAATATCCCATATTACATTAATAATATCCCATTCATATTAACACTAACCATTAACACCATTCATATTAACACAACAATTTTCATATTCCCATTAATAATATCCCCCATGAATACATTACAGTAATAATATCCCATATCCCAGTAATATTTCATCTTCACAAAACCAGCCAGTGACCCGCACCATTTTTTCCCCAGCTGCACAACCCCCGCAGCCATCAGAGAAGTTGTCGCAGATTCTCCAACTCTTGCTGCAACTCCTCCCGGACGAATGGGACCCTGAAGTCGGCACTCATACAGATAAATGTGTATTAAATGCGACTATAATATATATAGCTATATAAAGTACATATATAGTATGTATATATATATATATAGTATGTGTATACATATAGCATATTAATTGCATGCAAGGTTAATATATATATAATATAATAGTATATAGATATATATATATATAGTACTATATATAGTACATATATATATATAGTACATATATATATAGTACATATATAAGTACATTTATATATATAGTACATATATATATATATTACATATATATATATATAGTACATATATAAGTACATTTATATATATAGTACATATATAGTACATATATAGTACATATACAGTACATATATAGTACATATATAGTACATATATAGTACATATATAGTACATATATAGTACATATATAGTACATATATAGTACACATATAGTACATATATAGTACATATATAGTACATATATAGTACATATATAGTACACATATAGTATGTGTATATATAGAGTATTTGTATAATATCAGATAACTATAAATTACATCTGTATCGAATTGTGTGGTTTGCAGCTTTGCAAAACCATGCGTTTTTTTCTATCAACAACGGTATGGACCCTCAAACTGGGTCTCCCCAAATGTCTTAAATCGGGACAGGCCCCGGTCAAATCTCAAGGCCTTCCACACCTTTGCTTTCACTAAGGTAAGCCAGCATGGTGATGGTTATTTTTCCCCATGATTTCCCATAACAATTGTGTTTGTTGATTGTAATTACCCCCAATTCCATCCCAAATCGGAATAAGTTGTATCCCCACTTTTCGCTCAGCTTGAGATTTGAGGATCCTCCTCCTGCGTCGTCAGCGATTTGACTTCCGTCACTGCCTGCCGCACGGTCAACGAGTCATCTAGAAAAAACGCCCTCGATGAGTGAGATCGAAAAAAACCCTGCTGAAATCATGAGTTGGTGACTTTTGAAACGTCCAGAGACCATTTCTGTGCGATAGAAATCTGGCTCCGAATCCCCAGCATGTTCGACCATAGCTCCCCCCCAATGGCGCCTGCTGCACCAATGGCACCGGCAATGGCAGCTTCATCTCCAAAGCGTTCTGTTGTAACCTGAAAGTCACGCAAATGGCTGGTGATTGGCATTGACCATGGAACCTTGCAAGTATGGATGCAATTCTTATCAATTCTTCATATACCATCAGATGGTTCTTACATCCTGACCTCTTGACCATCCAATAATGTTAGCAACCAACTTTGATCAAGTTGGGGGGTTGATAAAGTGGAAAGACAAATCCAGTAGTTGGAGTCTCACCTGGTTGCTTTATAGTACCCGTAAAAAGATTGAAGTTGGTAAAATCCGAATCGAAAATAGTGATAAATGATAAATGATGATCAATGACTAAATGATACTACATTTCGATATGTTTTGCAGTGTTTACCCTCTGGTAAACTAACATAACTATGGAAAATCACAATTTTCAATGGGAAAACTCACTATAAATGGCCATTTTCAATAGCTACGTTAAATTATGAGGGGGGTACACCCCAGCTGAAATAAGCCACACCTCAACCAGCCCACTCCAAAGCCTCCCCTTCCCCAGGACTTGGCTCCAGGCAATTCGCCTCGCATGGCCTTCACCTGGTGGTGACCAATGGTGATCTCATAGAATCTTTACGGGATATGTTCATAGAATAGTCATTATTCATGGAACATGAGTGGTATATTGCTTGAGACCCGCAGTCAAACAGCTAGCCATGCCCCAGGCACAGCCAGCAGCCCATTTGGAGATGAGTCAATGGTTTGCCTTTTCAAAATGGAACAAAATTGGAAACTGGCGAAGAAAACACAGATGGTTTCGCCAGAATTGGATATTTACCCAGAAATTATGGATGAACCTATTAAAATAGCCCAATTAACATAGCCATCGAGCACGAATGGTTACAAATGGTTACAAAAAATGGTTACAGATGAACATGGATGAATACAAAAAATGCCCATCATTTGTAGGTGTTGAGATCACCTCACCCCTTGGTCTGTACTAGAAAACGCCGCAAAACTGCCCAGGGAGTGTCCGATCGCCCCGCCAAAAAAAGCAGGTAGAGTTTGGGGACAGCGCTGGAAGGGATTGCATGAACCGTGGGAAATCGTCAAGCTAGAAATGATTGAACAAACAAACCGACGCCTACACCAGGAAAACAAGCATGTCGAGCAACTTTGAACGCAAGGTCGACAAAATGATCTTGGACGAAAAAAAAAAAGAGCTGGAAATTAGCATGACACTTGCATCAATCAATCTCATCAATCACACGCACTTTTACCGCTCCATGACCCTTCACGACTTCGCCTGCTCTTCGTTGAGGGCAAGTCTTTGATCCTTGGCATCAAAAAGTGTGCCCGACGTGAAATGATCTTTATTTAATTTTTAATTTACATAATTGCACAATATTGCACATCTTTACTTCAAATCTCATAGTTTCGTTTCTAGAAGTGTTCATAATTGTTCCATTCTGGGTTTTCTGACAAATTAGATAATTACATATTATATATATATATATAAATATATATATGTGTATATAGCAGAAAGGCTTCCGCTGAATTGTGACATACCTGCTGGGTTCCGGACAAGTAATTGCACCGTGCGCGCCATGATCTCCAAATGACTTTGCCTCAAAATTCGGCTGAACCCAGACTCGGCGAATTGCCATGTCAAGTCGTTCAACAAAATCCTTCAAGACAACATTTCAGAAAGAACCAGTGTTTCAATGTGTTTCATATTTTTCCATGTTTTTCCTGCAAATGTTCACGATCAGTGTCAAGATTGCAACCAAATCTCCGGAAAACTCCCAGAAAAACCAAGGCTTCGCCGAGGCGCATGGTCTTCAAGGTCTCCGCCAGCGGCTGCGGCTCCTCCACCGCCTTCGTCGTGGCGTCTGCCATCACCGGCTCCGGCACCGGCGCCCGGGGCTTCGTCGTGGCGTCGCTTCGGCGCGGCGCAGGCGCCGCCGCGCGCTCCGGGGTGCTGACCGGGTGCCGGGGCGCTGGCGCTGGCGCTGGCGCTGGCGGGTCGGCCTTCAGGTTCCAGGTGAGGACCTGGCCGGGGGTCGTGGAAAGTCGTGGAAAATCCCCTGGGAAAGTCAGCCTGGAAACGACAGCAAAGATTTGGCCGGGATCACCAGGTGGTCACGAGAACCCGCTGCTAGACCTGGCTTCATGGATCAAGAATCAGGACTGCGCACCATTCTGTTTCCCACAAAAAAAAAGGATATTTATCAAATGATCTTCCATGATTTCCCAATATATCCATTAATATTCCCATGTTTTCCCAGATCTATGGTGGATCTGTTCATTTCTATATTGCATCCCATCGTCCCGTTTTGTCCGAGCTGCTCTGCCCGGAAGGTGAGAAGGCCTGGAGGACGACGTTTCGTCGTTTCGTCCCGTTTCGCGGCGAGGTGTTCCAGTTGGTAAAGCCAACATCACAAGCCATCCACCATTTACCGAATTATTCCATGGAGTCTATGGAAGACTATGCCTACTATACCCAAAAAGAGGTTCCTATAAGGGTTTACAGGTTTACCACCGATCCAGGTGTGAATTCTACCTGTTGCAGTTTCTCCAAAAAAGAAGCCCATGGGTTTTTCTGAAAATCGGATACCTCCAAGCCTCCAAGATTGCTGCTTCAACACCATTTTCCCATCTAAAATCTCATATTTGGGGTATCCCAACCTGAAAATCTTGGAAAATCCACCATCTCCATGGGATGATTTTCTTCATTTCTCCCACCGTGATGCCACCAATTTATTCTGTCATGAAACAATAGTGATTTATCACCAGTTTTGTAAAAAATCACCATGGCGAAATCATCTAGCTGGGTTTCCCTGACACACGCCGTGGGCGGCTTCTTAAGGCCAGACACCTGACGGCTCCGGGCGTGTCCAGATTGGCGAACCGAAGTCAGGCGATTTTTCTATAGAAAATCATATCATAACCACTGAATCAAATCTTTAGATTTTGGATCCATTTTTCAAGAATGGATCCATCAAATCGACAAGCTTCAGCACGTCTCCGAGGCAAATGCGAATCTGCGGCTGGAACGACACCCTCTTTGGTCGTCGTTACTTCAAGGACAATCTGAATGGGCTTCTCAACAAGATTATATATATATATATCAAATCAAATAACAACGTCTCCTCTACATGCATCGAGATATGATATGATAAATATCATAGAATCGTTTCTCTTCTCAATCTACAGATATCTACCGGGAATTTGTTGGTGCTAGCATTCTCTCACGAGTCCCTCCTTCCGTATGCCCTTTTTGTAGTTTACGGCCTCATGCATCAAGCGACCCTCACGAAGATTCCAGATTCGCAGTCCATCCTGGACCGATTTTCGGCGGTTTCCATCACTGACAGATCAAGAATTCCAACCTGGTTTTGCCTCTGGTTTCTACACCTCAGTGTTGGAAATCATATTTTGGAGGGAATTTATAGATGATCATCCATGAAACACTGGATACCGCAAAAATATGTTTAGACAAACTCAAGACAATCATGGAATTGTCCTGGCTCACCAACTATAACCCCAGGGAAATTTCGGGTGTTTACTTCCGAGCCTAGAAGATATCTTCAGTTGAGATCCTCCCGTAGATTTGAAAACAAGAAATCGTTCAAATAATGGACTGGTTTCAGGAAAAAATTAAAGGAAACCCCTATATTTCATGGGAGAATCCGTGGTTTCCGATCTTCTCTTAAACCAATCCAGTGGTTTAACCATCAGATTATTGGGCCACAATTAAAACTTTTAGATCGTGGCCCACCAGCAGGAGACTCTGGGAAGAAGTAAGTCTTCGTTTCTTACGGAGATATGAAATAAATACTCCTCCAACTATGACAAGAAACTGATGCATCCAATAAAACTCAATGTTGATCAATACGGGGGCCTTTTCCCACATCTTATTGTGGTTTTTTGTCCGTGTTTTTGTTGGTCATTTCCCCAGCTATGGTCGTTCAACTGATGTGCTGAAACCAGGTTTTTTTTGCTGGTGAACTCCCAATTTTTGCTGGTGAACATGATGAGATTTTTTGAGATTTATTGCTGCTTCAAATGCGGCTTTCTATATGTTTCTATGCTCATAAACCTATATAAACCTCGTGAAATCTCCATTTCTTGCTGGTTGAATCACGACGTTTCTGTCAGAAGCCTCGCCCGCAGACAGTAGCTGCTCACCCATGGGGTGGAAGTTGATGGATGCGATGGCACCTCACAGCAGGTATAGATACTACTGTGGATGGGAAAAAATAACTATGATTATGGTTTATACTATGGTATATCAATGGTATAGATATCAATGGTATAGATATCAATGGTATAGATACCATAATATATATATATAGATACCATAATATGGTATACACCAATTGATATACTATATGTGATTAGTTTTTATGGTATATCAATGGTATAGATACTACTATTGGTGTATACTATGGATGATTATTTTATACACCATTCTACCAATAGTATACACCAATATTATACCATTGGTAGGTTAGTTTATACACCATTCTAAGAAACCAGATTGAATCTATTGGTATCAACAAAAAAACTATCCAGTATCCAGTGGATCACTAGAAATTCTGGTTATCTACCCATTCAGTAAGCAAGAATTACACATATTAAGCATGAAATGATCCGATAGTAACTTAGTAACCATGGTAAAACCTGTGGATGGAGAAAAAATCTATTGCTATCCATAAAGTCTTCTACACTTTTTTATGGATTTTTGTTGATAAATCATCGACCATCCACAGGGATGGCTTCATGGATGTTTTCATAGCTTGTTTTGAAGATGAGGATTCTGGTGGCTTGCTCCAAACAACCTCACTTCGAACATTTTTTTTATCCCAATACTGCCACTATATATACCCACTATACATTACATGGCTATGGGCTATGGGTCAGTTCACCTACGGTGCTCACTCCTTTTCATTGCCAGTACAGCTGGGTACGTGAAAAAAAAACCTGCCACTTTCTTCTTGATCGAAAGCTGTGGCCACAGGTTCCAATCATCTCAATCATGAAGTAGTGGTAGGGAATCGTATTTTTCATGGGGGGAGTTGATCAATAGTGAATATCATTGGGATTCTCATGCTACTTATTGGGATAACTGGGATTGTCTCATTCCATCAACCAGTGCAACGCCACCTGAATGAGCGTCATAATGCTGGAGAAGCTTCCGCCTGAGCCGAAGAGATGGCAATGTGGCCCTGCTAGACATCTAAGACCAAACAACTGGTTGTTATAAATGTTCATCCTCCCATTCATACGCAAAAGTTTTACTCTGTCTTGATTCATCCGAAAATATTTCACACCTTTTGAGAGGGTACACACTATTCCACAACATACCCTCTGGTAAACTAACATAGCTATGGGAAATCACCATTTTTAATGGGAAAATCCACTATAAATGGCCATTTTCAATAGCTATGTTAGTTTACCAGAGGGTAAATCATTCAGATATTCCCATTGTGTCACTTGAGATCCCATGTCATTATCCGATGGGAATCAACCTGAATCAAGCTGTAAAATCTGCCAATTTTTGGAACCTTTGAAATTGACCTATGAATTGGATGAGAACTCGGCTGATCCCATAATCGTTTTATTGGTCATGCGAACTTCATGGGATGAGCCATCCCAAATCCCATGGTCCATGGTCCCAACTCCAATAGGTTGGTTTTTCAAAAGGCCAACAAAAATTGGATCCCGAATCATACTCTCAGTTGGAAAAAAAAACTATAAGTTACCTTTTTCGTGGCCCTTCGCAGATAATTGCAAGTTACCTGTACTGTTGAATTATAATTCGTCTCAGCAACCCTGTGATTAGAAGGATAGGACTATCCCAAGTTAGACAGACATGTTTGACGCATTTAAGTGTACCATTCTATATTATACCCCCATTCTATTTTCTCGTGTTGATTGAGAAAATCACAACACTTATATACACTTATGAGATTTTTAAAAGTTGACCAATGAGATCCAATGAGACCAAATAATCACAGTAATGTGGTCAACCTACCTGTTGGGAGACGGTTTTTCAATCCACCCATTTAAAAAAAAAAATGTGCCAATACGGCGATGGTTTTGAAAGCCACTAGGTAAACACCACATCAAAAATTTCTCAATGACCATGACACTGCTCGATTGGATAATAACTATCATTCCATGTGAGGCCCCCATTCGAGAACGCTAAGTTGGCGCCAATAAGTCCAAGAACTATGGTTTATGGTACGCAAATAAGTATAGTTACTGGGGCTTATAAACCAACTTATAACTAGGGGGCCTCACATTATTGGGTAAACACCACAATAAGAGCTATAACTACTGTATTACCCCATGAATATTTCGATGATTTCCCATTCAAACCTCCATAAAAAAAGGGATTGCCCAGAGGACATCCCATCCCATTAATTGTTGGTTACATTACATCTTTATATATATATATATACATACATATACATGCTGTTCCATTAATAGTCCATTACATATACATGTCCATTAATATAACCACTAACAACCATGAATAACATTGAATAACTATTAACCGTTAACCACGAATAACCTCTTTAGCAATCCATTGTGGTTATACCAATGGTGATACTAGATTGCACCATTAGCCATTGATATAACCATGAATATTCCATATGGATATCACTGGAATACATCATTATATCAATGGAATATAATAGATATCATATTACCATTAATATATCATAGATCAGTGGTATTATATACTAATGGTGATCATTAATATAACCATATTAGGTGGTATATATGTTATATCAATTATGAATTCCATGAATCATCATATATATATATAATGTTATATTCCATTAATATATCTATATATATATATATCAACATTATATCCATGAACCATCCTATCAACATATAGTCCATTAATTATCATGGGTCATTAAATGTCCCCATTGAACATCACCCAACCATTAGGTATATGGTCTAATGGCTACTTTTTTAGGTGATATCCAATATTCCCAAAATGGGACACTTACCAACCCCTGATTATTGCATATTCCATTGATATATCCATTGATATCCAGGACTCCCACGACCGCAGGTCCCAGAGCTTGATACAGCCATCCTTGCCGCAGGCGGCCACACTGGACCTGGTTCGTGCGTGCGACAGGGCGTTCGGTTCACCGTGGTGAAAATTGCCCTGTGGTAATTTAATGGTGTTCAATGGGATTTCTAGTTATTTAATGGAACTTTATATATAGTGATTCAATGGGATATTAATGGGATATACCCTCTGGTAATTTGTAACATGGCTATTGAAAATGGCCATAGAAATAGTGGATTTTCCCATGAAACATGGTGGATCTTTCCAGTTCGTTTTCTGTAAACGTTTACCAGAGGGTGCTGGCTGAAGCAACCAAAAATGGCGACCAAAAGTGCCGGTGATTTCACGGATTTTTTTTGCCATCAACAAATGTTGGGACGAAGGGATGAACTGGACTATCACCAGCCAATTCAGAAAATGCGAATTGAACTAATTGAACCAGGGAAAATGATGGTTCTAAATGTTCTAAATGTTCTAACAGGGAATTCCTGTGGATTTTCCCAAGCAAAATGGGAAGTTGACCAACATCAGGGATTAAAAAATGGTGATTTAACCCAGGGAGTGAACTGAGTGAACCAACCAAAAATGTGGATCTAACCAAGAAAAATGAGCGATTTATCAACAAATGTGACTTCATGGAATGAAATGGACATCAATGGACTATCACCAACAAAATTGCTGCTCAACCCGCAAAAACTGGGATAGAAATGGTTGGAATTGACCTTGGTGAAGCGGTGGTTGACGAGATTCATCTGCCAAAATTGGGTTTGAAGAATCAGAAATGGTAATTTAAACATATTTAAACACTCTAAATGAATGACCAATTGCTATTTCAATGAATAGAACCGGGATTTCACCCAGCAAAAAATTTGGGACCTTTCACCAAGAAAAAATGGGCATCAAGTCATTGGGGTCTTCATTGAAATCATCCAAGAATTCTAGGTGTTCTGACGGTGTTCTGGAATCTTCTGGAATCAGATGATCCAGATCAAAAGCAACTGACCAATCAAGTTCTTAAATTATATCAACTTGACCATTTAGCAATCCATTGTGGTTATACCAATGGTAATACTAGATTGCACCATTAGCCATTGATATAACCATGAATATTCCATATGGATATCACTGGAATACATCATTATATCAATGGAATATAATAGATATCATATTACCATTAATAATTAATCATAGATCAGTGGTATTATAGATATTATATACTCATGCTTCAATAAGATCAGTGTTTCTGACCTTTTCAAATGGCGACCTGACAACATTTGACGCAACGGCTGCGTTGGCTGCGGGCTGCGCACCCATCAGGATGGAACTTCGCCTTGGACACCGGCACCTGGAAGTCCGGGAACGTCATGATGGAGACCTGACGCCGTGACCCAAGCGCGCCAGGATGAAGTCATCATTTGTTGTTGTTGTTGTTGTTACAGTAGGTTAATTGATGTTAAAGTTAATTCTAATGGATTAGTAATGTAAAATTACTATTTCATACGATTTCATTCGTCATGAAATGTGTTTTGCTCTGTAATTACCCTTCAGTGTCATCAAACATGGCTGGGAAATCCCAACGGAGGTTTATAGCTGGGAAAATGATCGCGCCAAATGTAGAAATGTGAAATGCTCCATTGCGGTGTTTGACTACCAAAAAAGAACTGATGATTCAACCAATTGGAAATGCCTACTTTTGCACCGAGGTTTTAGTTAAGAAGAACAACCAGTTCTTCTTAATGGTCATAAAAATCAGTCAATTTTGGGATGCGCAATTTTGCCCAACTCCCATTTAAAGTTTTGACAACTAGAAATGTTTTTTTGGGAAACTGGGGATCACCTTCCAAACCACTACGACCATGCCTTCTTTTCCACATCCCAGATTCGCACCAGTCGATCCTGTCCAGGTTTCGGGGTAGCGACGGATGGGAAATCTTGCGATGGGATGGGATACTCATCTCACCGTGGTGGAAGCCTCAGTGTTGTTCCAGGAAGTTGTGGTTGATCTTGGCATTGCAGGGAAAATCACCTGTTGGTGCTGACCTACTTTTTTTTTTTTTGGCAACCACCATTCCAACTCATTCCATGTCGACATGTCTCAAAATTGTCAAAATTGGGTCACCCATGGAGTCAAAAAAATGGGCATTCATCCTAAGGTAGAGAAGCAATCCTATTTGGGATGTTTTTCAAAATTGATTTTCGCTAAGAACCATCGTTCCCAAGAAGAAATAGCCCAATTCTTAGGATGATTTCTGGGTACCCCCTAACCACCTACTTGGATGCACGTCTCAGTTGGCAAGTGGTTTATCTCCAAAATCAATCTTATTGTGATTTCCATACACTACAGGCTTATTCAATATTGTCACAAAAAAAATGTACTTCTCATATTGGCTATATATATATATACACCCTTATCGCCCATTGCATCCCCACATATTCATTTTGTTAGTTATAATCTGTATATACATATATAAGTATATCTGTTATACATATTATATGTATATCTCTGGTTTTGCATAATTCATATATGATTCATATGGAGGTGTCCTAAGTAGGGCTACCCCCAGTCATCCATTTGGTACTCCCATGGCCATGGATGGCCATGGGGGTACCCCCGAAAATATTGATTACATATATAGATATATAGATATATACTTATACATATATCTGTTATACATACATATACATATATTCCCTATGGATCCAAAATGCTGCCTGAGAAGGTACTTAACCCCCTAAATCATACCCCAAGTACTTCCTAAGAAGGTACTTGGATCCATAGGGATTATATATATATATGTTTCACATGTATATAGTTCATATAACATATTTCTACAATTGGAACATACCCTATCGCACCTCACCGGCAGAGGCCACCAGCTCAGAGTTCTTGGAGAAGTCTGCCGAGTAGACCTGGCTAGATGGGCTCATATTTCTAGAGATTTCGGTGGAAAAAAAATAGGGAGAAGATAGATAAAATTAGAAATGTACATGATTATTAGTTAATACTAATGAATATATGGTTGTACATTAGATGTATAGTATTTATCTAATGTACAACCATTAATCATGTACAACCATTAGATAATTACTAATAAAATGTACATGATAAAATTAGTTAATACTAGATTAAATTATAGATCATTAAAAAAAGTATATAAATGTATATAATAAATAATACATGAGTTGATATACAGTATGCCCTTTTTTTCATGGGGAAATCGATCAAAAAACACCTTCTTAAATTTCACAAAGGCCGAGGCCGCGAGACGCGAGACGCGACCGCTTCATGGGCCATGGGGATATCATGGGATTTGCAACCCGGAATTGGAGCTACACAGTTTCAATGGTGGATGATGATCCCATGGATTAAAACAAAATAAAGGGGATAATTTTATAGAAATCATGGGGCTATAGTTTCACTTGTGGATGATTTTTGCCAATGATCCTAAAAAAAAACAAATTGTAAGAGGAACTAAGACAGGAGCCAGGTTGTCCTGGGTTACTGCGATGGGTTACTGCGATAGTGATACACATCTTATTTGCTGTTCGATTAACCTATCAGCAGTCCGTACTTGGTGGTTCATTCCACGAATCCTAAGTCGATTGGTTCGCCCCTGTTCCAAGTGGATTATATAAACCCACTTCTCCCAGTAACAAAACCACGGATATAAGCTATTTGCAACTCATAGGATGGATGGGCCACCAAGTATCTTAGTGGTTAATATATCATGGACCACAAATCATTTTTGTGAAAACTAAGGTTACCTAATCACCTAATCATAGAAAGTTAAATCCGAGAAGTCAACTCACGAGCTTTCTGGAATCTTCGTGGTTTATACCCCAAACCTGGGATGAGAAATCATGGAAAAAATCGCAGAAGATATCGTTAGATATTCCACGTATATTTTTTGGGGTAATGAAACATGAAAAACTTGAACATGGCGATATTCCAGATATAAGTGATATAAGTGTTTAAGTCTTCTGGTGTAAGTTATAATCCAATTAATTAATCTAACTGTCCATATTTCATGGCTATATGAAACATATATATATTTATATTATACAATTTATAGACATATATGCAAAAGGATGGTTTCACATATATGAAAGACACAAAAAGAACCAAAACAACTGGCTCCCGCGCACTCCCGAAGGTGGGATTTCAGAGAACAGAGGTTTTTGTTAACCAAACTCTGGAAAAAATTGGAACATGAACCAAGAAAACTTGTGATTTCACCACCATAACAGGTTTAAAAAAATGTTAAAAACAGCAACCGGCAAGCCTCCGATCCTCCCCTTCCAGGATGTTTTTCATGGATCAAAGGTTCGCCGAGTCCATTGGCAAATAAACAACTTCCGTCTCCCCTGGAAGCCGGGAAAAACGATGACCAGCCTATCCAGAACGGAAGCGATCCAACGCACCCTGGGATCTGAGTCAGAGAGTAACGATCCAAGGCTTGAGAACATTATGCCAAAACAAACCTGAACAGTGTTCAAACCCAAAATCCACTGAAATTGGCTGGTTGGGAACAATTTTTTTTATGGCCAGCTGATAATCCCCAACAGACCTGGTAGATTATTGATAAGCTCCTGGAATCAACAATCAACTAGGGTTTTGGACACTGCTCAACTTTCATCTCAGATCAACACTCAAGACCACGGTGACCATAGGGCGCGTAGAGAAAGGTGAGACTGAAGAAAAGGGTCAGTGAACCAGTGGTCCTCCAAGGCATGTGTTGCCCGTATTCCAAATCAATCTTGAGACCGGGACGCACCTAGACAACCAGACTGCGTTTAGGTGCGATGTTCATTTCCGCCTCAGGCTTGCTCTTCCATCATGGCAGCCGGCCCCAAATATAAAGCCAATGGTCAGCACGACGCCGTGCTGAATCTACGTGCTCAATGGCCCCAAAAGTGAGTTCATCATCTCCACAGCTAAGTTCTTACTAATCACCCATTATAAGCCCAAGAACTAACCAGGGCTTAGTGGCTTAGTGGTTGATTACCCCATCAGAACGCACTTTAACAACTGGGCACTGCCACTCAGTGGCTGTTTTGGATCGGTCACAACGCGACAGCCAGTGAAAAAACGGCCGTTAGACTTCGCACGGACCCTCACCCGGAGCAATCCAGGCTCGGGGGTCGCCCGAGGGCCATGAAGACAGCTGCCGGAGGAAAGTGTAAATCTCCTGCAGCAAATAGGCGACCGTCGGACTGGACGTAGATTTGGGGGCATAGACAACGTTGAAAAACCTGAACAATCATGGGGAAATATCATCCAACTACCAGCCTCGAAACACTGTTCGATCTTTTTTGGGGGGCACCATAACGGAAAATGTGCAGGAACCCCCATATGCAATGGTACAAAATGGGTGACTCAGAGATATTTCCCTTTGACCAACCCATTGAAAGTGCTGGCTTCTAGCAGTAACCACAGGAGATATCACTATCGGATAACATCAACAATATGATTTTCTCGAGTTTCTCTGAAAATCAGGTACATGTACCCCAAGCCTGGCCAAGACCTGATGATACCTGGCCTGTTTCCCTTCTGAATGGTGTCATGTCCCATGGGGGTGCGCAGTGCGCTCGCCTCGTCCTGCACCGTCTGTTGGTTGAGGAAGAAGACTTTTTTTTGCTGCTGAACCTGACGGACCTCAAACGTGGCACGGACCTCAAAACGTCCTCTACAAACTCTTCGGAAATGTGCAATGGACAAACATACCCAAAAACACTGATGAAAAACCAAAAATGCAACTTCCCTTGCAAGACTACACCAAAAAGAATTGCAACATATAAATATAAAGGTTCTACATCCCATGATATTTCATGGTATCTCCACACGTTGTTGGGATTCTTAGTTATACATCTGCAACTTCGAACAAAAATCATGGATACATGATATTCACCGATACTGATATATGGCTGATTGAGTCGCTTATTCACCTTAATGTATCTCAATGTTAGTTGAATATTGTGGGATGATTAACTAACATTCTAGTTAACTTAGTTAACTATTATATATCCATCTTAATATTAATCTTATGGGATGATTAACTAACATAAAATAACTTAGTTAACTATTATAGTTAACTTAGTTCATTATTATAGTTCACTTACTTAACCATGATTTCACATTCCCATTTTTACATTCGTGAATTTCGCTGCCCCGATGTCTATCGAAGCTGCCCAGGCGCCACTTCTTCCAGTCCCGGGAAACGTCCGAAGAACTTCTCTTTGGACATCGCCATCTTCGGCCTGGGAAAATGTGGCTGGTAAAGCTCTACCATAAGGGGAAAGGACTACTATCAAGTTACTATAATGATCTATGATGGAAAAAAAAAATGTCATTTAAGACTTTGATGGGTTTTTTTTATAGTTAGACTCAATTATGTGCATCTATGATTTGAGATCATTCAAAAACTAGAAATGATTTGATTGTTTTTTTCACGCAGCGGCAAACGATTTCGAGATATCAACAGTTTGCGCCACTCCACGCATCTTTTGAATTGACAGTCGACAGACTATCTCTCAAGAGCCATGAGCCATCTGTTTTGACTTTGGAGTACTGGGACTTAGCGGTATAATGGCTATAGGGAGATTACAGAGATATCATCAACCTTTTTTTGGTGAGGTCATGGGATAAATGGGATAACCAACTATGATATATAAATGGTTAAAGGTCCAAATTTTTTATGACCCCAAAATTGAAAAAATGCGGAGTATCATCATCTTCATGAAAAAACTGCCATGAATTCGGAGTAAAAAAAAATCAGACCCGTCTCAGAGCTTCAAATACCTCCCAGGCACGACATCAACAAGCTGATGGCCACCGACAGCCACATCGCGCGCGAGCGTTGCCGCAGGTTGGATGCGCAGCCGTAGGCCACGTAGCACTCGCCCGTGTCATCGGTGACTTCTCCTCTGGCCTCGGGGATCAGTCGGGGTGGTTTGGTTGGTTTTTTTGCTGGGAAAATGGAGGTGCAAATACCATCAAATACCCTAAATTTCTGTCCAGTTTACGAAGTTTCCTGGAAATATCATCCACCACTTTGGGAAGTTTCTCCTGAATTGTCCAACCCATTTCGAATCTCCACAAAAACACCAAGGGGCACTGATGTACTCTGATGGCCACAGGTTCAATTCATCCAGCACCATCATGCAAGGGCACCCATCCCTCGGCAAACACGCAGGGTCAGAACGGGTTTCTTGTAAAACCCTTTAAAATCCCACAGTTGATCCTCATTTTCCCAATGATCCACGAATCTTGGACCAAACCACCGTCCCCAAGGGATCCCGGAATCGGCTAAGAAGCACTGGCACATCAATTTTCAAGCGATTGATTTAAATTGATTTATGTATATGTAGGAAAATCAACGGTTGAAACATCAGGTTTTACCCTGAATTCGTTTTACACCCCCCCTTAAGTAAGGGATTATAATTCCAATATCAATGAGTAAGCGATGTAAATCCATGACCCGAATCGTTACGAATTCCATGATACCCCCATTATCCCCTAGTAATCAAACGTTGGTTGGACCAGTTGGAAAATCATCCGTTTGGTTCGATGATCTTTTTTCACAAAACCCTCCATTGGTAAGGTCCCATCCAGCCATGTTTGATTACCAAAGAGTATCCCGTCTCATTAGTTGGCGGTTGTGTATACATTAATTCCATTAATACCGTTAAATGACATATCCCACTAATATCATTACTGTAATTGGTTTCATCAGTTTGTTTTATTACCTTCGTTACTAATCAATACCCATTTTTCTGGGTGGTTAAGTCATTGTTTTATCTCAGCATATCCCCAAGATATCCTACCATTAATGTCCACCTCTGATTTATAAATAGGGGGCCCCCCCCCCCCTCTCTGACCCTAAATAGACTTAAAGCTACCATAAAACTTGTTTGTATGTAAAGAATTTAGTATTCCACAATTGAAAACGAATACATAAAATGCAATTTAAAAAAAAAAAAGGAATCCAGCAATTGTTTTAGTATTGATCTAGTACTCATGTCATGGACTTAGTATTGATCTAGTACTCATGCCATGGATTTAGTATTGATCTAGTACTCATGTCATGGATTTAGTATTGATTTAGTATTCATGTCATGGATTTAGTATTGATCTAGTATTCATGTCATGGATTTAGTATTGATCTAGTACTCATGTCATGGATTTAGTATTGATTTAATATTCATGTCATGGATTTAGTATTGATCTAGTACTCATGTCATGGATTTAGTATTGATTTAATATTCATGTCATGGATTTAGTATTGATCTAGTACTCATGTCATGGATTTAGTATTGATTTAGTATTCATGTCATGGATCTGGGCAAATCTGGGTTTAGGGCCAAAACAAATTAGCTTTATTCAGGGTCAAACTCTAATTAGTGCTAAGGCACCTCATGGGGGGTACCCTTGATGAGTTGATTTGGGATTGATTTTAAATAGGTTTATATAAAGGATTTGAATAGAAAGAACATTCATTATGTTTGAAATTTTGAAGCTATCAAGGTAAGATCTAATGAGCTGGCAGTATGAATTAGTACATGAAAGCCACGTCAAATAAAGCATGGAAAAAAACAAAATCAGCCCCATCTGGGCAAATCTGGGTTTAGGGCCAAAAAAAATTAGCTTTATTCAGGGTCAAACTCTAATTGGTGCTAAGGCACCTCATGGGGGGTACCCTTGATGAGTTGATTTGGAGTTGATTTTGGATAAGTTTAAGTACAGGTTTTGAATAGAAAGAGCATCCATCATTTTTGACAATTTCCAGCTATCATTTTTGAATAAAGGTTTTGGTCAGCACCATCTGGGCAAATCTGGGTTTAGGGCCAAAAAAATTTAGCACTATTCAGGGTAGTTTTATTATTTAGTTTGGGAGAAAATTTAGCACTATTCAGGGTAATTTGATAAATCGTAGGTCAACATTATACTTTGTGTTATGGAGGAGGAAACAACTTTGATAGTGGCATTCATCTTAATAGATCAATCAACTATTGATAATCAATAATGGTTGCAAATAATGATAGTCATTAATCTCTAGTGGCTTTGCAATGGGACTACAAAACAAAGTGTAACAGTGGGATATAATAGTAATAATGGGCACTGGTGGGAGTATAAACCATTTGAGCCATGTTTGATTCCTGGAGGGGATAATGGGGATACAATGGGATATCGGAAATAATTTTGTGGGATACTGTAAGGGGTTAGCAAACACAATCAGGTTTTAAACAAAACAATGGTTATTTCATAGGGTATAAGATGAATCATTTACATGGTTGTATAAAACAGCAACCACTTGCGGTTGATTCAGTAGCGATGATATACCCATCATTAAAATTAATCATCATGGTTTCTTTAATACCATTATTGGTTTTTACATGTATATATATATAAATACACACGTGTATGTGTATAAATATAGATATATATATTCCATCAATGCCATTGTTGGTAATATATGGTGTAATATTACTATTACTATGTTTAAAATTGGCATTATCATTATCATTATCATTACTATGAAGTCTGTCAGTATTTATATGTATTATATATATAAATATGTATGTATGTATGTATGTATGCATGTATGTATGTGTATGTATGTATGTATGTATGTATGAATGTATGAATGTATGAATGTATGAATGTATGAATGTATGAATGTATGAATGTGTATGTATGTATGTATGCAGGTAGATAGGTATGTATGTATGTATGTATGCATATACCCGTTACACTATTTGTTTTCTACCCCCAGCAGCCATTTTTTCCAGACTCCAAGTGGCTTTTTCCAGGCGTCGGTGCGGTTCATCTCCTTGCGATCGATCGGTGGTCGATCGGAGCTGGGCGAATGAAGCTGGGCCAAGCACCTGAGCTGCTGGACCGTTGGGGCTGGACTCAGGAACTATATCTATACATTGCTGATATGGTACCGTCGATATCTAGGATATGGCTGATTTATGATAGATATAACTGATTCAGTAATAAATATATATATATGTGTGTAAATATAAATAAAAATAAAAGCACTTAAGGGGACATATTACCATCCTCTACACATTATGCACTGTATGTATATATATATATATTATGTATATATCATCCTGAAGTAGCCGAACTTGTCAGGTTTGTGGCTTACATCGAATTACTATAGTGTACCCAGATTGATATGTTAATGAAATAAAATCCAAGTCCTTTTAATATACATTACATGCTAAAAGATCAACCATGTTTAAAGTCAATCAAATATTATTGCGTATATATGTATACACAGATGTATAATCATCCGAAAGTAGATCGAATATGTAATTTTCAAAGCTATTCCCATTTTAGTGAGATTGTTTGGAATTGCCCAGATTCTATCTACTCCAGGATGACTCTATATATATATATATATACATGTTATATATATATATATGTATTGTATGTATTTTCTGTGTAATTGAGTATGGTGAATATATACATATATATATATATACACATCTTTATCGAAGGAAATTTAGAAGTCAAAACGGACAATATGGAGAGATGGAAAAGCAGAGGTGGGAAGAGTCAGGAAGAGAAGAGAAGAAGAGAGAAGATCGGAGAAGAGAAAGAGTCAGAAGAAATCAGATGCAGGTGCGCGAAAGGGTAGAAAAGTCGCGACTCACCGTGTTTTCCAATGATTTGTGGCTCCAGAGGGTCGAAAAGTAGGCTCGCTAAAGCGGTGCGGAGCCGTCTGGCCAGATGAGAGATGAAAAATTGCACGCCGTTGTGGCGCGAAGCACATTTGGAAGTGAAAAAGATAAAAACACCTCACGTCCGGATGTCGAAAAAGTGGTGGTGCGAAGCACATTTGGAACTCAAAAGTATTAAGAAATTGACGGGTTCGGAACACTTTTGGAAGTTGAGATTTTGAAAAGTGCACGCCGTTGTGGCGCGAAGCACATTTCGAAGTCAACATGTACAAAGTACGCCACGCTCAGAGCACTTTCGGAAGTTGAGATGTTCAAAAAGTGCATGCCGTTGTGGCGCAAAGCACATTTCGAAGTCAAAAGTGTTAAAAACTGACGGGTTCGGATCACTTTTTGAAGTTGAGATGTTCAAAAAGTGCACGCCGTTGTGCCACAAAGCACATTTCGATGTCAAAATGTGAAAAACACACCACGTTCGGACCACTTTTGGACGTTCAACCCCACCACGCTACACAACAACGACAGCAACCACAACCACCACCACCACCACAACAACAGCAACAACAACAACAACAACAACAACCACAACAACAACAACAACACTAATTACTAATTACTAATTACTAATTACTACTACCTACTACTACTACTACTAGTAGTAGTAGTAGTAGGGCTACAGCTACAACTACAACATTGCAATTACAACAACATCAACCACAGCTGCGGCTTCAACGACACTACAATACAACTGCAACTATAACTACAGCTACTACTCCAGTATACTACACTACACTACACCACACGCCACTTCACCACACTTCACCACACTTCCCGACTACATTACAACTACAACTACAACGACTACTACAGCTACAGCTGCAACTACAACATTTACAACTCTAACTACATCAACTACAGCTACAACTACACTACACTACAATACAACTGCAACTGCAACTACAATAATACTTTGCACTACACTCTACACCACACTGCATCCAGCAGCTGTGGTTGAGGTGACCACTGCAACCACTCCAAAAAGCACAACTCCAACCAGCTTTCGGTCCATCAATGGATTCGCTTTGCCATCCATGCATCACAACCCTCTCCTATAGTGTCCTATCTTTGAAACTTCCGCCACCGCCTTGTGCGGTACTACTGGTAACCTCTTTTTTTTGGAGAGAGAGAGAGAGAGAGACTGAGAAAGATCACATTTTGGAATTTGGACAATTACCTGTACAGATGTCTATATATATATATAAATACATACAGATACAAGACTAACTAACAAGTGTGACAATATAGGAGATACGATGGATTTAACCAATATCACAAGTAAATATGTAATGACCGTGCATGGGGGGAAACAGTTTTACAGGAAACTGAACTATGAAAGGTTTTCCTGGATTAATTGTTACTACGATTCCTGGGATGCACATCCAAGTGAGACACAGAAATTGGCAAATATTAGTGGACTATTTAAGGTATCCAAGTGATACTTGTCTACTTCGCTACTTCATGAACAAATCAGCAAAGTACATGGTGCTTCACCCCACGAATCCTAAGTCGATTGGTTCGCCCCTGTTCCAAGTGGTTATATAACCCCACTTCTCCAACTAACAAAACCAGGGATAAAAGCTATTTACGATCCGTAGGTTATAAGGCATGAATTTTGCAGGGCATTGCGCACGTCCAGGGAGCATGTCTAGAAGACCAGCAGCGTTGCTACTCCAGTACTCTTCACTGCGATGCAGGCGCACCACGAGGAAAGGCTGCGGCGGATCACCTACGAAGTGCGGGAGAACCCAATTCGAAGGCATGATACGAATTTTTGGTTTGGAACAGGACCCGCATAAATATCTACGCATAGCATGATGGGATCCTGGCTGACTGTATCATATCCATGACATACTTCCATAATTCATAGATGTCGGTTTGTTGCGATCATCTCCAACATGTTTGAAGGGTAGTAGAACCCTCAAACCAATCATCAAACCATTTAGTAATCCCTTCCCCCGCTGGACACCCCCCATAAACTATGCTAGAAAAGAAGGGGATGAAGCCACATATGACTGGGCCTAGGACCATAGAATGTGTTATGGGGGTGTTTCTCAAAAAAAAGGGGATGAAATTAGACCCTTAAACCACCATTGCTGAGGTAGTTAAATCCCCAAATATCTGTTCAAGTTGATCGTATCTCCCACTATATCCCTATTATTAAATCACTATCATTAAATGTGAAAGTACATCATATCCCCCATGATATTCCCATGAATTTCAGGAAGGCTGCCGGCCTATGCCCACCATTGCTGTGCACATCAGCGTGATTGGTCCACCTCCACTTTCCTCTGGGTCCGACGGCGGTAGTGCCTCACCTCAGTGTTACGCGCCGAATCTACCAGACGCAGAACAAGAAATGTGTGTGTGTGTGTTCTTGTTAATACCAAAGCGAAATGATGATAATGACAAAATAATGATAACAGTTTTTATGATGATAGAAATGGCTATGGGAAATCAATAGCCTATAGGAACGTTTTTGAGATGCAGAAGTCATGAGTGGTTGAAGTTGTGAGGTCCGTCAACGAATGCCGAAATGGTGGTTGAGATGCCAATGAAATGACAGGGAAAGAATCTGTGCACAACTAAATGAATGAATCAACGAACCGATGAATCGACGAACCAGCGAATCAGTATCTGTCAAATCAATGAATCAATGAAGAAGCGAAGCAATGACCTAATGAATCGTCTAACCAGTGAACCAATGAATTAATGAATCAATGGATCAGTGAATCAACGGCTCAATGAATCGATGACTCAGTGATTCAATGAAGCACTCAATCGGTGATTCAGTGAAACAATGAATCAATGAGCCAATGCATGAGTGATTTAATGAGCCGATGAGCCAATGAATCAATGAGGCCGTGAACCAATGAATGACTAAGTAGTCAGTAGATGAACCAATGAATCCGCAATGATTCAGTGAAGCAATGAACCGATGAATCAATGAAACGATGATTCAGTGAATCAACGAACCAGTGATTCGGTGATTCAGGGAATCAATGAATCAACGAATCAATGCACGAGTGAACTAGTGAGTCGATGAGTCGACAACGGATAAGTGAACCAATGAAACAATGAACCAATGATTCGGTGAATCCATGAATCCATGAACCAATGAATGAAGGGATGGATGGATGGATGGATGAATGATCGAATGGCTGGATGGGCAAGCTATACTTTTCTTTGTTGAGCTACTTCTTCACTGAGCGACCTCTTTGCTGAGGCACCTCTTCTCTCAGCTACACAGCCACTTGTGTGGGCCACTTCTGCTCTGAGCTGCCTCCCAGTTGCCTCTTTTGTAGCTTCTGCAATCCAGTTCTTCTCTTCGCGCGGCTATTACAATGCGCTTGGCAAGCTCCAGCTGCAATCCTGCTTGCCAGGAGCCAGGAGCCCGGCAGCATCACTGGTGCTTTGCTGCGCGCAGCCGTGCCAATGCGTTCTGCCACAACCGGCTGCACACCCACATAGCAGGAGCGTCGCACCAAATCGACCAATGTTCGCGCAGCGCTGACAATGGGGACGATGTCGCGCTGCTCTGAACGTGCCAGTTTTTACGAATTTTACAACAAATCGAGCTCTCGCTACAGTCTCGTGCACATTTTGCCGACCTGATCTTCCAAAAGTGCTCCACGGCTGTCCACGCTTTAACATTTTGAAGTGCAAATCAAGCTCTGCTACAGTCCTCTGCGCTTTTTTTGTCCACGACTTTCCCACATCGAGGCCCGAACCCGCCGCGGAAACAGAGACCCGACTCCGGTGACCCCACAAGCCACTTGACCCGAAAAAACACAGGGTTTCGCGCTCGAGAGTGTTTTCACCCGTGAAGTCAGGCGTTCCGGAACTGTTGCTCTTCTCTGCAACTTCCACACACGAACTGCTCTTGCTCAAAATGTTGTTGACATGATGATGACGTGACGACAAGACTCCCCCTGGACATTCATCCGTAACTCAGAAGTTTTTTCGAACTAAACTTCCTTTGAATAATACTAAAGCAACATGTTCTGGAATCATAGCAAATTCTTAGCATTCTTTGTTGATCTCTTGAAGCTTGATGCGCATTGCTCGTCAAGGGGCTCTTCTTCTTGCCTTTTCTTCCCATGACTCCGGCCTTTTGCCAAGGAGTTGCTGCGGTTCAGCGCGGAAAAGCACTATTCGTTGTTGTTTGGAAGCATTTGGGTGCCATAGGATTTACTAGGTTTACCAGCAAAAATGGAATTTAATGGGATGTCATGGGATCTCTAACCAACTTGATATGATACTTGGGTGTGTTTGAAAATGGGGTATACCCCCCATTTTATAGCAAGTTTGGGGAAAAGTCTATGATTAACCAAGGGATTTAGGACGTACACTATTTTCTGACAAACCCATTTCTTATCCAATCTGGTTTAGCAGGCATTGGCTTCCAGCTGCACAATGAAAATCAGAGTTGACAAACAGGGTATGGTGAAAAAGTACACGAATGGTGAGCATGAATTCCTGTGTTTCGACATTCAAACATCATTCCTGCATTCTATGGTCATGTCAACCTTCGTTTCCTTTGGCGTGTGGCTCAGGTTGTGATCTTGATTCTTGGGCTTTCTTATCCTCACTGGCCTCGTTTGTTTTGCAGTGTTTTGCTTTGGAGTGCTGCAAACTGTGTGTCTTCTTCCATTCTAATCTGCTGCATGTATGGTTTGATTGCAACTCTCTGAATGTTTAAAAAACTGTTGCGACGTCTGACTCTGAGCCAGGCTACGACATGCTTCTGGCCATGCTCATCCAGGGCTTAACCATGGGAACTGGCTGACCCACACCAGACAACGTCAAAGCCATGGTGACCAAAAAAGTTGAGTGCCAAAATCTGCTAAAAACCAAGTGGTCAGGACTTTCTGAAACTACCTCCTGATATTTTTGTTGTGATACAAAGTGTGATCCATTCCACTCGTGGGGTGGTTGTCTTCCATTCCATCCCTCCTTGGGGTGCATCCAGGCTAGCAAGTGGGTATTTTACATATATACAAATGTGTATATATATATAACTATATATATATATAACTGTATATAATTATATATATACCTGTATAATATATATATAACTATATATATACCTATATAATATATACAACTATATAAATATATATAACTATATATATACCTATATACATATATATTAATATATTAATATATATATATTAATATATTAATATATATAACTATATATATATAACTATATATATAACTATATATATATAACTATATATATAACTATATACATAACTATATATATAACTATATATAACTATGTATATATAACTATATATATATCTATATATATAACTATGTATATATAACTATATATATATCTATATATATAACTATATATATAACTATGTATTTAACTATATATATATAACTATATATATAACTATATAAATATAACTATATACTATGTATTTAACTATATATATATAACTATATATATATAACTATATATATATAACTATATATATAACTATATATAACTATATATATAACTATATATGTATAACTATAAATATATATAACTATATATAACTATATATGTAACTATATATATAACTATATATACAACTATATATATAACTATATATATGTAACTATATATATAACTATATATATATAACGAAATATATATATATATACTATATATATATATATATAAGAATATAGACTATATATATATATATATAACTATATATATATAACTATATATATATAACTATATATATAACTATATATATATATATAAATATATATAACTATATATATAACTATATATATAACTATATATATAACTATATATATAACTATATATATATAACTATATATATATGTGTACTTAGTATATACATCACATTCATAACTGGGTCATGATAGAAACCACCTACGATTCCTAGGATGCACAGCACACTGCGGCTGCCGCGGCACCCAGTTGGTGTGCCCCAGAAGCGAAGCTTGAAAGCGATAGGTGGCCAGGGACCACCTGAGAGACGCTCGCACAGCTTCCTTTGGAAGGTGAAAGCTCAACAAGACTAGGGGTTTTTCACGGTTTCACATGGTCGAACCCACCTGAAATAGGCTGTTATGTGTATATATATATATTATGTGTATGTATATATATATATACATATTATACAGATACATAGAGCCGATAGAATATTACAATAGATACCCCTAATCTGGCTGATCATTGAGGATCTCATGCCGCCAATTTCGCCCATTTCTTTGGGATGATGAATTCTGTTGTCACAACTCGGCGCATGAAAATTCAACCAAAAATTGAGGCCTTACAAAGAAAAAATGCCAAAAATGTATTCTATAACTATACAATTTTATATATACATATATATGTATATATCTAAGTAAATTATAATATTTCACTAACCTAAATTAAGGCCATTTGTTGATGACTCCCCTTATTAACCATGATTTCCAGGGTTCGGTCGCAGTGAGGTCGTTACAGTTTACCCAGATATATGTACACATTGCGGCATACACATTGCATCCCTTTGGCTGGTGATATGCCATCCATTGGGATGGAAACCTGTCGTGACAAGTGGTTCCCTGGTTAGTTATCCTCTGGAAAATCACAAGGTGATTTCATAGGTCAACCAGAGATATGTAGCTAATTCATGGTAATTCATCATGATTATCATATATAAATGATAAATGGGTCATGTTCCATAGATAAATTCGAAAAAAAATCACCCATTACGCTCGGCTTTTGGAAGCCCGCCCTTCCGCATGGTGCATGTCGTGGGATGATCCTCCAAGTACCGGTACAAAAAACGATGGAAAGATCCACCATTTTTCATGGGTGAATCCACTATAAATCAACCATTTTCAATAGCAAACTGTAACAAATTACCAGAGGGTATATATTAATGGGGTTTTATGTGATATTGATGGGATATTAATGTGTGATATATTAATGGGATAAACTATGGAAAATCACCATGCTATCAATGGGTGAATCCACTATTCCGACTGGGCCATGGCTTCAATAGCTAACGGTGAAGTAAATTACCAGGCCGGGTATATTCCCACTGGCAAAAAAAACGAAAGTATCAAAGTATCACCGCTCCGGTTTCCGAATGGGAGGTATGTGATATAAGAGGCCATTGGGTTTATAAAGCGTGGCTTCCAAGTTCCAAGTACAGCGATAGTGATCCCAAAAGAAGTCAGCTCACCAGTTCTTTCTCGTTCAACAAACATGTTGTATCTGGTAGGTCCCCTTATCGTACTACCTGTGATGGATGTAGGTATGAATACTCCCAATTACCTAGCTTGTCTACCAATCAGGGTTACAAACCAATAACTACAAAAAGGTGGAGAGTAATCCCAAATAGCCTTATCTACCAACCATGTTTGATCATTTTTGGCATCTTTGGGAATCCATGGTCTACCTAAAACGGGTTTGTCTAAATTGTTTTCGGGTTTACGGCCACATAAAGTGGCTATGTTCATTGAGAAAATGATAATCAACAGTGGGTTTGGAAGTATTCTAGTTCCAAACAAGCCAGAAGTTATGAGTTATGAGAAGAAGAAAAAATCCTGGTCCCATCCCATTATACTGGTTAGTTACTAGAAATTCTTACAAAATTGCTGTTCATATGGTATAATAATCACTGAACCAGGTAAGCATCGCCGGCGCCCCGGGCCGGGCGCCCAAACAGTTTCACGGTCTTGTCGTCCGAGGCCGTTAGGAGCAGCGAATCGTCCCAGGAGAAACACACACTGCGAACAGCCCCGCAGTGAACCTGGAGGAATGGTGATTCATAAATAGATATCTATGGATATATGGATATATGGATCACCATTCACCTTCCATAAATATCCATGGATATATGGAGTGAATATTAAATCTGGAGTGAATCACCATATTTTTGGAGTGAATATTAAATCAACCACCAACTGACTTTCATATTTTTGGAGTGAATCTTCAAAAATCTGCATATAGATATCTATGGATATATGGATGTATGTATCTATGGATATACCTGGATATATGGATATATCATGATATATCTGGTTGGTGGTTGACCTACCCCTCCGAAAAATATGAGTTCGTCAGTTGGGATGATGACATTCCCAATATATGGAAAAATAAAAAATGTTCCAAACCACCAACCAGATATGTATATGGATAGACAACTATATATGGATATATGTGTCTATATATATATATGTATATACCTGGAGGAATGAACCTGGAGAAATGGTCAATGAAAATTCATGGTGATCAATGGCGATGATGATTACCCCCCCGTAAACGTTTACATAGATGTGGCTTTAACCCACATCTATAAGTCGACCATTTCCTTGAACTATGGATTTTCCACATCTATGTAAACGTTTACATCTATGTAAACGATTACCCTGGGGTACAACTTCATGCCATGTAGCCTGAACTAATGTGGAAAACCCATCGCTTCACAAAATGATCCACCTTTATGGTGGGCTTGACATTCCCATGGGTGGTAAAAACCATCCCAGTTTATGCTAGGTTTATGCTTGGGTTTACAAAATTTCCAACAGAACCCCCAATATATAATATGGGAAGATGATGGAAAGATTATGGGTCCCATCATTGCTCCCTGTAATTCTGTGGAGAAGGCTCTTCAACCATGAAAGGGAAATGAGAGTAAATCAGGATTAGGTGGAAAAGCAACCATGAGATGGGGAAAAAAATGGGATCAAATTTGAATCCTGATTCTTCAACTCAACATGTCGTGGCTCTTTTTGTTGGCAACCATGATATGGAGCTTAATTGGAAGTGAATGGTGCTTAAGTGAGAATGAAATGCAGACTACATGGGGATTAAATGGGTAGTAAATCAGGCTGAAGTGAAAAAGCAACCATGATAGGGGATATGATTCTTGGATATAACGAGGGGATATCATATAGTGAGATGTATATTATAATATGTGTATATATATATGATATTATATTATATTATATTATATTCTATTATACAAGTATATATGTAACCAAAATATGGGGCTCTACCGTTCAAAGTAGGGAAGAAATAAGGATACAGAAACAGGGACGAAACCAGCCATCCTGGATGGAAACCATGGGAATCGATTGGGCCATGGCCCATGGCTGCGGATAGCCATTCCGCGAATTCAACGTAGCCATGGAAAAATCACCCATTTTTAATGGATAAATCTGTTAGATCCTGGAACCATGGGCCCGGACTTCCTAATTATCCACGATTCATCCACTCTTGGTGATTTTTCCATGAATGTCACCATTGACCATAGATTTCAGGGGAAAAAAAACATCATTTAAAAAAAAAAATATATATATATATAGCCAACTTTCGTAGCTTTGTTGCTGATGTTCAATAGATAAAAAACCACTCACCATGATAAAAACCGGCCCATAGATTTCCATCCCGCCTTCATCACGCGCGACTCCCCTTGCGCGCTGTTGCTCCAGAGACGAACCTCAAGGCAATGTTCATGGGATTTCATGGGACTTTATAATGATTGAATGGGACTAATGATTGTGATTCAATGGGATCTTGTCACTGGATATACTCTCGTATTACTAGTTACGTTTACAGAAAACGCGAGCTGGAAAATCCACATATATCGGTAAATGTTTAACAAGGCTTCAACTTGGAAGTGCAGGGCTACAAATGGCTATAACCATGGTGAGAAGAAAACATAAAGTTGGGATATATATATATATATATGATATATATGATATATCCCCTATAACTATGGTTCTGTATCCACTAGTTCACTGGATACGCGCACTAAGCCTGTGCTTCCATCGTCTCAAAATGTGGGAACTCCAAAATACCAAAGGCTGAACCAGCCCCTCGTCCCGTGAAATTTGGCGAAGGGTACCCAGCCTGGTAAACGTTTACAAAACGAACTGGAAAGATCCACCATGTTTAAGAACGGAAAACTCACTATTTCGACTGGGTCATTTTCAATAGCGAACTGTTAGTTTACCAGAGGGTATATTTTGAGACCACGCCATATGCAAAATAGATGCAAAAAATCGACGTCAATGGACTCATCTTGGGAATTCTCCAGTGTTGTTGAAGCAACAAGTCTTTACTAGATCAGCAGCTCACGTCAACTTAAGAAGTTTACATAGTTTGCTACAACTTCTTGAATGTCCACTTCGCCGCTTTTGGGTTTGTATGAGAATGGTGTGTCCTAAAATCCAGTGCTTTCCCATCATTTCCACCTTTGAAAATTGTCATAGATTGCGACATATCCCAGCTTTGTTGGACAAAAGCAAATATCAAGTTCCCATGATATACCTATTATATGGGGGGGTCCCAAAATGGGGGTACCCCAAGTCACTATGGGTTTCAATACTAAGTCATGGTCATTTCTAACTTGGATGATTGGGGGTACCCCTATGACTTTAGAAGACCCCCTTGGATATTTCCCATCAATATCCCATGATTCATCGACATGTGGCATGTATCCCATCAATATGATACCAGTTATGTATCCATATATCAAGTTCCCATTATTTTTGAGGTACCCCCTTATTTCAGGAAACCCCCACGAATGTGATTGGTTCTCAAGCCGTCTGATCCGCTGCAGCCGAAGCGATGGTCTGCCCCTGCAGCTATGACCATTTAAGGGGTAAAAAATTGGATTTAATGGGATCAATATGCATTTGTTTTTTGGATTTCAGATGGATTTAATAGGATTTCAGATGGATTTAATGGGGTTTAAGGGGATCTAACTAGTAAAAATGGTAATTTCATAATTTCAAGGCGATACAATGGGATATAACGATATTCAGTCACCATAGTTTCAAATGCACTGACCCCACCACCAGAGTCCGGGGCTGTGTCATTATGGACCTCTGAGTTCATGCGAGAGTCGAGTGATACAATGGGATATATAACTGACATTAACTGATTTTTGGGTGTATCCGAGAATGGGATACACCCCAAAATTGTAAGGTGAAAATGATGATAAATCCATGGATTTGGAGGATTGTGCAGAGAAACTCACTGCAGTGTGACCGAGATCTCCGAGATCTCATTACATGACATGCTGGTTGATTTTTCTGGGGGTTACCATAATGGATGGTGATGATCCCCAATATGCAAAGGATATCAAAGGATCGCATAACCCTGGAAAACATCATGAACCACCAACGGTCGGTCGTCCTGTAAGCGCGCGCTTCATTAAGCGCTTTTCCCATAGGCACAGCGTGTGTCTGTGCATTTTTTACCACGTATATGAGGGTTTCGTGGTGTTGGTTTTGGGAGGCGCGTCCACTCCTTTTTTCATGGGACCCAAGCGTTGTCTTTCTCAATTTGAAACGCGTGACCTGGTTGAATACCCATTTGTTTTTTTCGATCTCTGCGATATTCCGCAAAAGCCGTCACCAGAGGCATCAACCCAGGCTTCTCTAAGAGACGCTTGGCAGCAAACTGCTGCACCTGAGCATTGCGTGGGCTGATTCTACCCAGCATATTGGTGCGGCGCATCTGGCCTTTCACTCGACTAATTTCAGATTCTGTTGAATTGTCGCCTCCGACGATCAAAAAGGATTGTTTCCTTTTCAAAGCCGCCGGTCTCTTCAAGACTTTCGAGGCCTTTGTCAAAGTCTTCTGCTGCTGCTTGGTCATGTCACTTTGTTTCAGTTCGACGGTCGGTGACATCTCATCGATGCAATGACGGGCAGGTGCATTAGGAAGTCCAAACTTGCGACAGGTCGCTGTCAGGGCCTGCTCTGCTGGAATTTTGATTGTTGTTGTTTTAACACGGAGACATTGGGGTGAAAGCGACAAGAATGGTGCCATCATAACGAAAGACATAATATAAAGATAGATAGATAGATAGACAGATAGATAGATAGATAGATAGGTAGGTATATAGATAAATAGACACATATAGAAAGAAAAAACTAGATCGATAAACAGATAGATACATAGGTATAGAGGTAGGTAGAAAGGTCTTTAACATATCATATAATATATTCATAGGAATGAAAAGAAAAACAGGTAGTTTTGCGGCCCCAGCCTTTGCGCTATCCGTAGCACTGACGCAGCTCTTTGCATCCACGTGTCTTTGCAACGCCTTCCGCACTGTGGTTGCATCTTCGGGAGGTGATGGAGCACCTTTTTGAGTCGTTCTGGGCTGCATGGTGACCATGACAACTTTCCGACTGTCACGTCCTTTCACATACAGCATGCGACCGTGATGAACCATAGGTCTCTTGTCGCCTCTTGCAGCTTGATTTCGGGCAAAGCGACCAGGCAAAGGAAGTTTCACGACAGTGTTGGAACTTTTGGTGCGTCGCCTTCGTTTCAGGTGCGTGGGCTGACTGGTTTTCTTATGGCTGCACACCTTGCTTCCATCCAGAGTTCCACAATTTCGTCTTGAAATTGCACCTTTTCTTGTTCTTCAACATCGCAGTGCGTTGTGCATCACGCGTAACATGAACGTTATCACCCCACCCCACCCCACCCCATCCATCAACGTAGCACTGCGTACCGATGTCAGCGTGCACGAACATTACATCAACATCGCAGTGCGTTGTGCATCACGCGTAACATGAATGTTATCATCCCACCCCACCCCACCCCATCCATCAACGTAGCACTGCGTACCGATGTCAGCGTGCACGAACATTACATCAACATCGCAGTGCGTTGTGCATCACGCGTAACATGAACGTTATCACCCCACCCCACCCCACCCCATCCATCAACGTAGCACTGCGTACCGATGTCAGCGTGCACGAACATTACATCAACATCGCAGTGCGTTGTGCATCACGCGTAACATGAATGTTATCATCCCACCCCACCCCACGAAACCATGATATACGTGGTAAAAAATGCACAAAAACACGCTGTGCCTGTGGGAAAAGCGCATAAGAAAGTGCGCGTTTACAGGTCGACCGAGCCACCAACAAGGGTTTTGAACACTGCTAGTGGGTTTGAGCGATTTGGATTGTGACTTGCAACAAGTTAAAGATTCTCTTCATGAACAGTCTCTTCATTTCATTGTCACTGGGCTTGCATTTGGTATTTGGTAGTACTTCCACTTTTCAGAGAATTCCAAGCTCTAGCTATTTCAGACATAAACTTTGGACAGCATCTCTGACTTGTGAGGTGACGAACATTCCAAGGATGCAGCGCTACACTCTTCGGCCCTGGATGGAAATATATACCGCGGCGGTGTATGTGTATATATATATATATCACTTGCTTCAGAGATGTCTAGAAACTTCTAGACTGGGTCTAGATTTTGCCCCAAAAGTCTGCCTTGTTTTTTGAACTTTGGAAGCCATGTAATCCTTGGACATGTTTATCCTTAGAAACGGCCAACAGCCAAGGCACTGTGCGGCTCATGGCCACATGATGCACTTCGCCCTTGTGACCTAAAGGCGAGTGATTCAAAGTGTCTGGTGAACTTCATGATAGGTAGCCTTGATCCAAGGCAAGGTTCCAGGAATACTGGTGAAGTAAATGTGTGAATTGTTACAACTAGTGACATCATGGTCAATTTGTTTAATCCAATTATTTAAAAATCACTCATCACCAATCATCTACGGAAAACTCTATAGCTGAAACATGTCAAACTGCTGCGAACTGAAACTTTCCACAGCTCTGCGCGGCAGACCCACAAAGCGAAAGGGTCGCAACTGCGCTTTGAAATGCCAGACCTGGCCGGTCTCGGAGATTTTTTGGATGGCCAATAACCACAATAACCAATCATAAACCAGTGTTTTGGAGAATATATATATTATTATGTATATATATTAATATTATATATATATATATATTATATATATATATTAATACTAATATTATATATATATACATATTATACGTATATATATATACACATTATATATGTATGTATATATATATATATACATATATATATATATATACATATTATATATATATATACATATTATATATATAGAGCTCAGAAATGGGATAAAGCCTAGTGACTCCCATACTTATGTCACTGATGTCATCTGAAGTTTCGCTCAGTTCTCGCTTCTGAGAGTCGCGCGAACAAGCAGCCATCTTGAGAGCCTGAGACGACCTGGCGGCTGGCGTTTTTTGCGGGTTCCAGTGTTTTTTTCGCCAACAACTTACCTGTGTTTCGTAGGGAATAACTGGGTTTGTCTGAAAATATAACTTGTCAGAAACACGCAAAAAAATGGATTGGAATGAGTGGAATAATGGAAGATATTCAAGTAATGGGGAACAACGGGATAATTGTTCATAATTATGGATTGAGTCATTGCCCATTCCCTATGCATCGCACTACTAAAACAAAAGGATGTCCCGGTGTGCACTTCAAAAGCCACAAAATTCATATGTGCTATGATCAAGTTACATTGGAATAATAATTAGTAATGGGGCCGGTGTCTGGATAAATGTTGGTATTCATCCTAAAATCTATCCTTCCTTTAAGATGTATACAATAATAATTCAAAAATGGATAATTCCGAATGATTCTGTGAGGAATTGTATTCAATCAGTTCCCATATAGATGCAGATTTGCGATTTGCACCAATTCCTGTCAGGATTTACGTGGGAATGAATTTACCACATCCCACTGTTTACCATCTTGTTTTTCTCGCAACTCCGGAAAAATATAGTGATGTATTTTATCAGTATCTTGACAGGATCTTACATCCATACGTTTCTCTAAGCATCGAAGTATCATATATCTGGGGGCTACATTATCTATATCAATTTGACGTCCCCATTGATCTATCTGGTTGGAGGTTGCTATACAAAGTTATCCTGGAGTAGAATATGGACAAATAACAATGATAAACTCTATGTAAGATGAAAATAGGGTTGAAAACCATGGAAAGTCCATGAAAATCCGGTATTTGTCTATTTGAATCTCACATATGTATGTGTATAGATATATACAGTCATATCTAAAATGAATGTTAGACATTGTTGCTTCTTATCATAGAACTGATTAATGTCATAATGATACTGGGATCAATAGCTTACATGTTTCTATTTAATTCTATTTATATATACATATATATATATATACTGTTTCATCTGATAGATACATGTATAGGTGACAGGCTATATATCTATGTATATAAGCGTATATATACTGCGAGGGTCCCGTTCAGAAAAGCCATTTTTGCTCGATTTTGAAGCTCTATTTTCAGAGCTGCCTTGCGCGCACTGAATCTGAAGCGAGCCCCGAGTAAGAAGAGACAACATGAAGCCAGAAAGACACATAAAGACCCCATTTGGAAAATCCCAGGAATACAATGCCAGCAGAAGAAGCACCTCCCCGTTTGGTACAACATTGGAATTCCCAAACGGGGTATGCAGGGCCGCTCGAATAAATTTACAGGTAAGACAGGGCCGCGGGTGCTATGGGGCCGCGCCGGCCGCAGCGCGACCGCTACTGGAATTTCCAGCAAAAATGGTCATCACCACTGGCGGCCTTAAAAGCTGCCGATGTCAGATTCCGCGGTGTTTCATCGGCGAAGCAGGGCCGCAGCGGGGCGTGGGCCACCGCTTGCTATAGCCACAGGAAGTGTGGTGGTCTGTAGAACATGTACAAACGCGTCTTCGAACCATACTACCGTCAAGGACTTTTCAGCAGATTATAGAAGAGTGTTTGACACGATTGCCGCTCACTTGCCTGAGCCTTTTGCACTTCGGCATTTGCACATGGAGTTGGGCTGCGGCGTCTGCACCCGTGGTGCAGCATAACAGCACTGACCCGCAGTATTGGGCCAGAAAAGGAGCTATCTTTGGCTTCGCCGTCAAGGATATATATATATATATATATTTATCTAATTATATATATATATGATATATATGTATAATATGGGTTTGTCTGAAAAGAGGCTACCCTCTGGTAAACTAACTATGGAAAACCACCAGGCTATTAATGGGTATTCATCAACCATTTCTATTATCTATGGCCATTTTTCATAGCTAACTGTAACAGTCATTACCAGAGGCTATATATTAATGGGCTTTTATGTGATATTGATGCGATATTAATGTGATATATAAATGGGATAAACTATGGAAAGATCCACCATGCTATCAATGGGTGAATCCACTATTCCGACTGGGCCATGGCTTCATTAATATCCCATTGAATCACAATCATTAGTCCCATTAAATCATTATTTTTATCCCATTGAATCCCATTTATATAATACACCTCAAAAAGTCCCATTAAATCTCAAAAGTATATTATTGAATCCCATTGAATCACTATAAAGTCCCATGAAAAAATGCTACCCCTCAAAATCCCTTGGTCCATCATTTTCACCTGCTGCTCTTCCGGATGGAAGGCCAGCGAGGTCACCGGGCCCCGATGCCCGCGGAAGGCACGGTCCAACCTGGCGCTTTACGAGAGACGCCGCGGTTGGAGGAGAGTTCCCCGAAAACCGGTGGAAATTCACCAAGAAACATGGGAAATTTCGCCATCAAAATGGGAAGTTCACCGAAAAATGGGAAGAAACAACTTCATCATGAAAGAAATGCTGATCTCACCAGGAAAATGTATGAAAATGTTGGGATTTAGGTGGGGAAATGGTGGAAATGCTGGAAATGGCTGCTTAACATTGCTGAACCTTGGTGAAATGGTTGGTTAACTCGCAAAGTGCGATGGACCCAAGACAGATTGGGAGTTGAACATCAGCAAAAACGGGTGTTAAACCAATAATTGGGAGTGAAGCTGCAAAAATCTGGAGCTTTTCCAGAAATTCAGATGCTATTTGCAACATATTGAAACACATATCATCATTTTCACCTTACAATTTTTTTTAGTGTATCCCATTCTCGGATACACATTTTTAAATCAGTTAATGTCAGTTGTATATCCCATTGTAAAAGAGGGGATTCAACATGATTCTGATTCAACGGAGATCCCTAGAATCCACGTCATCACACCCCTGAGACGCCCAACTCAACGGAGGGTGCAGCATTGCGCTCCATGACGACCCACGAAGCAACCGAAAGCGACCGGTGGATTTTTCACCAATTGACCGGTTTCCATTGGGGTAATAGATTCTAGAAATCCTATATAATATGATAATGTGGTTTTTCTCTTGTTTCAAGTGATATATCTGGGATTCCCTCGATATTTTCCCATGGCCGGCTTTCAACAAAACGCTACTGACATTTTCATCATTTTTCATCGTCCTTGATGGGTACAGTGCCATGTCATGCAAAAATCCTCCAGCTGCTGTGGAAACTTCAAGATGTATAGATCATGTTCCAACCATGGTTTTTCATTGTTTTTCACACCTCAAACTTGACTCATTTGACCAGTTTAAAACCTTCAAACGGCCATGGCCCTACTGGCATGTGCCTTGCGCGAAGCGGCAGATCATGGAGGTCCATCTGGCGGAATATTCTTAAAATCTCTTTGGGAAAAAATGATTAACCAGCAAGTTTGATCAAGTTTGAGGGTGCCCTAATTCTTCAGACTGCACTTCGGATTTTTCCCAAAGTTGTCATCTGAAAAAAAATCATCATCTGAGTTTTCATGGATGAAACTAGTGCAAATGTGGCAGGGTTTCACGCCACCTCAACTATTTGCAAAAGATGTAGGAAAATGATTTCCCCACATTCTCCCATCTTTCCCTACATCAAATGTTGCACATGTTCGAGACTGTGCAGACCAGTAAAGTCATGTTTCGCTGTTGCAGTTGGCACGTTTTTTTGCGACTGTACCCATCCAAAGCTTAAAACCTGCCCTGAGTTGTCCATTTTGAAGTCCCGCTGTGTCTCAGGATATGGAAAGGTTTGAGGATGTTTGAGGCATGGATCAGTTTGTTGCGCTGGATGGACACAAGTGGACAGTAGGTCGAGTGGGGCCATATTGATGCCGAGTACATAAAGGCAGCCTCAAATCATCACCCATCCCAAGTCCAAGATGTGGAGCTACGCAAACACATGAACTCTCTACAAACTCAAAAAATCGTCTCTTTTGGGGACGTTGTACACCAGGTTTACCTATTGAACTTGGGGGGTCCCTTTCGTGCAGCGATTTTCCAGCGACCAAGCATCGCAGCGTCCGCAACGTCACGAGCGCGCGCGATGTCATGGTTTCACCACAGGCAAGAGCGATGCTATGCGTATCGCTCGGCTTCGGAGACCACACATGGCTGGGAAGGCTGGGAAATCCCCCATCTTTCACGACCAAAAAAAAGGATGTCAACGGATGGGGAGCCATTGCCATTTTGCCATTGCCAGGTGAGATTCCCGGAAGTTCAACTGAACTAAGCCATGTGAACCCTACGGAAAATTCGCGCTCCTGAAGCGTCATGCCCTTTACATGATACGCGCCATCTCTTCAGCTGCTCGTGTTGGGCTCAGCAGAAAGTTGCTTTGGGACATGATCTACTGATATGGAGGTTTTCTAAGTCATAGGGGGTACTCCCAAATCATCCAAGTCATTAGACCATGACTTGGTATTGGAACCTACGGTGACTTGGGGAACCTCAGTTTAAGAAGCCCCCAAATAATTACAGACGTAGTGGTGGTGGATTGAACCCTTTAGATTTGAAAATGTTCCCAGGGTTTAAAGTTGGGATATTTACAGGGAAAACAATGGGGATATGATGCAACATAGGGGATATATGACCAACTGGAAACCGATTGGGTTTGTGATTGGGCTAATCTAATTTGGCTTATACTTGTTGAATTCATGCTTGGCTTGTGGTTGGATAGTTTATTTATGGTCGAGGATTCCTATGATGGATTGTTCTTCATAATAATCTCCAATATGTCACGATGTCAACGGGAAACTCCCATCATCATCAAGTATTTGGGATGTTTGAAACTACATTCAATGGATTGGTTTAAGGGAAAATTTACAGGAACACCGTATATTTAATGGGAAAATAACTCTGGTTTCCTGTGGATTTTCCCTTAAACCAATCCATTGATACATGGTACATCTAATGCCATGTCCAGCCTTCCAATTCGGGATGGTAAAATCCAACGCTTTTGATCGGTAAATCATCGAACTAAATGGGCCATGGTTTCCATAGCTATCTGAAATTACTAGTTCAAGGGTATTGCAATATTTCCCTCTGAATATCATTGCTGTTGTGGTACTCGCATTTTGAAACCATACATCTTCCTCCCTGTTGCATCACCATTATGGCTACCCCAACTCGCTCAACTGGATCGGCCCGCAGGTGCGCTGAAATTCTCAGTGCCGACCATTGGAGTTGCTTCATTGGCAAAAAAAAGCTGCGGCGATTTTTCTCACCTCTCTTCCTCATCTTCTCCAAAATGCGGAAGTTTGTCTCCTGATTTTTTAGGTATAGAAAAGTTCAGATGAGCAAATCCGGGTTTAGGGCACATCCTTTGCAAGTGCAGTTTTGGCTTCTTTTTGCGGTTCAATGATCTCATTCTCAAGGCCGCCAACGGGACTCAGCGGGAGATGCAAACAGACTGGGTAGATCCTGGGAAAAACAACCAAAATAGGGAATCAACCAACTATAGATTGTTATTTATGTTGTTTCACCAACAAAAAAGGGAAAGTCTACCAACCATGCCGGGGATGCAGTGGGAGAATATCAACCATAGGATGTGGGGATTTCCCCAGGGAACCCTGGAAAAGTACATCAGGGCCACTGAAAAAGACGGTTTCAGGTGTTGGAAAACATGGGGATTTGCAACATCTTGGAGACCTGAAATTTGGGTTCAGCATGTTTGATCATTTTTGGAGTTTGAACCTGTCATGCGCATTGTCTTTTGGAGAGTTATTTTGTGAAGTCTTCTGGGAGAACGGCGAAAAAACACACGATTCCTGGGAGTTGCAGTGATGTTCCGTGGCGGCGCAGGGGACCAACTTGGTGCATCCCAGGACACTGTGGTCTCTAACCCACCCATCACTGGGGACTTGAAACACCACCGGATAAAAACGCCCGGTTGGGAGCTAGGTCGAACTGAGGGAAAGCTGCGCAGGATCCGCAGGATTCGGGTTTGTCGAACTGAGGGCTGGGCGATTCAGGAAAGCTCCTGATGGGGCAGCTGGCGTCAGGTGACTCATCTTGCTTTGCGATGAGAAAACAAGCAATCATGTGACGGGATATAATTGGGATATATCATGCAACCTCTAACCAACTGGATATGATATTTGGGATATTTGGCTTTGTCCAAGAATAAGGTATACAGTATATACAAGTACGATATACCCCGTTTAAAAAAGCTCTTCTAACAGGGAAAATCATGATTCACTACTGGATTTGGGGGCACCCAATCTTCAGACAATCCCACTAAAAACAAATGACCACTGGGGATCTTCAGCTTAGGCTGTGCTAAAACGATCGATGTTCTCTCACACCTAATGAACGGTGATCACAGAAACGTTTTGCGAAACGCGAATCGATTCGGCCAAACAATAACAACATATTATCCAAATTAAAGGATACAAAATCTTATCGTATATTCACACTGAGGTAGCTAAAAAATTGGAGAAAAAAAATAGCAAATCGCTGGATATCATGAATCCCCCCATGGATGCAAGGGATGCAAGAGACATAACTATTCATTCTGATATAACTATTCAGCCAGAAGATAGAGCTAGATGAAAATCCCCCCAAAAAAATATGCTCTTCACCAGTCGGTTTACAAGTTTACCCACATTCTGTTGATTCCAAATCTTCGATTCTAACCCCAAACCCTTTGGTAAACCCCAACCCAGCTCCAGTAGTTCCACCATGTTTCACCCAGAACCCCACCGCAAGGCGCCTCTTGCCGTAGACGTTGCTATCCTCCTCGTCCACTTTGCTGTCGTCGTTCCGCACAGACGCGCCCTATACACGTCTGACCACCAGGTGAATCAGCTGCTAAGCTGCGGCTAAACCCCTATTGGTTGATGATTTCTTCGGGGATCATACTATCCAATATATCATTAATATATAATGGGATATATTGGGATTAATATTGGGATATACTGTTAGTTGAGGGTTTTATACTGTTCAAAACCCCAATATTGTTCAAAAATATTGTGGTCCACTTAAAAACAACCCCGCTCTGGAGAAAAAACTGCAGTTCCAGTTATATTTTTAAGTGTACATGTTGCACCTGAGTTTTTTCGGGGCCCAACATATCCCAACAAACATGGTGCTTAAAATTCCATGGTTAGTTCGCGATGATTTTCCCAGCCATGGGTAGCTCCACATGTTTGATGGTGGCTTCCAATTAGAATCCGGGCATATATAACCATAACTAGGTTTTTAGTCGGAAAAATTGGGATATCACGCCATGGTCTAATCCCAACTAGTTCTAAGTTGCGCCAAAAACAGCCTCGCCTCGTCCTTTCCTGCCACCTCCGTGTACTTCGTCGTCGTCGGCTCACGGAAGGCCTTGGCCACAACGGTCACCTAAGGCGACGGTGACCGGGTTGCTGTGGTGATGTTATGTGGTTGAAACAATAAGCCGCCCATTTGGGAATGGTTCCTACCAGCTATTTATGTTTGAAATAGTGCTTATGTATATTGGTTGGAATATTCTTATGTAATTAATACAAACTAATAACATATGATAGTAATTACATGACAATATGGGGAAAGTTCTAATATTGATTCATTGCTAATATTACGAATATGATTGGAATACATCAATATGATATTGCTTAAGTAAGAATACTTGGACTGTTGGTAATTGGTGATATTGGTAACCTGATTACTGTTATTGACAATTAATGCTAACCAGGGTACTAACATATGATACTGTTTATATTATAGTAATATTATTGATACTTGGATTATTAGTCGTTGACGATATCGATCATATTAGGAATCTTACTGACTGTCAATATCTGGTGATATTGATAATATGATATTCTATTGTCATTTGTCACTATTTGGTAAAGTTCTTATTGATGAATACTATTTGTCATACTCAATGAATGTCAGTTATTGTATTTCAATGAAGTTCAGTTTTTGTGTTAAACCCGTTACTAACAAAATGGGTTGCCTACTTGTAAGACTTATTGGATGATGTTGTTGTTAGCAATAAGTATTACTGATATCATAATCGATCATCGATCTATTTATCATTTATTCTCAGCATTACTATTCTTATTAGTCTTGTGATAATTGGTGAGTCTCTTCACTACGTTCAATGATCAGTCTTCATTGGCCAGTCAATAATGATTTTTTCATGGTCAACAAATGATGATTATACCATCTGGTTATTTAACATAGCCATGGAAAACAATCCATTTATAGATGGATTACCTATTAAAAATGGTGATTTTCCATGGCTATGTTAAATAACCAGATGGTAATTACAATGGCTGCGTTGCATCGGACAACCTTTCGGATAAGGGGCACTTCTTGGATGGTCCGCGCTGTTTGGCGCACTGGAGATATGTCACTTTTGGTCATCAAAGTTGGGTACCCCGGCGAAGAAGGCAAGGGATGCGGTTCGCAAAAGGCACAATTCACCACCAAAATTTAATGGGACTTTGGGGTAGCCTAAAATTCAGACCCAAATCTGCGCAGATTTGGGCCTTCCACTTTGCTACCCAAATGTTGATGTCGGACCAAACACCATAAGATTGGGGAGAATATTGAAATCAATTGAAATCAATTGAAATCAATTGAAATCAATTGAAATCGTCTTCAACAATTTGCAAGATATCTTCAAGACCTTTTTCAAAAGGGCAGAAATCGGGGCCGCCAGCCGTTGCTCTCCAAGTTGCTAGTAAGCCCAGCATGATGGTCCCAAAACCTGGCGAAATCTGAAGGAAAAATCCCATCCCAACTGGAGATGGAAGATCCATCCCAGATCAAGTTTCGGGGGGTTGTTCCCATCTGAGGGTTTCCATAAATGGGGGTACCCCTAAATCATGCACTTTAATTGGATTTTCCCTTATAAACCATCCATTTTGGGGTACCCCCATTTATGGAAACCCCCATTCCTCGGAACTGAAAACAGGGCACGGGAAAAATCTCATGCTTTGAGAGGGAAATCCACAGAGGAATGTCCAGCCATAAAAAAGCCGGAGGGAAAAAACCACCGACCCAAACACTTTCTCATCCTCTGGCTGTTCTCCATCTGTTCAATGTGTGCTCTGAAAAATGTGGAGAAATGGAGAAATGAAGAAATGGCAATGGCTGGGACCCACTCTGTGATTCAAGCTCAACATGGTTCAACTTTACTCCACGTGCCCCTTAGCTTCTTACCATCAAGATTACAAAGCTCCTGACCCTCACACAAATCACCTCTTGCACTTTATCACCATTTACTTGCATTGGCGCTGGCGTTTCAAACTCAGGAAAAATGTCTATAGGAAGTCCTGATCTGTTGCAACTGCAATCCCCATGTTGTGGACCTTCACTGTGAATCGTACAAGAATGGGAACAGTTACACAATATAAGCAGTTATGCCCCCCTTGGAAGTAATTACACGTAGTTAAAACATGTTCAAGCCTTGTTGACACGGGTTTTGAACCCGTGGAAAAAATCACGAACTAAAAGGCAATGTGCTATATTCAGGGTTAATTGGCGAAAAAGGGGCAATTACCTTCCTTTCATGTTCATCCCAGTTATTATAAGAAAAAAAAACATGTAATCCATAAATTTCACTTGCGGGCAAGTTTAGTACTATTTTGGTGATCATATATATATATATACACACTGTGTATATATATATACCAAGCATATATCCTCATACCCTTTGCGATAATCTATGGCATCCCACACACATGGGACCTGCGAAACTGGTCCAACTCAGCTGGTCCTCTGGGAAGCAGAGCGGTTGCCACAGCATCGCGAAGACCGGGCACAAACTCTGCCGGATCAGCGACGCCATGGCGGATTTCTCCTGCGAAATGGGGAATTTTAGTAGTCCCAAAAAAGAAGTCTATGATACTTTTCCAATGATACATAGGGATCCCTATTATCATGGAAAATCCCCTATTTTTGTGGTATTATCATAGGGATCCCTATTTTTTTGAAGTGAAATGCTGATACTTTTCTTGGATCTCATGAGGTATAGTTTATGATTCTACTTCGGATCATGATGGGATCATGGTGGGATCACTTGATGTTTCTAGAGTCATCTCATCTAGTGCAATTGAAGAGTGTCAAAAATAACGATTGGAGCTGGTTACGTTGCGTTTCTTTGGAAAACCCGCTGTTCAAAAACTAATGGGGTCCTTTACCAAAGATGGAGGGTTTTTGAAACCGCAGGTTTCACCTTCATCCTGGGAACCATATCTACAGCATGTGGGGGTTTCAATCGATGGATTTGGATGCCGATGGTAATACTGTAGCGAAAATTGCAGGCGGAACCAACTAAAAATGGATCCCCATTTACAATCTTTTTTATAGTTGGTACAGTTATGTTGGTAAATGGGATTACATTTACAATCTTATTTACTATTACTATTATGTTCCTGTTGATACAGTAATAGTAATCCCATTAACGATCCCAGCAACAATCCCGTTCATAATCCCATTAAGTTAACAATCACATATCAATCATTAATTATCTGTTAACCCCACAGTAATATCAGTAATAGTAATACCATTGATCAATCAGCCATGGTTTTCATCCCATTAGTTACTGTTGATACTTCCATTTATAATCCCAGTAATTCGGTCAATTCCCCCCAACAATCCCACTAAACATCAATTTATAACCCTATTACAGTAACAATCCCATTAATAACAGGGAACAAAGGTTGTTAATATTGACAATCCTGGGAACAATGGGGGAATTCTTGGGTTATATAATATTGACAATCCCAAGAATTCTCCCATTACTGGGAATTTGTATTAACCCCAACAATTCTTGGTCATATAATATTGACAACCATTGGTTATATAATATTGACAATGGGTTGTTAATATTGACAATCCCAAGAATTCTTCAAAGCCAGTCCTTCTGCATTCCTTTGGTCATTGCCACTTGCGACGCAAAGCCACAGAAGCCGATGCCCAAGGCGACGGCCAGCTGCTGCCGGCTAAAGAGCCTGGACCAACGTGACCAACATAGCAACAAAAAGTCATGGGATTATTAACAGTACATACAGATACATACATAAATCTAGATACTGGTATAAATCTAGATGTAGTGGATTATATACTATATATATATACACGTATTATTATTGGCCAAATAATGGGCTTGTTGATGGGTTCATTAACTTATATCATGGGTATGCATGGGGTTGATGGGATTTTCTTAAAACAGCCACAGGTCCGGTATTGAATTGACACAACTGGGAAGTTACACAGGAAATTCGGTCTTGCGCAGCAACAAGCATGCGACTTGCTCACTAACAATGATCTAGTGTGTCATTTGCGAACTCCCCATGACGAAAAATAAGCAGCCATTGTACTGCATCATTAAATGCCTACCCCTTTCTTGGGCCAAAACAATGAAGGCTCAAAGTGAATTCTTCAAAGGAAAAGGGGAAAGTACAGAATCATACTACAGACTTTGCAGGGTTCCTGATATGCGGGCTTATTTTACTATTTTGAATGATGCTTCAAGCTTCCCGTTTTGGACTGAGGAAATCTAGACCAAAAAAATGCCAAGACATCACAATGTAGGGGATAGAACCCATATATCCCATTGTCTTAAAATTATACATACATTCATTATATCCACATTATTGATTGGTAATTGTGATTCCATTCCACAAAATGATGTTTTTTACAGTACAAAATCAAACACTTAATTTATAGCCACCATTGGCTGTGCATTGATCATATATTGACTATATACCCTCTGGTAAACTAACATAGCTATCGAAAATGGCCATAGAAATAGTGGATTTTCCCATTAAAAATGGTGGATCTTTCCATAGCTATTTTGACATAACCAGAGGGTACCCATTACATGCCCATCATTTTCATGATGAAAAAACACCATGCTTAAATCCATGTTTCATGCTTAAATCCCAATGTAAACCATCATTTTTCAACCAGTTAAACCAGTTTTCCAACCAGTTTTTCAACCAGTTACACCTCCTAAAAAAACCCTGAAAATTTTCTCGATTAAACCACCAGATCCCCATGTTTTCCCATCCAAAATCTCCCATGTCACCATGGGATCTTCATCTCCCGCCCCGGCCGCCGCCTCAGCTCTTGGCCGGAGATGACCAGCGCAATGGGCGACAGGACGACTTGGCCCAAGGCTTGCGCTAGCAGTACGGAGGCCCAGTCCACCTCAGCGATTTCAGAAATATTGTACGAGTATCTATGTATAGTATATAAATATGTGTGTACTAAGATACTTGGATTATGTATATATACATATATATTATTATATTTATATATATAATTATTGTTATTATCATTGTTATTATTTATGTATATATATATATTATTGTATATATTATTGTATATATTATTACAATATATATATGAAAATTATAATATATATATATATTATTCATATTATTCTTATCATATATATATTCTTAAAATTATATATATATATATTACTAAAATTATATATATATAATTATTATTATATTATATGTATATATATTACTATATATATATTATATAATATTGTATCATATCGTATTATATTATATTATATTATATCATATTATATATATATCATATTATATTGTATTATATTATATTATATCATATTATATTACATTACATTACATTGTATTGTGTATATTATATTATATATATTATATTATACTATATTATATTATATTATATTATATTGCATTATATTGCATTATATTATTTTATATTATATTATTTTATATTATATTATTTTATATTATATTATTTTATATTATATTATTTTATATTATATTATTTTATATTATATTATTTTATATATATATATATGTTGATTATCTAATTATATACCATATATAGTTACAAACCCTTTTACTTACAATCTTCACTTTGTTCATATGAAAAATGTGGATATGGTAGAATTAGTATTGGAAGATCTACTTCACCAGTTGTATCCTTCAAATTGGTAAGATATTATATATATACACACATTGATATGTATATATATATATTCACTATATAATGTTTCATATGATAACGTATGATACAATTATTATTATCATATGTATATATATACATCTATTCATGTGTGTATCTTGACTTTATACATATATATATATATACATGTACATTCTGAAGTACTGTATACAGGCACCAAGTTTGAGGTGGAATCAAGACTGTGCCATTTTCAAGTGCAGTCAACTTCCAAATCACATCAATTTCGGCTTCAATCTTAATTTGTGTGTGTGCGTCTATATCTATTCATACAATGTGAGGCCCCCAAGATCGCTAAGTTGGTTTATAACTCCAATAACTATGGTTTATGGTATTTATAACTATAGTTACTGGGGCTTATAAATCAACTTATAACTGGGGGGCCTCACATTGTATATATATATACATATATGTAGATGCAGAGGTGTCCTGTAATTACACATGGTCATGCACATCGATCCAGCTCATCAAGATCATCGAAATCCTCGTCACAGCCATAAATTTTCTGGGTCATACCCCCAATTCTCTCAGAAGTATATGTTTATACACCAATTTATCATATATCCATCAAGTCTCGTTTTTGTTGCTTACTGTAAGTCTCCATGTTTATTGCCTTCAAATTCCCCATGTCAATCAGTCATTATTTCCAGGTATAATCTAGTCTAATCCAATAATATGTCCCATGTCACAACTTCTTGGAAAATATCACTATATACAAGTCACTACTATTGGAAATATACAAGAGCTGTAGGTGTATACAAATATCAATAATAGGTATCACTACTTGATCAGTCAGTATACACCTACAACTCATCCCATTTCTCGCTGGGTCCTAAGTTCATGTGTAACTCATCCCATTGGTCGTCGTCCTGTGAACCATGGTTGACTGAACTTTCCAAACAAATACGACATCAGAATTCAACATCCAAATTAAGTACATATGTGGATAAATTAAGTACATCCAGATTTTTGATCCAAATATCATAGTAGTCATAGTAAGTACTTAGTACAACATGTCTGGATAAGAATTTTCAGATCATTTACTGACCTGATTGTATTGTCCGTTCAGCCATTTTGGGATCGTACCCCAGCCACCTTCAACATTTATCCGATTTTATCCGTACATATGATTATATCCCATTGTATCCCAATGATATCTCCAATGCTTCGTGAAAAAACACAATGATCATTTTGCTGCTGCTTTTTGTCCTTCAAAAATCCCCCAAATCATCCAACAATACCCACTGGGGCGCCTTGGCGGTGCCCAGGAAGCGAATGATGACGTAGGTGCCCCCCGCGAAGAAGGCCGACAGCAGACCGTAGAAGACGCCCAGGTGCGACACAGCGGAGGCGTCCAACCTAGGGTGATTTCACCGGCAGCATCCAAAACATGGGGATTTTGACGCCATCAAAAGGTGATCAAACCAGAAAAAATGGGTAGAAATCATGAGGCTTAGGATTGGCATGGATTCTGTATGCTAAACCGAGGTAGAAAAGTAAGATTAGGAAAGATGATGTACCGTATTCAACAAACTTGTTGAGAGCAGCGGATCAGGAGATGGTGCAGGCATCGAATGGTATAACAACACAAGTGCGACAAAAAAATAGTGAACCAAAAGAAATCGCGATTTAAACAACACAGTTATTTAACTGCGAAAAAGAAAAAAGTGGAGATGTCAGGAGGTATAAAATTAATATCTCGACATGATGGGTATAATGGGATAGAAGCAACAAAGATGGGCATGAATTTTATCCATGAACAGAGGCAGAATCCATGGCTGTAAATGGATAAAGCCCAGCGAAAAATAAATGCCTTCCAATGATAAGCAGCCCCAGGAAGAAACCATGCTTTTGTGTCTGCGATTTACACGAATCTTTGGGTTTTGTGGGTCTGTGAAATTTATATTTTTCGGTGGAGGGGATCACAAAAACATCGCCACCTACTTTGGTAGTAGGATCCTCATCCCATGAAGTTCTATCTGTTTCTCATCTGGTTAGGAGTCAAAACCCTGGTCCCCTAGGTACCCTAGAATAGCTACTTCGTGGATGGTTATTCCCCCCAAATATGGTAGTAATAGGTTTTGACGCATATCCATCTGAAATCCTTCCCCTTTTGGCACCGGAAATCCCAAGTTCGACGCTCCGCTTCTCCAAGGTCCAAGGTGCAGCGTCTCGGGTTTCGAGATGAAGCCGACGCCCAGAATGGCGGCGATGGCGCTGAAGAATTCGGACAGATGCCACTCCTCCTGGCCCGACGATGAGGACGTCAATCGACGTGACTTCATGAGGTCATTGAGAAAAAACGGATCTGAAGATAGGGATTTTTTGATGGGATTTGATGGGATTTTATGGGATTTTATGGGATTTTATGGGATCTTAATGGGATTCTACTGCGTTAGAATAGGATGTTCGAGGATGTTGGTGGTACAAAATTCGAATTTAATGTGATTTAGTTGTGCTTGTTTTTGATTCTCAATGGTGTCTAAGTTGGGATATGAGCAGCCAAAACGGCTATTGCAATTCGTCAATAGGGATATTGGCGATTAGAAATTGTCATATGATATTGATTGGAATACTACCAATCTTGGATACCCATGTTTGGAGTTGATTGTAAACAGGGATCTTGACCAAGAATCGTGATTTTAATGGAGATATTGGCACAAAAACCGCAAAAAAAGGCGGCTCTACTGAGATGTAACTGATGTAACCGATAATGCGGGAATACAATGAGTACTAAGTAAATTTCAAGAGACATACTAATGAATATGGATTGGTTGCTTCATTGGAGGTATTGCTCTACCCAAATTTGGGCAACCCCCTGCGGGTTTGTGTCAAAATTAAGGGAATTCTGAACAGGATATAGACAATAGTATGAGGGGTCAGTGACCAGAAATGGTATACAATATGAAAAAAGTTTGTCATATACATGGAAATAGTAGGATAATGATATGGAAAAGGTATATAATCAACAGAAATGACTTGTTCAAGGGAAACCATCTTGGAAACCACGTCTTGTTATCGAATATGGTGGGGGTCCTGCACATGTCTCAAAAGGGGGACTGGGCTCACTTTGATTGGCAACCGATGACCAACCGGGTTTTAAGGTACCCCATTTGCAGACAAACCCGGAGTGGAGATATAACCAGCAGAAGAGAACCACAGCAGTCGGACATTCAGAGATGGACCAGCATGGGAGATGACTCCTGGTGAAACACCGCAATGGAAGCAACGGAACAAGGGGATGTGTGATTTATGCTACTCCCAGTATGTGTTTGGACATTGTCTATCTCAGTCTGTCGGCCTGCCTGTCTGTCCCTCTGTCTATAAACTACATTAGATCTACGTTTATATTTACATTACCATTATAGTATATATATATTACATTACCATTATATTACATTTACTTGTTGCATATACTTTAAAATTACATTTATATACGTCTACACTTACATTCCATATGTATGGATATGGATATAAGGAGTCGGTAAATGGCATGTCAACATGCTGAAAGTGGTGGCCATGCTTATGTGCTCCAGATGTCTTAGGTGCTAGGAAGCACTGCTACCTCACGGAAGATGGGATCTTCGAACATCTTCAAACCACCCCAGGATGAAGAAGTGGGAAGTGGAAACAAACAAATAGATTGGATGCGGTCAAACAGAAATCATCCCCACTTTGAATCTTGGGATTCCATGTGATGACGAATCATAGCGAGACAAACCCCGCCGTGCTCCGCAGAAATTCTTGGTCTACTGGGTAGTTAGCACCTTAAGAGGATAGAGGCTGCGCAAAAAGAGGATCTGCCGATGGACCCTCATTTTGGCTCACGCCTTGAGGAAAATGCGCGCGAAGGCAGCAGAAAAAATGGGGGCCGTTTGCCCCAGAATCTGAGAGTCCTAGGCCACGATCGGTGACCACGGTAACCCCAAACTTTGGTTCATCCGACCCTCCCAGATCCCAGAAACTCCGATTGGAGAAGCTGGAACGATCCTAGGAACGTGTTCGGAATCATCACTGAAACAGATTCATGAACGGGATAACTGGGATAACACACTTCGGTTTGGGTCTGGCCCCTGTTTTGGGACTTATCCCAGCGGTAGTCATGACCATGAGTACCCTCTGGTAATCAAACATGGCAATTTCGAAAATTCCCCAATTATAGATATTTTCCCAGCTAGAAACCTCCATTTTGGGGGACTTCCTAGCTAGCCATGACAAGATACAGCCAGCGGCATGGCAGAGACGCACAGAAAGCCAAAGCCTACCAGGACAGAAGACCAGGGACCACCTGGGGATACGCGTTTATACTGGGAAATGGAAACCTGTCATATATATATATATATATCAAATATGGCAAGATGATGTAGTGATGTATATAGTTGATGTATTGATACTTGGTTGATTGTATAGATTATGGTAACTAATCATAATTATTCATAATTGATAGTTGTTTTTTTTCGATGCAATACATCAAACAAACTATGTGTTTTTCATGGATATAAATGGGCTATTCGGGGTATGGTCATGAATGCCACAAAACAATCCATGTGTTTTTTTTTCTATCCGACAATGGATCGGAAATGTCCATCGGCCAGCCATGGAGATGATTCCCCATCATTCCAGTGACGTCACGACGGTCACGACAAAAAAAAAGACCCACCTGGATTGGTTTGAGGTTGGTTTGAAAATCTACTGGAAACAGCGATGGTTTTTCCCCGTACAAAAAGAGGATGTTCCTGCGTTCCCATCATCTCTGGGAAATGCAGTTTGCAGGGGACAAACATGCCCAAATGGTTTTCTTAAAGTTGGAAAATGATGATATGCAAAAAAAGATACCAAAACAATAGAAATAACATGTTCTATCTCTTTCCGGCTTACTAAAAACCATGGGATGAAATCGGGTTGCCAATTTGGAGAACCCTTGCAAGTGGCCTCAAAACGTCGGCTTTCGCAGCCCAGAGAAATTGCCCCCAAAACCCATCGTTCTTCCAACTGTCAACTCCAAGCGACAAATTCCGCCATAGCCCACCACGGCTCGCACCAGCAGTGCAGTGTGTTCCAAACGTGTGCTGCCCAGCCAACTGGAAAGACCTATGCCCTTCGCAGAAAGGCACACGCAACAGCCAAGGGCCTTTCCGGGTGAAAGTTGGGAAAAATCGAACCAGGAAGCAGGCGTCTAAAGACCAATGGGACATGGAGGATCCTGTAAATTTTCCATTATATGGAGGTTTCCTACCCTCTGGTAATTTGTTACATAGCTATTGAAAATTGCCATTTATAGTGGATTTACCCATTGAAAATGGTGACTTTCCATAGCTATGTTAGTTTACCAGAGGGTAAGTCATGGGGGTACCCCCAGTCATCATCCATTTTTGTTTGGGATTTTCCACTATAAACCAACCAGCTATTGGTGATCCTCCAATTATGGAAACCCCATTTTTTACCCCATTGAACTTGAACTGCAACAGATCCGCCGGCTTCAACATTGACAAATCTCCGCGAGCACAAGTCCCACCGATTCAATGAATCAGAATTTGCTCCCAAGTATAGCTGGGCACTCAGGTTTATTTTCTTAGTTTCCAAGTTTTGCTGCTTCACCATATTGATTTTTTTCATGGAACTATGTATATAAATATCCATTACATAAATGATACCCATTATAGATTATGTATATATATACATAATGGAAGGTTGTACCATATATTATGTACATATGTTAACCATATATATATTATGTTATATTATACATGGTATATTGTATATTATATATTATATATTTCATATTTTATATAATATATTATATATTATTTTATATATGTCATATTTTAAATAATATATTATATATACATTATATTATATTATATATTATAAATTATAAATTATATATTATATATTATATATGATATATTATATATGATATATGATATGTGATATATGATATATTATATATTATATATTATATATTAAATATTATATATTATATATTATATATTACATATTATATTATATATTATATGTTATATATTATATATTGTATATGATATATTATATATTATATATTATATATTATATATCATATATTATATGTTATATATTATATATTGTATATGATATATTATATATTATATATTATATATTAAATATTAAATATTATATATTATATATTATATATTACATATTATATATATTATATATTATATGTTATATATTATATATTGTATATGATATATTATATATTATATATTAT